TATAAAGTATTCGAAAATTTAATTGTCAGATACTTGATGGATACTGAATACTATGTGGACGCGTCTGAAATACTCGAAATCATTCATATCAATCGGATTAATTAAAGTATGCTCAACATTTGTTTATAATTATGTGCCTCTGTGCGATTTTAGGCTATTTTGACAACTGGTGATAAGCTTTATAATAGAATAATGAATTAATTTCCATTCTGTAAATTGTATTATTTTCGTATCGTTTACATTTATCAAAGGATCAAGTTGTATGAAACAAATAATCAATTTGACAAAAGATAAATAGATGAAAAGAGTGAAAGGTGGAGTGGAAAAAATATTTGCGAAACATTCGTAATGGTAGACCAAAACGTACATTATTTTATTTGAAATTATATATAAAAGGAGTGAAAAAGTAAATGTACTGATGTTAATACACGATTGCACTATTTTACGTAGTCAACAGTGGAAATACTATTCGACTTAAATTACGTTCTGATCAATGATTGTCAGCAAAAGTTACTTGCAATGCCAAGTGGATTGAAATTTCATGTGAAATATAAACACATGTCGCCCAGTTTCATAATCTTAGACGTTGCTGAATAGCTTGAATAGTGTTGGCAGTACGGCTTCATACTGTGAAGTTGAGTGATCTGGGTTCAGATCCATCATCAGACATCAATCTACTCAAAATGGCAAGTACATTTTATGGACGATTACCAGATAACTGGCAAAAAATCTAAGTTGAGCAGGGTTCATAGCCGGTTATCTACAACCAGCTAACAAAATTGTTCATTTAATATTCCTATTCATTCAACTCAATTAGATTCATAAGAATATTAACGTTACAATAGTTAAAGAGTTGTCTTTTAATTTTCAAACAGTTGCGCCGCAAGATATTAGAAACAGTAAAAAAAATAAAACTTTCCATTTCAAGTTTTATACCTTACTTTTCCCAGTTATATATATTCAATGAAATATCAAGATACAAGAATAAAAACGTAATATATTTGACAACGTCCCTGAGAGGAAAAATTAGGGTAGAATTGCCTGATTTTCCATTATTTTATTTAAACAATAAAACAGTAATTAAAACAATTACAAAAAAGAATAAACAATATACACATTGAAGGCCGGAAACTCCATCCTAGTTTATAGTAAAATGGAAAAAAATGAATAAATATGGGGCCAAAATTGACAAACTATTTCTTAAATGGGGAAAAAAAAGTAGTAATCATTCTTATTTCTGAATTATTAAACTCATAAAACGCAACGAGCATTGAACACATATAATAATGATCAATAGCTAAAACGCTCCCCCCCTTTCTCTCTCTGTGATTCCATATAACCTATAGAGAAAAATAAACCCATATAAAATGGAACAATAATCTAACAATACCAGGTCACTAGTGTATCGAAATTACGATAAAAATGGTGATGAAAATTTATGTGAATAGATTCTGTTTACTTGTGTCTTTCAACATTTTATGTACTTGTGTGACACTGATGATGAACAGTAAGCATAAAATTGTTGATCAAGACAAATAAGGAAAGAAAACATTTTTCGGGGCTATTTCATTCTTTACAAATAACAAAATTATCAGAAGGGGTTTGTGGAGATTTTTAGAAATTTTCACAGATTGAAATAATGCGTCAGTTGAAGCTAGACCACCATTGAAAACCTGGAAGCACTGGACGGCCGTTTCGTCCTAGTATGGGACTCCTCAGCAGTGCGCATCCACGATCCCGCACCACGCGGGGCTCGAACCCAGGACCTACTGGCTTCGCGCGCGAGCACTTAACCATTAGACCACTGAGCCGGCATCCAACGGTGTTAATGTCTAACTTCAACCAATCCACGAAGTTGCGCCATCGACACCATTGTCTTCAGTGAACTGATATCGCACAACAGACCTGGTTGTACTCCACTGGTAACGGCTTCCCACTAGAACTCCAGGAGTATCTCTTGAAGTCAGTCACAAGTGAGCAGATGATTATTATCAGGAGTCTTATACTAGGACGAAATGGCCGTCCAGTGCTTCCAGGTTTTCAATGGTGGTCTAGCTTCAACTGACTCGTGATTTCAATCTGTGAAAATAACAAAATTACCAATCGGTGTGCTAGGGTAGGGAAAAAAAACTATGAAAAAAACGTTTCCTGATATTTTATAGTTAAGACATATAAACCTAACAGTAGTAATCATAAATTAACAGAATGGTACACATTGGTGCCAGTTTAATCTTAAACTGAAGAATTGTAATCATCAATGTCACTATCAGTTTAAATACAATTTTTATTTATTTATTTTGAGTTATCTATTAGGACAGTAAATTAATCAACAAGTTACATTTACAACTCTGACAGATAGTTTGATGATGATTGTGTGCGTAGTTAAAGAAAACTTAAAATCAGGATATCATTTTTTCATTTATCTAACATTAAAATACAGAGTACGGCAACTGAATAAATGGCCACATTTTAAACTTAGTCAATATAAGTATAGGGATTGTGGAGATTATTAGGTTTTTAATTAAGATCATGAACCGATTGATATAAGCAACATTGAATTGTTTATATTTTTAGCTGAATGTTGATCATTTTCAGTTGAGATATGTACATCATATGTGGATATAGTCATTATGATACAAGTTATTGTGTAAAATAAATGGAATGTTGCTAGGAGTAGAATTTAGGATGCATGTATCATCCTATTTGAGATCAGGTACTGAGTTCGAGTCTTGAAGTAAACATCAACTCTAGAACGTAATTACATCTAGCTGGTAGGTAGGCTACTGATTTTGTCAGCTTTAAGCATATTTAACTGAGGACTGTCAATAAACCCAAACTCTATAATCATTGACTTCTAAGTAAATTTTCTAAAACAATTCAATATGCATTAGAAGAGGTTCTTCTGGAGATTTTAGTAATTTCAACTATTGAAATTCAATATGTAATTTAATGGTTGAACTCATGAGTCGATTAAAGCTAGACCACTATTGAAAACCTGAAAGTATAGGATGGCTGAGGAGCCCTGTACTAGGACGAAACGGCCGTTCAGTGCTTCCAGGTTTTCAATAGTGGTCTAGCTTTAATAGACTCATGAATTCAATCATTAAATTTCTACAATCTCCATAAAACTCCATTCTGATAATTCAATATGTAACAATAAATGTTAGGGATTGTTGAAGAAGATGAAATTGGTATAATATTCTTTTTAAATCATCAATATCCGAACACTAAAAATACTATTGATCTAGGGCAGTTTAGAATTATTAAGACTAATGGTTGGACTCCATTTTAGAGAGTGATCTTAATTGATTTGTTATCTATTTAATAATCTACGAATAAAAGATTGAACAACCGTAATGAAATGAAAGGAGTTGTATGATCTCTCTAGTCGGATTATCGATTAGTTCACCTATATTGCAAACATGACCGGTGATCTTCTATTTACCAACTGACGCATCAACCAATGAACAACTAACAAGGCATTAACATAAAAGTTAATACCGACCTAAACTTACATAAATGCATGAAATTCGTGAGATATGCATGAGAAGAAGACTAGAGTATACTGTTAAACTTAGAGATATGGCAAGACCGGACAACTTGGGTATGAACTACACGACAATTGGGAAGGCTAATAAATAGTGTCCAAACCGTAGTAGATGGAGCGGGGTTTAGACCATTGGTTTATTGGCCAGAAGTCTAATGCCTTAATCACTAGGCTACTGCTCCAGACAACACTGGCTCACAGACCCTCCATGTTACTATCCCTTAGCTTTACTTCAACACTGCTGACAAAATGAATCTAATTTGTGCAGATACATACAAGTGAAAATCGTCGGTAATCAAAGTTCAATGGTCATATTGTGCAACTGTAAAGTTACAGTAAACACGGCCATTTATTAAAACTTTTTGAGTACAATAATTGTTACATATTGATATTTGTTTCGTATCGAAGATTTCTAGTCTACGAGTTTTCCTTTAGATTTATTCACTAAAACATCAAGCAAAAAGTAGGTTAGTTCAGAAAGCAACGCCCCTAACACATGTAAAACATGTTTCCAACTTCATTTATCGGAAAACCATAACTAATAAATGTAAGCAAAAAAATAATTAAATAAGAGTTGAGAAAGCAACTGAAATGTAGTCCAAATGATACATAAAAGCAAAAGCAAAACACTGAAGGGAAATGAACATTGAGTATATATATATAAATCATGAAAATTCTGATAGAGTATACGTCTATGCATGGGGTATTTTAATAGTGTGATACGACGTGTTAAACCGTTTGTTTATTAAAGTAATTAATGATAGAAATAGTGAAATAAAAAGACAGATAATGTATTATAAAGTAGACAGACAGTAATACATAGATATGAAACTCAAATCAAACTATTACCAAGATGGATTCCTGAAGCTTTATCCAGGAATTCCAGAAGAGAACAAGGATAAGAGTTAAATAATAACACTGAATCACAATAGCACACTATATCACATATTGATTAGTTTGTCGTTTACAGATATTATAGCCTTTTTAAGGAAATGGATTTGATTTCATTTTAAGTCGTAAATGCGTCCAACTGAGTAGCTAACTAAAACAAAACAACTGTTCAGTCCATTGTCTATTTAAGTAGTTTATTAATTAATATAAGTTTATATAGAAAATTATTTTAAAATTGCAGATAATCTCTATGAATTGAACATTCCATTATAAGTACAGCACATGATACAGTTTTGCTAGATTAGCATAATAAAGATTGGTAATTTAAATGACAGAAGGAACTAGGGAATAACTAATTATCTCATGAATGACTGAAATTAGGGTTTTATTATTCATCTCAACAATGAATATATATAGAAATTATGATTATATCGAAAAGAAATATATATAGAAAAGTATATAATACACAAATATAATGGAATTTCATGCTTGAAAATGTTACGTTTGAGAGAATTTTCTTATAAAAACAAATAATCTGTCATTTATTAATATTTTAACTTACCGAAAAACTTTTCTATCTACTTCACTCATAACATTTTCAACTGGATCTGTACATAAATCTAAACTGCACAAAGGTTTTCGTCTACTACTGATGAGATTGCTAGCTTCAATAAATAAGTCAAGGGGATTTGTAGTACCTATACTTGTTGTCATGGCAGTTGATGTGTATGTTGTTGGAGGATCATTGTTAGACGATCGTATTCTATTCATAGTGATTAATTCCAATCTAATATAGAAAAACAGAATGGATAAATAAATAAATACATAAGGAGAATTTCACTGTTTAAAAATACGTGTATATTTGTACTGGTTTGTATCATCCTGTTGTTGATGTTAAGAGCTATAATTGATATATATATTCCAAATGGTGTTTCTAAATATTGCCATTTAGTCACAAGTTTTAATCAAGGTTGGACAGTGACTAGCCGTGTAATCCAAGATGCACATTGAATGTACTTGCGTCCCACTATTGATGATAATACTGAGACTTGAACGCAGTAACATTTGCAACAACTGCTGACGAGTGATTTGCAGAATTACTGAGTTAACATAACCAATAGTCCGAACAACGGAAAACGCACAGAGTACTTAGAGAGAAAGGTGCTGTGCTAAAGTCTCAGTGTGGACATCAAGACTAGATTAAGTTGATGAGCTTCGAATAGGATAGATTTCACTGCTAGCCACTATCCGAATTTAATCGACGCGTATATATGTATAAATATAATAGAATATTACTGCATAAATTCTAGTGAAGATTTTTCGAGAATGCACATTACTACTATTTTTCAGTTAACCTTTCCTAACACATTTTTATTATTCTGCACGATTACTCAGATCTTCATGTTCCTAGTTCCACCCACTGGATAAGCTAACTCTATTCTACACGCTAGCTTAACAAAATAATGCGTGCAGTTTGGAAACAAACCTACTAACAACAAATGATTCATTTAGATCAATACAAATGCATAACTACGCACGAATTTGTATAATCTGCATCGAGCCACATCAGTAGTATTCTGTTTGTGTAGGCTTGTGATAAAGGTCGTTGTTTGTAATGAAGTAGGTAACAAGATTTGAACATGTGATCCAACAGTTAAAAGTAGGATGCATTATTCACCAGTCGATTGTTTCATACAAATAAACAGAAACTAATATCAAGTCATAATTGGTATAAGCTCTACCAAACCAATGATTTATTTACAGCACAAACGATTACAGATGTTTTCAAAATTTTCAGAACAAACTTTCGTTGTTATTAGCTATCATGCTTTTTTACTTTTAAAGAAATATCTGCATTTAATCAGATCGAACGGTGGGCGCTTTTTGGTCCAACCATTTAACTTTCAAAGAAAAAAAACACTGAATGGAAGATTCAATTAGAAAAGTAAAATACTAAAAGCCAGCTACGTACGTAAGCCTACTTGTACATGGTTAACTGAGAGTTACATAAACCTCATCTTTAAAACAAAATAGGAAAGATAACGATAGAATATTTTTGAGATGAAGAAGATTGGTAGCTAAGAATGATAATTTTGTTAAAGTTATTAACTCTAATTTGACTGATGTTTGATTGTGAAGCTAGCTTTATCTTTCTAGACAACATTATCAGTCCACAATTTAGATATAGAAGATTTTGACAATTAAAATCCATGTGCAAATAATCACAGGATAAATATTAACAACAACAAATTCCAGTCAACTCTCAGGTGATGATGATGATGATCAGTTGTGCAAAAAAAACAACAACAAATTCTAACTGTGCACTTTTATCTGAAAATTGTATTGCTGATAAACGTTGCTATCTTCTTAAAAAAGTTTCACAAATAAACATCCGTTAACACTGTGAATGTAACTTCAAAAAAATAAACTAATGTAAACAATGATTGTAACATATACCTTAATTAACACATCAACTATAACTAATAATGTACACCATTAAGATACGATTATACTTTTTTGATTAAAGGGGTTAATAATGGAAAATTCCGATTGAGCAAAATGAAACAGAAAAAATCGACTATTGAATTTTTTTTTCTATTTTGTTGTCAAGATGGATGACAATGATCAAACAAAAATTACTCATAATGAAAAAAGAAAAACTACTGATGAAAAGTTAAACAGAGTAGTATATTGTGTATGGTGGTTGAAATAGTAGAGATAAGGAATAGAGAAAATGAATTAAGTAAAAACAAGAAAATATGAAAAGATGAAACAATAACAAGTGTTAACTCATTTGCCAATGTCTCAAGTGTATACTCTCTCTCTCTCTCACACTTTCTCTCGCATACCCACTATATGAGAGAATGTTTTATATAAGGGGAGAAACAATATTAATAAAAGGTAGGAATAGTAATGCATGAAACAAAAACACACGAAACATAATATAATTTGAGCATTTTGTTTTCTTACCATAACAAATACTGCTCATACTGCTTTAATCTTTAGTATTATTATTTGCAGACAATTAAATTAATGAATTGGTTGTCTCATCGACGATACTCATTAAGTCAGTGTGCATGCACATACACACACACATAAACATAGAACGGTTATTAAAGAAAGTAGTAAACATTAAACATTTTATCTTTGGTGATAAATAAACTGTTTCTATGAACTATAGATTATAACAAAAGAAAAACTATTTAAAAGGCATAATAATCTATGACGGTGAGATAAAATCACCAAGACAAATGTCAGATTAATAGAAGTATTAACAATACTAGTGATAGCAGAAAAGACTAGACTTAGGAAGTTTCGAGAAGGAAATATCAATTAAGGAAACAGAGAGCGTAAGGTAAATTTAAAACTCAACATTTAAAGGATAGGCTAAAAGTGAGTGCATATTAACCATTGTAACCGATTTTGAACTATATTACCAAATTCTGGACTAATTGGATACGATAATCGAGAGGACCTCAATAATGTAGCCTGTAAGTACTTACACAGCTTAAGTCCAAAAATCAATGAATTCATGGACCGATACTGTCTTTATTTGGTTTCTGCTATCTCTTTTCCAAACTTCTGTGAAACTACATATCATGGCGTGTTGAAGTAGGTAGTGTTTGGGGGCACACAATACATGTCTCAACCCTCTCAATCGATGACGATTCGTTAGCTCATCAACTGGTTCGATATCTTCATTTAGTACTTGCATTTAGATTCAACATAGTTTACTTAATGGTCCCAATATGTACGAGCAATACTTCGAAGGAATCTATAAACAAATACTAGTAACTCTATTTTAATTGGATGAAAGCTACAAAGCCCAACAATAACAAATTGAATTATAAGATTAGAAATTAATATGAATACAACAGGATAGTAAATTTTTCGAGAGATATGCAGGAACATTTTACTTATGATTCTTAAGGATTAAAGATCTGCCATTGTCTTTGGAACAGTAGGTGAAATAAATCAATCTCCTAGCTAATTAATATTAAAATCCATTACTATTGTAAAAGATGTAGATGAGCATATTTTCGTGGAATGGAGGAATATATAGACATACAGTAAAATAAAAAGGGATTGCTCGACATGTGAAAAGTGAACCTCGGATAATACGTTATCAATGCGAATTTTAGAAGATCAAGAATAAAAATGAATGTATCATATCAGAGATACGTAGAAGCAGAGGTGAGATTATTGACAAGGAGTGAATCAAATAATTTCGATAAATATTACAATATAGATTTCACAGTATGATACACAAGATTTCATGAAATCAAAAATATATAGCGGATTATTTGACGTATCGATACACATACAGTGACCATTCATCCAAGATTCTATTTTGCATTATCAAAAAGCATAAGAGTCAGGAAAAAATCTAAACAAACTCATTTGTACAGTTATTCAATACCACACATTTCGTATATGAAACTAGAACAATCTTCTAGATACATATTCATTAAATTGAAGAGTTTCATTACTAATTATGAAGTAACAGTTCGAATGATGTACACCATCATCAACCAAGTATGTTGTTCTCAAGGAACAATTAATGGAGCAATGATAAAAATGACAATATCTGTTATGTGCGATCAGCGAAAGTAACATATGATAAAAGAAAAGCTTCTCAATCTTAACTAACTTACGACTCATTGTTAAATATGAGAGTGATTTCACTGTTGGATTTCACGCAGTATGACTGATTATACTTGAAACGAACAAGTTATTCTGTCTGTATAATCTAATAATCAGTCAAAGATTATGTTGGTAAGTAGCAAATGATGTAGTATAATGTCTCATTTAGTATCGTAATCTAGAGTTCCTAGTCTACTATTATTTTGCTTAACGTATAATGTAGAATATTTTTGTTTTAGCATGTATTTCGTATTGAGGACAGATTTTTTTCAACGCCTTAGTTATGTTAAATTTGTAAATTAGAACATTGTGAACAGTGATACGAGATGAAATTAAATCAAACAAAGCACTTTCACCGTAACTTTTTCATCATTTACTTCTATCAACAACGATAGGAAACCTGAATCAATAGTTACATGTTATTTGGCAAGCCTATAAAAATCCTCTCTACTCATGTATTTTTTAAAACCAACCACCAATAACGAAAGTATATAGGAATTAATCAACAACTAGAAAACAGCCTTAAAATCTAAGAGTGCAAAAAAAGTAATTAAGAATACTTAAGAAACAACAATCATCAAAATTTAGTCTCTGTGATGAACATTGTTGAGATGCGCTGAAGAATGTGTGGTAATCTACTAGGAATTTTAAGAAAAAATAAATTGACATAAAAATTAGGAAATTATCATCATTGAATTAAAACTTGACGGGTTTATAGTGAAGATGGGAGCACACAAACAACTCTTGAAAATATGGATATACTAAGAATTTACAGACAAATCAATGAATCGTCAAAATTATGCAACTAAATATGTGTATATAACAGAGTAACGTGGGTGACACTGAAAAAAACTGAGCAAGATAAAAATATGAATATAACCTGCGGAAAATTAGCATTAGCTACAGGAAACCATATCCAATTGAGATCCACAAGATTATCGTGACTAATAGTTGGCTAGTTTGAGTGGTATGGTTCATATTTATTTGTAATGACGCAGATATATTTTTACACTTTGTTTCCCTTTAGATCCTAAGTTGCTTGATAATTTTTAAGTTTTGTGATTTACGAACCTATATTTTCTCGAAACATATTTTCTATGCCTAATCTGTTCCGCTATCATTAATACTGTTGATACTTCTACCAGTCTGGTATCACATTGTGTTGATATAGTAAAATAAATATAAATATTTCAGGTTTCACGTTGCATTTGACAGACGAGAACTATGGACACACGGTCAAAGTCGAGGTTATTCGTAGCAGACCGATGGGTTTTAATAAGTTATAAGGAACGTGAAGAAACCTAGTGCTTATAAGCGGGACGTTTCGCGAAGCCCCAAGCGACTTTACTCGCCATTTTCATAGCGTCATCCAATTGCAGCCAGTTCTCGTCTATATTTTCGGTGGGATGGTAGCTAACCTAGAAGCTAGCTCGGTTTGATATTTAGTTGCTACAGAAGATGTAACAAATTTACTGACATCGATCCGTTTAGGACGATGAACTTGTTGGCCACTGGAAAGTAAGGTAAGATTGGCGCAGACCAAGGCATGGTTAGAGTCCAGATAGGTACTCCAAAAGGAACGGCAGTCTTGTACACAACCACACCAGCGGTAGCTGATCGCGATATGATCAACCTGAATCCAGGCTTGATATGCAGAGGGAGGACGCCAGGTGGCACATCAGCGATGACTGTGCCGGAAGTTAGTGCTAGCCAGAAACAAGTTGTAGTCTGTGCACAGTTGCAGTAGACGGTCCCCGTTATCTGACCTGCGACCAACAAGTCCCGATAGGCCACCTAAACGACTCTCTTCTGTGCCTAGACGCCTAACCTGAGCAGTCAAGTCTCCGGCTAGTACTACAATATATGTCGAACCCACTTTCTGGAGAAGGACAGATAACTGGTGGTAAAACTCATCCTTGATTGCATCCGGGCTGCAATCTGTCGGAGCATAGGGCGGAGATGACGAAAAAACGTCATTTCTCACGCCGATTTCTCACTTTGATGGAACTTTCTAATCTAACAGCACATAACCGACTGCTAATGGAGATCACATCGATTAGTGCAGCCTCAGCTCTAGCGCTTAGTGAGACACCAAAACCAGCAAATCCAGACGACGATGCCACAGGGCCCCCGGATATATGCATGTAGGATTAGCTTTTCGAAGCAACAGATGGAGAGCGGATTTGTAGTACTTCGCTAGAGTCTTGAATATGGGTCTCAGATAGACAACAGACGTCGATATTATAACTTTCTAAAGACATAGCCAGCCCTATTTGTTGTCCGATCTGTATAAGTGTGCGAACATTGAAGTAAACCAGTTTGAATGGTGCACGTTGTTTCAGAAAAACTGTTTCAGTATTTGTTTTTGGTGGTAGCATTTAACTTTCGACCAGTCGGTGACTCGAAATCGTCTAGATAGAACAGGGTTTTCACTATAGGTGAACTGTTTTATAAGATGGAAAATATGAATACACAAAGTTAGAATTGAAGAGAGTAAATAAGCGACATAGTATGAAGGAAATAAAAACGAATGTTATCAAATAATTGCGAGTAGGAATTGTCTGAATGTCCACAAGGCAATGGAGCAACGTTGGAAGATGTAGTCCTATGATAGCCAGTGATCAACAATGTGTTCATACGCTATTTGTTCCCTCAGGATCCTGGAGACCATGTGAATTATCGCTTTGGAATCAGGGTTTTTCAATTCCGCTAGGTGGGTACTCCGTACCCACCAACCCGGCTAAGGCACCAAACATTCACTTTTCCTCCTCTAAATCTCGTAAGAAACACCTGCGATGGGAGAACGAAGTGAGTAGAACTTCCTTGGGAGTGGCTGCATATGCTTTTGAATTAATTGAACTGAATATTATTTAAGACTAATTAATTTAGTGTATTAATAAAAATTTACAATACTATGAAATGAAATGGCTATAACCAACAGAGATTAAGCGTTTGCACGAGAGATCGAGGGATATAAATCCGATTCTTGCGTGTGGGATCGTGGATGCACACTGTCGAGGAGTCCCATACTAGGATGGAATGGCCGCCTTCAATGGTGGTCTAACTTGGATCGATTCGTGATTTCAAAGAAATTCAATAACATCATGCTGAAGATACAAATATAGTTATGAAACTATTCCTTCTTAAAACGTGACTACATAAAATACCCGGCTGAAAAAACACACTCCTCGTACATCAAATTCAATAACCTATCCAACAGCTGAAAAAAGGTAACAAAACAAAGACTAAAGCATTATTTTTACAAAGGATAAACCATGAATGGAAACAAAAACTAGGTAGACAATAAAAAAATAACACGTCTGTGAGCTAACCATATCATTTCTAATTCTAACTTCGATAACAATGAACGAAACTCATTCCTTGCCAGTTAACTCCAGAAAGAAGTTCAAACTTGCAATGTAGCATTATGGAATACAGAGATCTAAAATCATCACAATTGGTATTAAAACTCATTGCATTGTGTAAAGACTAAATTCAACGATTCTGAGTTAAAGAAAATGTCATACTGAATACGTTTTACATAAAAATGAATACAAATAAATATTATTTTGAATAAACGAAAAATTAGATTGAATTTCATGCAGAACAAAAAATATATTGAATTCATACAAAAAGTCAGCTGAATGAAAATTACATGTAAATCAATACATTTACTTCCATCCTATTTAATTATATATGAAGATTAAACAACCTCAACAAACAGAGGTACTAATTCAAAGAAAGAAAAAATGTTTACTTACCGTCTTGGCATAATCAAATGTAAACGTCTCCATAAAAGTTCCATAGAATGTACAAATTTACGATTGACGCCTAAAAATCCACCATTACCTTGTAATAATAGTAGTCTTGGACATTGTTCAGCTAAGATTGGACCAAAATTTAATAAACAATCTAAACCAAATATCTCTATTGATTGTATTAATTGATTAATCATATAAATAAGATTTTTCCATAATGGACATATTTCAGACAGATTATTCAATGTTGTTGGCTGTTCAGTAGATATTGATAGCTTTGAAATCACTTGTTCAAATGCTAGATAAATATTATTATTTATATGTTTGGTAAACACAAAAGAGTAAAACAAAGAGAAAAAACATTAGAGTCAAATAAAGGCCAATTATTATAAGTGCAACCAATAAGATTACTGTTCTATACAGACATTGAATAAAACAGTCAGTCAGATAACTAACGTTAAGTCAAGCACAAATTTGCGTTGACCCATCGTGACATAATACATCAGAACGACAAGATGAAATTGACAAAGTAAAAAACATAACATATAGTAATGACAATGAGAATATAGTTCTAAACGCAAAAATCAAAAGGTAAATCTGGATCAGTGAATAACTGTGGTCTGACATCTATATTTACGTCAATACGACACTTGTCAAAGAACATCTCTTAAGCAAATCTCCATAGCCAACAATAAAGAGTTTACAACACCAAAATATATATATCTATATTTGTTATACATAACTTTAAATAATCAGTACAGTACAAGCAAGACTGAGATTCTTTAGTAGGGAAAACATAAAATTTGACAACACAATTGTCAAATAAAGTTCACTTCCACAATACTTTTATTATTATAAATGTTATACAGGAAAAATAATCAACAATATACAGTCTATAGAATGTATTTACTATTCTATTTATTTATTTAAAAAGAAAATATAGATGCATAAATATAGAACATGACCTTGACAAATACATGTCACTTTGCCTACTTCTACACGAAGTTTAAAACCTTTGTAAACGTGTGTAAATTTATACAGTGAAACCGAGGAAACACGAAATAACGGTTATATATATCCATTATATTACAAAATCAACAGCGCAAGAAAAAGGGAAAAAAGAAGGAATGTTTCACATCACTGACCTGATATACAAGAAGCAATAACAATAAGTGGCCCATAATCGCATATAAAGGTATTTAGGGATTAGAAATAAACTAAATAAAAATTGATCAAGTGAATGGACACTATTGTACACGATAACCAGTGTTAAATAGCGTGTTTTACATCAAACTGATTGATGCTTCTGAGAAGCGTTGAGTTGGAAATTGAAGAAATTTTTCACAAAGTGACTACAATAAATTAGAATTTAGGTTGAAGTATTTATTCTTTTTTTTTGATAATGATCACTATCAAATGAGATCAGATGTTGATCAGTTAACCTGAATAAAAACAAAGATGGTGACTAGTAGAGGAATCCACGACGGGCGTTTCGTCCTATTTTGGGGCTCTTCAGTTGAATGCATCTGAATTCCAGAGTTGATGTTCGCTTTGAGACAAGAACCCGGTACCGTTCTCTTCAAACTCCATCGTGTTATAAGCTTAGCTACTGAGTCCACATACCCACTAGCTTGTGCAATGGGATGGTTTAATTCATTTTTGTGTTGGTTATTTGAATCTTCTTATTGATGTTTAGGACCACAATTGATCTGTCTCTTATTGGCAAATGTGCATCCTATGCGGATTGCCACGATATTGTCTTAATTCACAAGTAATATAGGCAGAGTTGATCAATTGAAGTCCTAAACATCAATAAAAAGATTCAAACAACCAATACAAAAATGAAAAAAAATTTTACCTAAAGGTCAAGATGAATGATTTCCTTTATTGACGACAGATTATTTTACTATCGATACTAATCAATCGTGGATTACAAAAAATGTCGTTTTATTTTGCTTCAATAAATTAATGAACTGGTGAAATAACTCAGCAGAATGTATTTCAACAAATTCAATGAGTGAAAGCTTATTATTTACTAAATTAGTTTAACTTTTTTCAGTCATTTTTATACTGTCAATATTCACATTGCTAACATCATGGTAACATTTTACTTCTATAAAAAACACACAGAGAGAGAGAGAGAGTGTGAACCTATGCATTGTATTCTTCATTGAACAAAGATTCATGTAATGTACTATCAGTTATAAAACTTTCCAAGATGAAATATACCAGATATTATCAATCTCTACATCAGTCTGTCACAACGCAGGACCAGGCACATATATCCATCGGTCCGAATTGCTATACCTCATTAGCACAACAACATCAACAACAAATTCATAGAAGTAGTTAATTCAGTGGTGGTAATATATAAAAGAAAGATTGCATATAAGGACATAGTACAAGAAAAAAGAATTAATGTCTAACTTCAGCCAATCCACGAAGTTGCGCCACCGTACACCATTGTCTTCAGTGAGTTGTTATCTCACAACAGACCGGTTGAACTCCACTGGTAACGGCTTCTCACTAGAACTTCAGGAGTTTTTTCCTGAAGTCAGTCACTAGTGAGCAGTTGATTATTATTATCAGAATGGGTTTTGTGGAGAATTTTAGAATTTTCACAGTTTTTTGAAATCATGAGTCAGTTGAAGCTAGACCACCATTGAAAACCTGGAAGCACTGGACGGCCGTTTCGTCCTGGTATGGGACTCCTCAGCAGTGCGCATCCACGATCCCGCACCACGCGGGGCTCGAACCCAGGACCTACTGGCTTCGCGCGCGAGCACTTAACCACTAGACCACTGAGCCGGCATCCAACGGTGTTAATGTCTAACTTCAGCCAATCCACGAAGTTGCGCCACCGTACACTGGTCTAGCTTCAACTGACTCATGATTTCAAAAAACTGTGAAAATTCTAAAATTCTCCACAAAACCCATTCTGATAATAATAATCAACTGCTCACTAGTGACTGACTTCAGGAAAAACTCCTGAAGTTCTAGTGAGAAGCCGTTACCAGTGGAGTTCAACCGGTCTGTTGTGAGATAACAACTCACTGAAGACAATGGTGTACGGTGGCGCAACTTCGTGGATTGGCTGAAGTTAGACATTAACACCGTTGGAAGCCGGCTCAGTGGTCTAGTGGTTAAGTGCTCGCGCGCGAAGCCAGTAGGTCCTGGGTTCGAGCCCCGCGTGGTGCGGGATCGTGGATGCGCACTGCTGAGGAGTCCCATACCAGGACGAAACGGCCGTCCAGTGCTTCCAGGTTTTCAATGGTGGTCTAGCTTCAACTGACTCATGATTTCAAAAAACTGTGAAAATTCTAAAATTCTCCACAAAACCCATTCTGATAAAAAAGAATTAGTTCGTACAAAGAAAAATATGAATTAATTTTAATTTCACTGTTTAAGGGAAGGCAAAGAGTGTATACGTCAACGCTATTGTGATCGATTCTGAGCCATGTCATCCACTGTCTTTAACCATTAGTTACGATAGTCACATGGACCCCAATCCAGTAGTCTGCATCTACCAACATGGTTCACACTAAAAATTAGTGACTTCAAGCACTGATGCCACATTTTGAGTTGGTCACCCCTAACTTTTTTTTCCAACCATTCCCAACACTAGTCAGCATTGTGCAATCTCTACATAATAAAATAAAATAAATTTAAAATTTGTCAATATCTATACGAAAATTCATTGTTCTATGGTTACATCTATAGTTGATTACGTTTTAATAAAGGACCAAATGTTGACAAAGTCAAATAAGTTGGAATAATTTTTGTAGTGACAATAATATTGACTAGATTTTATTTTTCTTATAGTCAATAGTAACTTATTTTACTTTACGACGAATTACAATTTATTAATTGGTTTTCTAAATAAAAGATTTCCCTAATGAATAAGCATAATTATATTCATATATATAGAGAGTGAAAGATTTATAGAAATAGAACACACGCCTACCATTTATAAATATCAGTATGTTAAGTGATGTGATACAAGAAAAGGGGAAGAGTACCTAAGCATATCACAATAAGTGATAAGTAAACTTGATAATTAAGTAAAGAAAAAAAGAAGAACAAATAAAAACAGTTTATACATAATATGAATTGTAATTAACATTACTACACTTTGAACTCTATGCCAGAATTTGTAATTTTCCGTTGTTAATATTAAAAACTATTTTTCTGATCATTTTTTGTTGTTATATTTGTATCTTAAGCAGTTTGAATGACATTTCAGAGTGAATATCGACACTAGAGTGGACATATATCCAGCCAACAAGTTTTAAATTGGATGAGATAGATGTTCTAGATCCTACAGTTGACTATATACTTTAATATACTATGGTATAAGTTGATTTTAAAAAAAAACTAGTCAGCTCGTATACGGTCGTTGATGTATGGTGCTTTCGAACTAGGACCAAAAACATCTGTTCACTGACTTATAGACTTTGATGATTCTCCTACTGATGTTAGTTAGTTATTAAAATTATAATCATTTAATAGAAACCAAATAAAAGCTTTAAGATTGTAATATATTTCACTAATTTATGTATATAAAACTTACAATAGTTTGTATGATTATACAACTGATAGAATTAATATTGTATCATTTAATGTAATTATTTACAAGATATATTGATGAATATTTCTAAGAGTTAACGAATAGACTATACTCCTAGGCTAGTCACCACACTCAGAAATGCAGTGCATCGATGAGTTACTGTCAACCACTTAAAAGCGCACCACAAACCTATTCACCAGTGAATGAACGGTTATAATTGTCCTTTGTGATTTTCTGAGAACTTTGAGTAATTTGAAAGTGATATCCATATCCTGGATTGGTGTCAACTAAGTTGCCAATGTATATGATGAGCGATTACTAAGTCCTAATTTGGAGCTATTCAACAGTCTGTAACAATGATGGTTTTCAGTTAGTCGGTTACATATAACGTAGAAGCTGTCACATAAGTGCATCGGTTCTAGAGGAAAGACAAAGAGTAGATGCGTTTACATCATTGTGAACAATTCGGAACCATGTTAAATAATGTCTCCAGCTATTGATTACGATGATCGTGTGGATCTAACCAACATGATTCAGATCAACGGTTAGTGATCTTGTGTACTGATGATACGTTTTAGTCTAACCGCATCTGGCATTCTCCCAACATACACTTACACCAGAAGACATCGCCTGTCAAGTTGAGGGTTGGATAAGCATACGCTATTTATGTTCTAACAGTTCACCAGTCAATTTCAGCTATTGACGAGAATTACTTTTTAAGTACATTTAGTCTCTAATACACAGCTACTGAGCTTACTTCATCACAATAACTTGAAGTTGAATGAATAAATTAAAAATTGCTCTCATACTAAAATAACAGCGAAAGATCATATATGTCAACTAAGAAGTCACAAGAAAACATTGAGAAACATTTATGGAAATCAATATAATTATTATACTAGAAAATAAGTAATCAAATTGATTTGAGGGCTTGATTTCAAATGATTCCCAAAAAAAAAACAACTACAACGTATACCATGTTTTGTAGCATTACTATTAAGTGAATCACAGAATGGTTACAATAGTTCATAATTCAATTATCATGAATTTTAGTACTCAAAAGTGATTCGATTTGAAACAAACAATCAGAAATTCCAACATCTAGGTTTCAAAACATATAAACAATTTGAAGTCACATGAGTAAGTGATTTGAAAAATAAAAAAACGTCAATACCAAATGAACGAACTTCCAAATTAGCATTTGTACATTTAACCGGCTAGTACGATTACGCTGACAAATATCGAAAAATAACCTGTAAAATTCCAGTCAGATAAAAACGCAACCGTAGCAAAAATCTTGAGGTGGTGGACAGGTTTTAGTATTGTGGTGACCCGATAAAGTTATGCTGCCTAGAACACTCGTTTCTTCAGGTCTTATCGAGGTAGGTATGTTGGTTGGGGGGACGTAAGTTTAAAAGTAGGCACTTAAGGATTGAAGCCAATATTGTAGTGGAAACTGTACAAGGGTGTGGCAGTAATAAGATGCTTCCCTCAGATGACCAACAACATCCACAGAAATCCTGCCACCTCACAACATAAGGAAGAGGTTAGAAAAGGTCCCCCCTAATAATTGCAAACATCACCTTACCCCATGGATTCCCATTCTCAGTGGTAGGTTTTAAAAAGTAGAGAGATAACACACCTAGAACTACTCACAAAAGGGGCATGTTTGACTGACCCCAAGAATTTATTCCTTGGAGTCTTTGGTTATACTCCTAAGTCATCAGAACCACTCCCTAACTCAGTTTTCTTTCCAGGTACTTTATAAAGAAGTACCTATCCACGATATGATCAACCACGACAACCAATCTCATACCTCATACAGCATCGAAGACAAAGTTGGAAAATAATGCAAAACAGGCTAACCTTGATTTAATTGTTCTTCACGGAACGGCAAAGGATAATTCGATTGTTGATAAACAAAATTTGTTTGGTTCGTCATTACTCTCGATGTTACGATTGTTGTTGTATTATTCACCGGTGATAAATTCATTTCAGCTTTATTAATACAAAGAACACGAATAGGTTCGTGTTCAGATCTCCATATTGAATCAAGTAATAATTCATCTTGTATCATCATTTCACCCATAGTTAAATGCGGAAAATGATTTGTAACCAATCTGGACAAACAAATATACATAAATTAAGAGATATAACATGGAAGTTTTTATTAAAATAAAACGATCGCCTATTAATGATTGGTACAAGGTATCAAATAGATATGCGCAACACAAATCATTCGATTTGTGTAAAGGCTGGGATACTGCCCAGGCGCTCAAACCGAAGCAGGGATGGTCTTAAACATCGTTGGATTCCGGTCAAGTGGTCTAGAGGTTAAGTATTCACATGAGACCGAAGGTCTTAGGTTCCAGTTCCATGTGAGAAATCTTGAATTCCCAATGCTGGAGAGTTCCCAACAAGGTCGAAATGGCCGTCCATTGCCTCTAGGTTTTTAATGGTGGTCTAACATTGATCAAGGATATATCGTTTGGTGTAATGAAAGACAAAAGTCATTCATCTTTTAATTTTATGCAGAAACTTGTGTAGTTTTTTTTATCGCAAGTTGATTTATTCTTCCATACTGTTTTTATCTTTAAAAGAGGGCATAAAAGATATTTCTGAATCATTGAAATAATCATTACAAAGTTGACTAGAGTTATACAGCAATCTGGATTGAAATAAATAAGTCGTTTATCCAGAAAAACATATATACTTTATTGGCATAGACTAGAATAAATCGTTCAGGCACACAAATACAATTCCTTCTTTACATGGATGAAAAGTTCATTTTGACATTTGTTTCGGATTATTTGTTATATCAACACTTATTCATCTTCAGTGAATTTCTTTGGAATGTAACGAACGAATCTGTTGAAGGACTACATTGTTTTATTAAATCAGTTAGTGAGATTTTTTCTCTTCACAATCCCACTAATAATATAAAAAAAACAATCTAGGTTTCGATAACCATTGTAGGGGATGAGAACAACATTGGGGAAAACTAAATGTATTTGAGCAGAAAACTACAGAACCTATTACTAAAATCTGAGAACCATACAGTAATAATTCATTCGCAAAATGTCCACTTATTGTCCCAGACCTTGTTGTTCCTCCTTTTCCCTACCAATCACTCTCTGTTCTAGTTCTCTTCTCTTCGATTTTCTCAACCTTCTGACATCAGGCATTACACTTTCAATTAGTGATACACACTACTTATATCTGTCTACATTAGTAGCACACACCATACCATGAATCCAATAAATAACTTATGATAAACAAATAAATGATGCACTATATATGAAAATTTAATGGATTATAAGTTAAAATTGTCAATAGAATGTGACATATCGATCAGGAAGTAAAATGAAATATGTAACCAGAACATAACTAATTAATTATAAAACTGTATGTAGACGAAAGTTTAATATAACACTTTTTCACCACAATTTTTATCAATGTGAGAATATAAATTTTTGAAAGACTGGATTATGACAAATATATTATACCTGACTGATTAATGATAAGTTAATATTTCTTCTTCTGATTATCTAGAATCTCTTGGCATCTGTAATTTAAACAAATGTGAATAAATCAACAGAATTCCAGATAATCATCTGTCCTTACCTAACTTGAGATGAAGTTCTCTATATGGGTGAAAGTGCCTACTTATAAATGGTCAAACAACAATTATCATTCACTTAGACGGACAGTTATGTTTTGATAATAAGAAGGAATTTTTGCAACGGGAAAATCATCAACTTAATTGTATAGGACTAAAAATCCACAAGAAAATTAAAATAAATAATACTCAAATTGTTCATTCAAGAATCTCTTGTAAAAAAGTTGCGTCCATAGGTATACACTGGAGACTAATATTCTAAACGATTGTTGAATGTGGAGAATCAATATCATCATTGTTCCATATGAATGAGAGGGCTTTATTGTTACTAAATATATTTTTCAAGATCAGAAAAAAACGAAAGCATATAAATAATAAATGAGATTCAGCAATTTAAAAAATACTTTGGATTGTAACTCGATCGATACCTTTCAGTCAGCATTAGGAATGACCTCAGTCGACACTCAGTGATTAATCAGTTGCAAACAACTCAGTCCTATAGGAGGTCAGTCGGGACCTAAATAGCTCAGTGGTAAATTCTCAGAATGTTAAGCTGAGTAACCCAAGTTTGAATCATACAGAGAGCATCAGTTTCCTCAAGATCGCGAGTACACCGTTCCGATGAGTGTCCACTAACACAAAACCTAGGTCAAACATGGTCTCTTAGCGACCACCCCGATTAACACATCTGACAAGAAATTTTAATAAAGCATACATATATATATAGATGATTCGTAATCTGATAAAAGGATTAAGAAATGTTTGCATCCATTTATGTTAATTTCTTTATTCGTTTTCCGTTCAGAAATTGATCCATTATTCAGAAAGAACTGATAATAAATATGAGAGAAATTCGAGTGAACATAAGTTGGTCTTATTACACACACACAAATCAACGCAAAAACACGCACACAATCACAAAATCATCGAACAGAATAAAATGCATTAAGCAATTATCATTACACTCAAGAAGCATAAAAAATATTGGATAAAGAGATGTTAAAAAGAAGGATGCAATCATCAGGAGACAGAGACTGTTGATGACCTCTATTTTTATCAGTATAGGATTGTGGAGATTGTTAAGTTTTGATTCAAATCATGAACCGATTAATGTTAGACCACCGTTGAAAACCTGAAAGCAATAGACGGCCGTTTCGTCCTGGTGCGGGACTTCTCAGAGGTGCACAACCACAATTCCACATACGGGACTCGAACCCAGGACATTCGGTTTAGAGTGAGAGCACTGGGTCTTTAAACCACTGAGCTATCATCCAGCTGTGTTAATGTCTAACCAATCTAATTCTACTATGTTTGGTTACCAAGATAGCATTAACAACGACAGCACATCTATTGCCTAATGAAGGAACTTCAAAGTACTCTATTGGGAAAGGAATACGTGGATAATAAGCCTAGAAATGATAGTGATAATTATGATCGTAACAACAATAATATGGAAGAAGTAACATTATCCAAACATCCGCTTATTTATAGATTAAACATTACAAATAATCCAAGACAGATTACGTAATACTCACTTCAAAATCTAGACTAATTTGGTAAAGCTAAGAAGTAATAAATAAGATATTAGAAATAACGACTAAAGGTTATAGTACGTTTAGAAAACATACCAATAACACTGATATCTATAAAAGATGGTTTAGTCTAGCTAGCTACGAATTAGCTAATTTGTCATCGTTCTTATCAATTTCTTTCAGTTAATCAAGCAAAATCGAATTATTAATAGGAAAGAGGAAATAGGTTTAAGATAACAATAACTTACTGCAATAATTTTGGATATAGAGAGCGATAATCTGATAAATGTGCACGAGCATATCGTAAAAGATATGTTATAGGTATAATATCCCATAGTTTATTGGAATAAACACATGATGGTTCATTAGGTAAACGATCTGTGTTAATAATAAATATATGAATATAAGCACAGCAAATAGAAAAAAAACGAAAACGAATTAAAACAATGGATTTTGTTGAACTCAGGATGGTTGTTTTTCTTAGTATAGAAATACTCAACAGTGTGAACCCACGACCACATAGGAGATCGAATCGAGAAACTTCAGGTATCGCGACATGTGATTAGCTTTTAAACCATTGGGTCTACAAATCCAACGGTTTACATGTCTAATTTCAATCAATTCGCGGTATTGAACTACCATTTCCTAAAGTTATGGCAGAATAAATGACTCGTACCCGACATGTTTGAGCCACTTTGGCCACATTTTCACACCAAAACTCCAGGAACTACCTCTCCAGACTAATTATTTGTGAACACATGATCATCATTATTAAAAGGAATCACATAATAAGACGAAGCAGTCGGCCAGTGTTTCCAATGGTTGTTTAATTAAGATAAATAAACTACGATAAAACTCGATCAATAATTTATACGATAGTCAGTAATATGTCACTTTTAATGTTTGTATTCGACCCTGAATAGTATTGTTTATGTAAGAACTAGTAGCTAAAGTATGAATACAGATCGAAAATAAAATCGATCATTTTGGATTGTTAAGCAAACTCTTTTATATCAGATATATTTACTTTGGAAAAAAACATTTATGTCAAATGAACAATTTTTGCACATAGTTACTGTATGATAAGTGTTATCGACTAGTTTAACCCTGAAGAAAAAGTCAAAATTGAATACAAAAACAACCCTAAATCTACAAATAGTTTTGTGGTTTTTACTGAAACATATGTTTATGAGGTCTTGACTTACAAATTCAACAATGAATATTGTGCAGTACACGATATAACCTTAAAAGACATGTTAATACCTTCTCGAGGCGCTGTTGTCTACGAAATTGAGAATACGAAAAACGAACGCACGACTCTTTAACCGGGTCGGTGGACACTGAGAGTACAACTAGGGGAGTTGGAAAACCTGATTCCAAACCAACAACTGACGGAACACCACATTACTACTAATGGTCCACCTATATACGCTAAGTCGAGAAGACTACCAGCACACAAATAACCGATTGCAAAGAGAGAATTCGAACATGTGATGCAACTAGGCATCATCAGGTAGTCTAGTAGCCCATGGGCTTCGCCTTTACACATGGTTCCCAAGAGACATCAGGACGGGCGCCCATGTGGAGATTATCGACGTTTAAATAATCAAACTACTCCAGATAGATATCCAATTCCTCATCTACACGACTTTTCTTAGAATCTACACGGAAAGCAATTTTTTTCGAAACTAGACCTTGTGAGAGCATATCATCAAATTCCGAAGGCACCGGAAGATATTGAAAAAAACAGCCATTGTCACACTTTTTGGTTTGTTTGAATTCTTAAGTACTGCAACGAGTCAACGACATTATTGCACTTATAATCAAACGAAACGTTCCGTGATGAGTTTTGTGGTGACTCGGATTCCCGGATGTGGAAGTTTGTATAAATGTTGAAATATCTGTCGCCGACAAGCTTTTGGTAAAAAGGGGAGCTTTTTGCCAGTTGAAACGTCGCAAATGATAGATGAGTGAGAATTTGGGGTGCTTTAGTGCGAAATGAATAGCTAGTAGTTCCCGTCCGAATTTACTGTGACATTTCTGTGCAGGCGACAGTCGTTTAGAGAAAAATGCTATAGGTTTAAATAATGTCGTTGACTCGTTGTTGCAGTACTTCGGAATTTGATGATATGCTCTCACAAGGTCTAGTTTCGAAAAAAATTGCTTTCCGTGTAGATTCTAAGAAAAGTCGTGTAGATGAGGAATTGGATATCTATCTGGAGTAGTTTGATTATTTAAACGTCGATAATCTCCACATGGGCGCCCGTCCTGATGTCTCTTGGGAACCATGTGTAAAGGCGAAGCCCATGGGCTACTAGACTACCTGATGATGCCTAGTTGCATCACATGTTCGAATTCTCTCTTTGCAATCGGTTATTTGTGTGCTGGTAGTCTTCTCGACTTAGCGTATATAGGTGGACCATTAGTAGTAATGTGGTGTTGGACATGGTGTAAGGTGCAATCATTTTGATAATCAACTCTTGTGATGCATTCGTACTTCGACAAGACGTCGGTGGAAGCTTTGTTCGCTGGTTTTATTATTCCAACACTGTGAATCTCACAGTTGGTAGTGATTGTACCAATCACCTGTAAACGTGTGTTTTCGTCGATCAGCTTCTTTTATTCATGTCTACTAGCAGGTCGTAGGCGCTGAGAAAGTCGGCTCCGAGAATAGGTTGTTTGACCTAGGCAACTATGAAAACTCGGAGTTCGAGGTCTAAAATGAGAGATTGATCTCTATAGGTTTTGATGACCGCTTCGTTGGCCGCGATGAGTGACAGTTTGGTACTCATGATGTGCCGTCGTCGTGAAAGTTGAAGTGGGATTATGCTGATTTCTACTCCTGTTTCGACCAAACAAATCTGAGCCAGAAATACAGTCCAGGATATGAAAAAGACGGCTGGTGTTGTGGCCAGCAACAGGCGCCGCCATTACTGTCTGGCCAGCACGTTTTCCGATTTCTCGTTATTGGTTGGTGTAAACGCGCACGGTCGTGTGCAACGCCGTGCTTTTGTGCCGTATTTTCAGTGGTACCAACAGATCCCGGTGGCTAGTTTAGGTGACCATGAACGCTGCCTTGAAAAGGATCTTTGCCTAGCCGGTGATCTGTATCGATTGGTTAGTACCGTGGCTATTGTCGCTTGTAATTCTGCTAGTTGGTTTGCCAGTTCCGTTATTTGTTATTGTTGGAACATGGCTGTACTACCTTTATCCGTTGGTGCTGTAGCTTGTACTGAGTTTAAACTATGATTATCCGGATGGATTTACGTCATTTTATCGGCCATATCTGCTAACCCACAGATTAATCCCAACAAAAAACGGAGACGCTAGATTCATCCACCAGGGTACTGAGTTATGCAAAAGTCTCCGGTTGTTCCCTTTCGAAATTCTGCCTTGAACTAAATAACTTGCATTCACAGTCCTCAACCGATTCTAGAGGATATCCCCGACCGTTGTTGCTACCTTGACGTGGTGGTCGGGCTTGCCTATCGTGATGAAGCAACCGAGCTATACTGGCTGGAACAACCGTTCCTCAAGGTCCTACCATGTCAGACAGGTCGGTTGAAGAGCGGTAAGACTAAAAGCAACAAACCCAAGGTCCGAAGGCGAAGTCGTACTGCTGACTGTACAGAGGTGTGACAGCAGTAAGGTGTTTCCTTCAGACAACCAGCATGACAGCGATGCTGCCTTCCCACAAGGAGGGGTGGGGTTAGAAAAGGTCGACCCTAAAAATGCACACCTCGCCTTATCCCACGGATATCCGTCTCCGGCGGTAAGGTCTCAATAAGTACGGAGCTAACACAAAAATTACCCATAACAAGGTCGTGTGTGACCGACCTCAAGCAGTTGTCCCTTGGGCACTGCGGTCACGCTCTCAGTTCACTAAGACCACCTTTAATCCAATTTCCTTTTCAGGTACCTCCAGAACAACCCTTCCACGGTGTGGGCAACCGGGAAGTGATAACCGCCCTCATACTTCTAACAGCACTCAAGTCCACTGTATTCATAATCAACCTCCTTCTTCAATTCCTATTATTCCTCCTACATCGACTTTCAACTCTGTATTTCCTCTCTCGGCTTCCACCTCAAGTGTCACCGTAGCCAACGATTCTAGTGCGCAAAACACTGTCCCAGGTCTACTGAAACCTCGCTCCAAACTACACATTGGAGCCTTCAACGTACGCACCCTATGTCAAATCGGTCAGCAGGCTTCCTTGGCTAAAACCCTAGAGTCTCTTTCCATTGATGTATGCTGTGTCTCCGAAACACGCATACAGGATTCCAGTGTGGTCATTCACTTGACCTCACCTCGGCAAGACGGAGAGCCAACGAGATACACCCTTCGTGTGTCCGGTGACCCGATGGCAAGTTCTCGTGGACTGGCAGGTGTAGGCATAGCACTAAGCATAAGGGCCGAACAAGCACTGCTAGAGTGGATCCCCGTCAACAGTCGTCTATGTGCTGTTCGGCTGAACGGCTACGTAAGAACTCGGAAGGATAGGGACACACGTCGTTGCCTTTTTGTCGTTTCTGCCTACGCTCCCACTGACTGCAGCTCAGATGAAGTGAAAGATGAATTTTACAGAAAGCTATCCGAACTTCTTCAGAAAGCTAAACGCTCAGACATAGTACTCGTAGCAGGTGATTTTAATGCTCAGATAGGCAGTTTAAACCAAACAGAAAGGCATTTAGGTGGATATTTTAGTATTCCGACACAGCGAACAGATAATGGTGATCGTCTGCTGCAGCTATGCTCAGACAATCGTTTATTTTTAGCAAACACAAATTTTAAGCATAAGGAGAGACATCGTCTAACATGGCGACCCCCTACACCAAACCAACGATGGACTCAAATAGACCATATTGCCATCAGTCATCGTTGGAGAGGGTCGGTAGAAGATTGTCGTTCATTCTGGAGCACCTGCTTGGACTCCGACCATGCCCTAATACGGGCACGCATCTGCTTGCGCCTCAATGGACGCAAAAAAGCCACATTAAAAAGACCCATTAGAACTGAGTTGAGTAACGAGAAAACCAAAAGTAGGTTCCAGGAACAACTGAGGTCACACTTAGTTAGTTGTGAAGACGAGGCTGACCCAGATGTTGCTTGGAAGGACATACAAGCAGCTGTGGAAACAGCAGTGACATCTATTAGTGACTTAAACCACAGAGTTACAAGGAACCAGTGGATTTCTTCAAGGTCTGTCACACTGATGGATTCTCGCAAACTCGTCCCATCAGGTTCTGAACATGATGAAGAGCGTAAACAAATCAGATCTAGGTTAAGAAAAAGTCTAAGGAACGACCGTGAGCAGTGGTGGGTAACGAAAGCAAAAGAGATGGAAAAGGCGGCGACTATAGGGAACACAAGACAGCTTTACAGACTAATAAAAGAAACTGGAACTAATAAGTCAAGTGTAAGTGAGATTATTTCGGAAAAAGATGATACTCTCATCTGCTCCCAGTCCAGACGTTTAGAACGATGGGCGGAACATTTTAGAGAACAGTTCAGCTGGCCTTCAGCTACTCTACAACTACCCTCCATTCCCAGACAAAGTGAATGGAACATTGAAGTAGGTCCCCCAACTCTTGCTGAAGTTGAGAAGGCTATAGTTAATCTGAAACGAGGAAGGGCAGCTGGTCCAGATGGACTGGCTCCAGAAGTCTTTAAGGATGGTGGTCCAATTTTAGCGATTAGGTTGACTAATATTTTAGCTAAAATCTGGGAGTTAGACGTTATCCCATCTGACTGGTCGCAATCACTTATCGTCCCAATATATAAGAAAGGGTCAAAATCATCCTGTGACAACCACAGAGGGATTAGTTTAACAAACATAGTATCTAAAATACTGGCCTCGATAATTATCAAACGCCTAACTAAGACTCGTGAACTACAAACACGAGAGAACCAAGCTGGCTTTAGACCTGGTCGTGGCTGCATCGACCACATATTCACCATTCGTCAGGTTCTAGAACACAGGCATACCTATCGGCGTCCGACGATGGTGGTCTTTCTTGACTTAAAAGCAGCATTTGACTCTGTAGACCGCGAGACTCTGTGGCAGTGTCTGTCATTGAAAGGCGTACCTCAGAAGTACATAAACCTTGTGAAGGCTCTTTACTCGAACACTACTAGTCGAGTCAGGGCTTATGGCGAACTGTCATCTACCTTTACAACCTCAAGTGGTGTCCGTCAAGGCTGCCCACTTTCTCCATTTTTGTTTAACTTCATCATAGACCTATTGATGGAAATAACACTCTCGTCGACTGAATTCTCGGGTATTGATCTCCTTCCAGGAGGTCCACTTATCGACTTAGAATATGCAGATGACATAGTCCTGTTTGGTGAAGACGCTGACAAAATGCAGAGTCTTCTGGTAGCACTAAGCAACAATGCCAGAATGTTTGGGATGCGCTTCTCTCCCTCTAAATGCAAGTTGTTGCTTCAGGACTGGTCTGCGTCAACACCTGAACTAAGGATAGGGAGTGAAGTAGTCGAACGTGTTGACAACTTCACTTATCTTGGAAGTCTGATCAGCCCTAATGGGTTGGTGTCTGACGAAATCTCAGCACGGATTCGTAAAGCTCGTTTGGCTTTTGCCAACTTACGTCACCTTTGGCGGAGGCGAGATATCCGTCTATCAATAAAAGGACGAGTATACTGCGCGGCTGTCCGTTCTGTTTTAATTTACGGCAGCGAAACATGGCCCTTAAGAGTAGAAGACACCCGTAAGCTACTAGTATTTGACCACAGATGCCTTAGAAATATTGCTGGCATCTGCTGGGATCACCGGGTAAGTAATAGTGAGGTTAGACGCAGGGTATTAGGGAATGATGGTAAATCAGTTGATGAGGTTATGAATCTTCATCGACTGAGATGGTTGGGCCACGTATTACGTATGCCTGAACACCGATTACCGCGACGTGCAATGCTAACCGGTGTAGGGGATGGTTGGAAGAAAGTTAGGGGCGGCCAAACCAAAACGTGGCATCAGTGCCTGAAGTCACTAACTTCTAGTCTGAGCCATGTTGGTAGATGCAGACTACTTGGTTGGGGTCCGCGTGACTTTCGTAACCAATGGTTGGAGACCCTTGGTGACATGGCTCAGAATCGATCACAATGGCGTCGGTGTATACACTCTCTGTCTTCTCTTAAACTAAGAGATTAAGATCACTTCACATCTTTCTTTCTACGAACTAATTCTTTCTTCCTATACTATATCCTTATTGCAATCTTTCTCCTATATATTACCACCTTTGACCTAACCACTCCTATGAATCCGGTGTTCATCTTGCTGTGCTAATGAGGTATGGCAACCTGGGCCGATGCATACATGTGCCTGGTCCTACGTTGTAGCTGACTGACTGACTCTAGAGGATATCTAAGTGAAGTAATAAAATGTATAAACTACATCACAAATGAATGTCATACATAAACTAATAAAAAACCAGTAAAAATTTCATTGCATAATCAATGGAAGCAGTAATGTAGCATAATGCCACGTTTTAATAAACTTACGTCGATTAGATGTTAAACGTAAATTGAACTGATAATCGAAAACAAAAAATGCATAATATAGAAATAATAACTGCGGAGTAAAATCTTGTTCTGTAGTTGAAATATATAAACGATTTACAGATTTATGATTAATTTTCGATTGTAAATGAATCCCTGGTGCACAAAATTGAATCAAATTAGAAGATTTAGAATTCGTGAATTCATTGATTAATTCCTGTTCAGAAATTAATGATAAGTTGATATAAGCTGTTGAAGCAGTAGGATTGGTAGTAATAGTACTGCTACTAATACTACTAGTAGTAGTAGTAGTACCAGTAATACTAGGAATATCACTATTCAATGACGATGAATTGTTAGAATTTGAAGTAAACGAATGCGTAATATGTGCTTCTAATAATTCTGGTAGCAATGGATGAATTGGACGTACACTTTCACGTATCTGTCCAATAATCCATTTCTACAATGAAAAATAAATAGATAAAATTTGAAATTACACCCAAGTTATTACATTAGTGACAGAGATATTAGCATTAACAAAAATCAATGAACAGTAGAACAAGCTTATTTAAATACTGGTGAAAATATGCGTGTTATTACATACGAATGCCCAAGATACTTCAATGAATTAGTAACTTCGCTAGTGAGTTCACATTCCAGATATGGGCTAAATCAAAGCTTACGGTGAAGTTTCATGAGAACCAAAAACTTTAAGTGCTTCTGTGGAGGCTGCCCATTGTCCTCATATGCTTATTCAACATCGTCATAGAAATACTTTTAGGAGGAATACATTCTTTGCTTGACTTAAAGGATTGATCTCCTATAGACTTAGAACACACAAATATTACAATCCAGTTTGGTGAAAACTGAAAAATATAGTCTAACGATCGTATTGACTAACATTCTAGGCATATTTGATATGTATTTATCTTATTCTATGACTGTAAAATGTTGCTTCAAGACTGATCCACGACAAAGCCTAAATTAATGATAGGGAGTGAAGTGGATGAACAAATAGACCACTCTAGTTATTTCTAGAGTTTCATTAGTTCTGGTACATTGATGTCTGACGAAATTTCAGCACAAATTCAGAAAGCATGTTGCAGATGAGATGCTTATCTAACTAAAGGACGAGTATACAGGCCAGTAGTTCGTCTCGATCTGCTTTATGACTGTGAAACGTGGTCTTTGAAAATAGAGTGTATACGTAGGTTACCAGTATTTGATTATAAGTATCTTCAAAGCATTGTTCCGCTAATATTAGGACCACCAAACGTAGAAAATTGGTTCAGATTTTCTGCTTCAGTAATCATAACTGTGCTACATTCTGAATTTCGACTTGGATAACTTCATATCAATTCATAATGAAATGTACTTACAAACTATACGAACTAACCACAAAATCATGTAACTTAACTATTATCTATGTAAAATTTAAAAATTTGGCAAGTGTCCAATGAATCTAATTGTAATTATTTAATTAATGAAAGAAAATGAAGAAAAACAAAACATTTATCAATGTATAACAATAATCAGTATCCTTGATTTCATACTGAAATTAAACACGCCAGAGTTGTCTTGGCAGAGTCTTTTTTTAAATAAAAGATATCAAAAAATAGAGAGATATAAATAAATAAATAAATAAATATATCTTACCTTAGTATGTAGTTTATTTTTAGCAAATGCATGCGATTTAAGTAATTGTAGCATACATTGAGTTGGTAAGTGACCAACTAAATGTCGACTCAATTTTGGCGTAATTGGAATTCGTGCAACTTGATTAGCAATCATCTGCATAAATATATTTTTTTACGAAAACATAAGACAGGATATAGGAGCAGAACCGTTTTTTTTTTAAAAAAAGATGATTTTTAATGAATACTTCATCCAACTGATTAATTACATAAAATGTGTATCCATTTTCATAAGAGCTGATATGAAACTTGGTTTATTACGATATATATTGAAATTGTGTATAACATTGTTAATACTTAAAAACTATAAGTAAATTAACAATTACTATAATATCCACAAAAACCCTTTCGATATGAATTAATATATGCTCACTAGTGACTGACTTCAAGAGGTGTTTCCTGAAGTTCCAGTGAAAAGCAGTGACCAGCGGAGTTCAACTGGGTCAATTGTGAGATAGTAACTCACTGAAGACAATGATGGATGTGTCACTCAATTTGGTGGATTGATTGAAGTTAGACACTAACACTGTTGGATACCGGCTCAGTGGTCTAGTGGTTAAGCGCTCGCGCATGATACTGATAGGTCCTAGGTTTGATTGTGGATGCGCACTGTTGAGGAGTGCCATAGTAGGACGATACGGCCATCCAGTGCTTCCAGGTTTCCTATGGTGGTCTAGCTTCAATCGATTGATGGTCTCAACCATTGAAATTACCATAATATCCGCAAAAACCCTCCTGATATGAATTAGATATATATTAAACATTCAGTGACAGGTTAGATAGTTGAGTGGTAAGAAATTTGAATAAAGTTATTGAAGATGCAGGTTTAGATATTTCTGGAATATCATTTCTTTCAAGATAGTAAAAATACTCCTTATTGATTAACGTAGACTACAATAACAGAAAAAATTTCCTAAATTATTCTTTTGGTTAACTGCTGAGTTCCAATGAATGAGAACGTAAAGAACATGAAGAATATGAACTTCTCAGCTAAAGAGTTTCCCGATCCTATAAAAACCTTTAGAGGTGGCAAAGAGTTGATATGACTAAAATGAAAGGGGTAAATTCGATAGTCAGATAAAATTAGGTTAATGAATCTGAAGTTTTATATGACGGAGTGACTAAACTTAGTCAGAAAACTACCGAAAACCAAGAAGCATTAGATAGCTATTTCATTCTGCTGAAGGATTCCTCATCAATGCCAACTCCAATGTCTGAAGGCATAGTTGTTTAATCAAAGCCAGTCTGTGATTTGAAATTGGATTCGCCGTGAATAAATATTATCAGATCGAAGTAATGTTTCCTAATATTAATGCTAATCCATTTTACACATATTGATTACTTTAATCAATGTAATAAATAATCCTATGTTTTTTAGATGACACTGATGTTTTTTTGTCATGTCACATCTACATTCATTAGCTTGCATAGACAAAAATTTGGTACAGATAATACATATTTCTCCTCTTTAGATACAACATAATCTAATGACTATTTTTTTAGACCAAACAAAATAGTCAAGTGTTTACACGCAAGTTATCTTACACCTTCAGACTTTTTCTAGGTTTTTGTCTTCAAGCTATTTAAGTCCAAACAGGTAACCACCTAGTGTATTGAACAAAATAAATAATGTGTTTCTTTAAACAATAGTATGTATGGATTATTAATGTATTATGATGATAATGATTTAAAGGAAACTTACATTTTCTGTAAAACAGTTTGGAAAAATAATTTACGCCATCCATTGATAGTTCGTCCAAGTGATGGTATACGTAGACCAAGTAAAGTTGATATTAGTTCAGTAATTGGTCCAGGTTGATTTGTATGAAATAAGATAGCTAAAAGCAGTAAAGGTTCAATGTACGATGTTGTTTTTGAAAATTGATTACAATTACGCAGATAAGATGACGATGATGATTGAGTTAGTGAATTGAAAATATCTTGTTCATCTATTAAACGTTGGAGCCAAGTTACAATTGTATTTTCAATATCTGTTGCATTTGCAGGAACACGACTATTATTGTGCATTACGCCATTAGTATCTGAAGATATTCTGCACGTAATAGGGTGAAATCAGTTCAGGATTAGAGTTAAATTGAATACCACGAAGAAATCAATATTTGTAAGTAGAATAAAAGAAAACAAATACTGTTATTATGAATGAGATATATTATGCTTTGACATGATGAGGTAAAACAAGATGACATCATTTAGGTCAACAGTTTTTGTATCGAATTCATTATGAATTTAGACCAAGGTGATATGTGAACTTTTGTTCAGTGACGTTTCCAGGCCAATATTTCTGGTAACAATCCAGTATAAACTTCTGTATGACAAATGATAACTTTCCGTTTAGTATGAAGATTAGATTCTCTGTACCTATTCATTCGAACTATATTTAATGTGTGTTACTACAATAACTCCCCTATATGTCATATTCTTGTGTGTAAAAATTATAACACAAATGTATTTTGATCTAATCACAAAATTTTGGGAGTTTTTGGGGTAATGATTTTTGAAGAGACAATAGATCTTCGTTTACACCAAACTTTAAGTTCACATTTCACGTCGTGGGAATTACAGTTGTTCCTGTCCTCATAGATAGTAGGATCGCATATAATATTACGCAGTCAACCTGGACTGGACTCATTCGTACATTACAATAGTAGAAAGGATTATATACAGACAATGTCATTTGAGAAGAAAGGATTAATTCACGGCATAAAATTTGAGATAAATTTAAAACTCGAAATCTAAGGGAAGACAAAGAGTGAATGTATATTGGCTATTTGAAACTAACTCTAAGCCATATCATCTAACGTCAACTATTTATCACGATAATCAGGGGGATCCCAATCAGTAAGTCTGCGTCTGCCTACAAAACTCAGACAAACATTTAATGACCTTAAGAACTGATCCCATATCTTGGCTCAGATGATACTAGCCTTCTCCTATCCTCTTAAGTCACTGAACATCCTCCCAATGTAGAGTGAAAGTTGCTTATGAACAGTTTCCTTAACAATGCAAGTCTTTGAATGGACTGATATCACCTCACCAGGAGAATATGTAACAAAAAGTTATCAGTTGTTGTTTAATAATCAGTCTAATGAATATGGTGCTCTTTTATAGTTAGTGTCATGATATGCTTAAAATCCTTACTACAATGAAACAATAATTTGTTGTAATTTATAAATAAATAACTTACCCTGTTGCCAAACTTGAACGTAACCCAATTAAGAATGCGAGCGAATAACTGATATATTGTAAACCACGTTCAGAAACAACTGTTCGATGTGTAAGAAGAATCAATAACTTTTGCGACAGTTCTGGTGGGAAACTGAAATAATTTTGCAGAAAGATGACAAAATACTACTTCAAATAATCACAATAATATATTTATTATAACTAATAAAAAAAGTATTCAAATAACTCTCAGTACAGAACCAGTTTACAATGTGGCTTGGTTCTTTTTTTCATCCGTCGCCACTGATAAGTCTTGTGGATTGAACGCTACTTGTCATATCTGACCATCGCTGATTGTTGTGTCGGAAACGCTTATCGCTTACACTCAAAACGAGGGACCTCGACAAGTTCCACGATGCGAAAGTAAGAGGACAAGGACTGATATAAGTGAGAATTTATTAACCGCCAAAACACGACGAAGACCCTAGTCAAAAATACTTACTTACTTACACCTTTTACTCCCAATATAACATAGGTCGCCGACCAGCATTCTCCAACCCACTCTGTCCTGGGCCTTCGTTTCCAGTTCTATCCAATTCTTGTTCATTCTTCTCATGTCCATCTCCATTTCTCGCCGCAATGTGTTCTTTGGTCTTCCTCTTCCTTTGGCCTTGAAAATTCCAAATGTGGGCTTGACTTGTGACGCAGTTGGGCGCTTTCCTCAATGTGTGTCCTATCCACTTCCAGCGCTTCTTCCTGATTTCTTCCTCCTCTCTAATCTGGTTTGTTCTCGCCCACAGCAGGTGGTTACTGATAGTGTCTGGCCAACGGATTTGAAGTATTTTGCGTAGACAACTGTTAATAAACATTTATATCTCCTAGATGATGGCTTTCGTAGTTCCCCACATACAGTAGAACTGTCTTGACATTTGTATTGAAAATTCTGACTTTGGTGTTGATTGACAGTTGTTTTGAGTTCCAAATGTTCTTCAGTTGTAAATATGCTGTTCTTGCTTTGCCGATTCGCGCTTTCACATCTGCATCAGATCCACCATATTCATCAATGATGCTCCCCAGATATGTAACGGTTTTTACATCTTCCAAAGCTTCTTCGTCAAGTGTGATTCGATTGATGAGTGCTGTGTTGTATCAGAGAATCTTATTTTTCCCAGTCGAAAATACACTCAATTATATGTTGATTGCACACCCATTTTGATTCATAATTAGGATGAAATCACATCAGTTATAACAAATCACATATAGAGCATAGTTCATGTCAATGGAATACAAGAATATCGTATATTATACAGAATAAAATATCATACGAGAAAAGAAAACCGAATACTACATTGACTAATCATTACATTGAATTAGAAAGAAAGTATTATTGAACAAAAATCATAATGAGTAAATCAATCGAATTTTGACTTTTAATTCCATCATAGCAAATAGTTATACAGAATAAATGACCATACTGGGAAAATAAAACAAATACTACTACTACTGAATAATCAACACATTGAATTAAAAAGAACGGAAGTAATATTGAATAAAAATCCCATCACAAAGCTTTTGAATATTGAAAATAAATGTGAGACAATTTAAAAAAACCTAGTGATCTACCCTGTTAAGTTCACCATTTTTTAATGCTTACAATTATATCCACTGAGATTAGAGATCAAAGGAGAAAGAGGATTGTGTTCAATTCAATAATGACTCATTAATTAGATAATTTTGTCAACGGTTCAAATTTACATCATTCAAGCTGACAACTAGTGTTATTATCAGCTATAACTCCAATATAAACACAAAGAATACAGATCAGAGTTACAACGGTGCTAATATTTCGATAAACCAAATAAAAAGTCTTCCATAGTCAGTATCTGGTGTCAACCTAGCTACCCATCATCGGTTAAGTGATTTTAGATGGAATAATGACCGACAGTTAACATGGAAATAGCCAACTATAGAAAAGAATTCATTTCGAAGTAAAAACAAATTGAGATAAATGAGCAACAAATAGATTTGTTTCACAAATCTTTAAATAACCAAAACACTAGCATACGTCAACACCTGTACACGTACAGTATAAGCATCTGTTGGCCATTCTCGACTCCCTGGTTGGGGCCCCAGAGACTGTCACAGTAGCTTGAAACGCTATCAGTTGGCAATCAATGTCCGTAGGGACGGTATGTGCTTTGCACCTTCGAAGTCCAAAGTACTTCTACAAGACTGGCAGAATTCTAATCCTGTACTCACCCTGCATGGTGAGCAGATAGCAATAGTCGAGAAGTTCGTGTATCTAAGTAGCTGAATAAGTGTTGGTGGTGGCGTGAGTGATGAGATCAATGCACGTATAGTGAAAGCCAGAGTAGCTTATGCCAATCTGGACCATCTTTGGCGCATTCGTGATGTCAGTCTGGTTGTAAAAGGTCGGATTTACAACGCGTCGGTGAGAACAGTTTTCCTCTATGCTTGTGAAACCTCGCCTCTCCGAGTTGAGGATGTTAGACGACTCTCTGTGTTTGATCATCGTTATCTCCGAAGGATTGCTGAGATTCAGTGGCAACACCATATTAGTAATCAAGAGGTTAGACATCGTGTGTTCGGGAGCAGACACGATAATGCAATTGGTGCCAACATCTTGAAACATCGATTTCGGTGACTTGGACATATTCTACGAATGTCGTCCCAGAGAATTCCACGTTGTGCATTATTTGTCGACACTGGGACTGGTTGGAAGAGGCGGAGAGGTGGTCAGTGTATGACATGGTGTCGTGATATGAAAGAAAGCTGCAAAGGGCTGGCTTCTGTTGGTCCTTATCGACTCCCTGGCTGGGGTCCTAGAGATGGTACTACACATTGGCTCAGAATAGAAGCCAGTGGCGACCCTTCTGTAAAGTTATTTTACTTTTTTCATAAAAAGTGGCTGTATCTTCCTTAACTGAAAGAATTCTTCTGGTTGTATCCTTCCGTTTCCGTCATTATTATTATTATTATCATTATTACACTACCTTACACTAATCTGTGGTCGTTATTGTCCTTATACGCACCTTACCTTCTTTCTTTTCTTCCTATTCTCGTTGTTTTTTTGTGGCGCATATATATTTGGTGCCCCCTTGTACCAATATTTATGTGTTCAAATAAATAAATAAATAAATAGACGTGACTCAGAATAAAACCAAGTAGTAGTCCTGATGTAATCTTTAGCTCACTTAGTATAATGTAGAGGAACTTCTTGAATGAATTGCTCCTTCTATTATAACAATTACTATTACTATTATCATTTTCACCTCCTATATACTAATTTCGATTTATTTTTGTTCTTTTTTTTCATTATACTCACCCCCTTTCTCGATTTCTTCATAATCTCATTTTTATTGCGTGGCGTATATACTATTTTAATATCCTTTTGTACCAATATTTATGTGTTTAAATAAATAAAATTCAACTTTATTAGCAGTATAATTAAATCGTTTGACTTAAAGTTAGCTGTTTGATTTTATCCCCATCCCTTAAGATCGATCTCTCTCTGTGTGTGTGACACAACACAAATTAATTAATTAATGTAATTAAATCTTAAATATCGTAAATCAGGATCAAAAATGCGTCTAAAATGGAAAAATAGGTGTCAAAGTACAAAACTAGTTTTCTGTACAACCAGTTTACTATTCACCAACTCACTCCACTTTCAAATACGAAGCATACGAAGCAGAATTTATCTCAAAATAAATTAATGTTATAATTCACTTGCAAGGGTTTGAATCTTTCTGTCCTCAGTGTTAAGGTCTGTAATTGATCAGTCTCTTTTAGTATATATGGATCCTGAGTGGATCGCCTTCGCTTTGGAGAATGCTTGTGACTGATGGCAATATCCAGGTAGTTTACTCAGGATGTACACATGCTAAAAGCTACTGATCAACTGAATTATGGTTGACACCCGTTGTACAAATCTGTGATTGTTTGGACTAAGCAGTTAAGTGGATCACGCATTAACACTTGAAGCGAAGGGCATTGAGTTCAAGTCCTAGAGTGAATATAAACACAAGGATGTGGGTATATCCGGCTGACGAGTCTCGAATAGAGCGAAACAGACGACCTAGATTCCACTGTTAGACACTATCCAACTCCGTCTAAAAACACGAGTATTTACTGAAAAATTAGTCTCGAAAGACATTAAACAGTTGCAGTTTAACAAATACTTTAACTGAGGAAGTTAAATAATTAAAATTCTGGTTACTATGTAACTATGACAGTAATGCTAATCAACTAATATATTGATGAGTTTATCAAAAGAATCAGATCGCTCTGTCAGTTGAACTAAGATATGCTAGAAATACTGCCATACACCATATAAACAATATGGAACACAACTACGTGAGAGCTTGACAATATTTGGTACACAATTTCAATCAGCCTTATGCATTCAAATGGAAAATTATGAGGATCAAATTGTTATACAGTTTGTATCCGAAACAACACTTCATATGAAGCATAAAATTAAATAATAACATCTTACATCATTTTAAGGTAACTGAAAGAAATTAATACACAACTTGGAAAATATTTACAGTTAAAAACCGGTTGAATTTCTAATCAACCAAGCAAGGAGATAAAAGATTCATCCAGACATTTGATAAAAAGTTAATGGAGCAGGAGAAATTTATTTGAATTAGACTTTCTATCAGGGTTCTACATTAATATATACAATCCTGTTTTACCAGAGCAGATCTAGATAGGTTCGCCATTTCGTTTTTTTGCTTTCCTTGTTTTTACATAATTGTATCATTCATCTTCTACTGTGACGTGATTTTAATTCATAACTGACTTGTTATCATAGTTATTTAACCAATTTTACAAGCACACAAAATTCAGCAAAGTGATCTCTCTACAACAGACTTATCATCAAGCTGTATAGTCTGGTTTATTTACAAGATTATAAAGACTAATTTCAAGACGACACTTGAACAATGCACAAATATGATACAATTGGAACATTTTAATACTATGTAAAATAGTGTAATTGAAAATATAAGGCTATGTAATTTCTATAGAGTAATCACAAATAAAGAACAAGTGTAAAGGAAATAAGGTAACATTAGATTATCGTGTGAATAGAGTAAAATAATTAAAATGTTTCTTTCTTGATCGTAAAGGCATTAGAGGGATCAAATGAAATGATATAGGTAGCAATTAGGAGTCGAATCCAAGGAGATATGAAGAAAATAATTACAGAAAGAGCGGCCTTTGTAAATTAAAACATCAAACAAATAAGAATAAAACAACTAACAATATTCTTCGGTTAAAGCACGGTACAGAAAAAGATGAAACGCTTTGCGTAAACACAAATTTCAGGCTTCATATGACCGATGAAAGGATCTTCTACGATATTAGGGAGTCAGATACGATGAAATCATGGTAGATTTCGAAAGATTATATAAACAAACTAAAGTCGATCAAATCTTCGAAGATGGAGATTCTAACCACATTCCATCCTTCCTTGTAAAGCCAAGCTTGAATATTACCCTCGTATCCATGTTGAAAGGGTGCTGGCTACAACTCAACTACCTTACTCCATGGGTGAACTAGTGGATGAACACGAAGGTATACAGACAGAGGAGTTTACACTCCACAGATATGGAAAATATTCTTCCGCTTGTTAAAGGTTATCGTAGTTTTCTACTAAAGATGTTTTTTTAATTGACAAAGGCACAACATCCCGAAGTATTTGGGATGTGTAATCAACTTTAAATCCCAGATTTATATGAAAATACCTCTTCTTAGACTCATTTGTGGATAGTTACTTTGGGTATTGTGATTACCTCATACACCTCCCTACTTTAATTACTCGACCAAGCAATCAATATCATTTTCATAATCATCGGGGAATTAATATAACGTACTATTACGCAATATTATCACTTAACTGATGCTAAATTATAATTGATATATATATATATATATATATATATATAGCTACGATATAAAGCCAATTAAAAAGAAATATTTCTTCGCAACATTTATTTTTATTACCAAAAGCCCTAGTTATAGTAAAGGATTTTCAATATGAATGTTTGTTTCCAAACAAACAGAATACTACTCATTGAAGAACTTGACATATCCAAGCATAGTAAGTTTGGCAAATGAATATAGTAAAATAAGAAATATCAAGAATGATTTACCGACAAAAGTATTTCGAAACCAATCGGTTACTTTTTAAGAGTGGATTGCGCAAAGCTGAGAGGAAACTTAAATTCTCAATAAATAAATTATACTACCAGGGAGTATTAAGTAGTATGTTTGCCGCGCCGAAATAAAAATTAGTGAGAACATTACCTTGAACTACACAAATATTTGTTATTCTTTAGCTTATTGCTTAAGCCATGAATTAAAAACAATAGTAGGGGAAAGGAAGAAACAGCTTACTTGTAATTTATAAACCCACGAAATGCAGCTAACACACGAAGCAATGTTAACGCAGTGAGAATCATGTTATCATCCAAAGGAATTGCAGAATCACGTGGTATAAGGCAAGAAGTGATTTTTATAAAATGATGGCTTAGCTTATCCAAGTACCATGATGAAGACTGAAAAATTTTATGGTGAAAAAAGCCATATTGAAATCCATGGGTATATTAAAGACAACAGAAATCATTAAATACATGTAATCTGGATCTAAAGAATATCTTATTGTATTTCCGTCTATAAATAACGAAGTCCGAATAAATAATCAAACCGTGCACATGCTTACTGATTAAATTTTTTGAAACCTGACATTACAAACACCCAATATTGAGCACATTTAGTGAATCTTGTTAAAATTCTAATTCAAAATCAAAGTACTTTATGAGTTTAGGTATATAATGCTGCACAGTAAAAGGCCGTCAAAAAATATGGTGTGGAAAATGCTAAAAATAAATCAACTTTAACCGCAAACAAACTTTAACAGTGAGTTGCTTATTACTTACATAATATGCCACCCATGGATCTTTGGTTGGTTTCATTAGAGCAACTCTTAATCCCATCCCATTTACCTCAATCAGTAATGGATACTAACCGATCTTTTTGTTAAATTTGGAGGATGAAGACGTTCGTCCCAGAATTAATTTTAAAACCAAACTCATAGCTTTTGAATATGTTTACAGATGTCCGCTCTTTTTTCCTTTACATGGTCGAGTCAACACAACCGAAGTTTAAGTACTGTATCCATTTTAGCAAGATTTTTGAGGTACACATAAAATACGATTTACGGAAGTAACTGACTATATCTCATATAAACAACCCATTTTTTCAGTAAAACAGAATTATTTCTACCTTGTAATTACAGTATTTAATTTTATTTGCAATATTATCATCGAATACAATCACCGGTTTATACATCTCAAGATTACATATCCTTTAACCTTTATGTTAATAAAACACTAATTAGCTGCACTAACATGGAATCACTCCACTGATGGACCTTACTTTACCCAATAATGCAATTAAAAACAAGTTCATTCCTCATTGACAAGCTGTATGTACATGTTCCTAACAATTATACCTTATTGGTTTGTTTCGATATGAATATTATTTTATATTTGGTAAAAGTCCTGATCGATGAAAACTTATTCTATATACTCATATAAACAAAAGACAACTACGTTTGCATGGAATAGACTCCTTCCAAGTCAATACAAAATTTATAACTTCGCTTTATCAAGATACCGATTGTAACGACAATTTACCATATATAGTGTTGTCACATTGTGCACAATGAGAAGGATATGAGAAAAGGCTTTAATTTTTCCTTCGATGATCTGATGCTCCCAAGGATATAAAACAAAATAACTTGTGATTCAATTTAGTTAACGTGAATACTAACTGCAGCTTAAGCCCAAGAACCCAAGTTCAGAGAAACTAAAATCTTAGAATAAATAGATTGATTTAATGGATTAGCTGTGCATTTATAAATCAAGTTTTTTTTATAAAGATATCTGTGTTATTAAAAACATAAGTAAGAAACTCGGAGACGCTTACTGGAAGCTTCAGAAAATTGCTCATCCAAGATCGAATGTCTTGTCCACTGTCTAGCAAAATCCTTTTCAAAAAATTCAATGTATAGCCCTCTTTATTGATCAATCCAAAAAGTAAATCCAAAACTAAGCCTGGAAACTGACGGGTGGTAATCTGAAAACAAAAAGTATATGCAGCCACATGTTTCAGTTGCAAGCATCATTCCACAGGTATAAGTAACAAAACTAGATCCAAAGTCCAATATAATTAAACACTTCCAACGTATTGAATGGTGCATCACGAACTGATACGGAATTCTAGATCATAAAGGGAAGCATAGCTAACAATTGCATAGACACGAGTCTTAGGCACGGTGCTAGTCAAATAATCTGTGAACTTAGGTTTTCAAGATCAAAATTCGGGATCTCAGTGACGTACGTGGTTTTCGAAACTGTATAATAACAAATACAGAACAAATATAGAACACGAGTCGAATCCTGATAGACAATAAGCAGTACGGAGGAGTATAATTGAGATGAAGAGCATTATATATGACTAAAAAACCTTCAGACAATTTAACTAGGTTTTATTATAGGGTATTAAAGCTAAAAGTTCTACAAATGGACTGACAAACTTTAGTTCCAAGAAAGGATAAGGAATAAACCTTTAGTAAACTGTGATCGGAGTTTTCCAGAAGAACTACAGATAAATGGGTAAATTCAGTAATTTTTGTTATGATAGGTCGTTAAGCTAAGTTCTCAATTACTCGTGAAAATGTACTATTGTTAAGATGGTATCTGAATTGCTTTGCTAAAAAAGAATAACCTCTTATGTTTCTTGAATTTTAACGCTACTTTTGTTAACACAGTAACTTCAAATGCATAATAGTGACCCAGTTTTCATAAAATAGATTATAGGAGTGTAAATTACTTAGAATATCGTAAGTGAAAAAACTCACGCAATTCTCCACTACTGTAATGGCATCGTGTGGGTTTAATTTTACCAAGTAAAATAAAACTGTTTGAATACGACATGACAATGAAAATGAGTTTAAATGGGCTCCAACGTTTGACTTAGAATGCGGAATACGCTGCATCCCATCCTTATCTTGCGAATTGTCACCCTGATGGCAGGATCTGAAATACATTAAAGAACAGTTGAAAAACATACTTGGTTGTGAGAGACTTCCCCAGCTTCCATAATTCGTGGACTATAGGCCACCAATCAGAGGGTAAGTTAACTGCCAACTTCAGTAAAATACTGTGATTGACAGTATTACAGTGAGCCAAATAACCACAAAAGAACTTCCCAACTAAGTGGTAATTCGAAAGACCTTGAAGTTATATTTGATATCTATATGAACTAACCATGAAATATAAAACATAAGATAATAAAAACTTCAGTTTCCAGAGCTTCAGCTTCCATGAGTTCGCAACAGCTTTCTAGCGAGCATTTTGAATCTGGCTTCTAAATATAAGAACTAGAGTATTTAAATTAACTCACATCGTTGCATAAATGAGTGATAAGTAGCATGAGTGTTTTTAACTTCCCCAAAGCATTTTGTGATTCGTAATTTAGAACGAGGGAAGGAAATGAAGGAATGGAACTACATCGCGTGATCTAAGAAAAAACAGTACTTACGACAGAGAATATTCGGTGCATGTTTCTTCCCATAGTATAGGGATTTTCAAACTTCTAAGGGAATTCAAAGTGTTGATTAGATTACCCAGAAGATGACGGAGATTATGTGTCATTGAAACTTTTGAAATGCATTGCATCAAGTCATCGGACTGATACAAAACAGGAAAAAGGATGAGAACTTCCTCGGGTTTGATATCATCAAAGTCACATGTTAATGACTTTTCGAAAAGCATATTGTAACGAACCTATTTGAGAAGGCCACTTATATCAAACATATCCAATGTTCACATCGGTTTTTAATGTACCCAACAGCTTTGTGACAAGCTGTTGTGATCAGAAGCCTTGTTTGCATTAGTTTCCGATTGTTTCATCACAAGCCTGTTTAATTGGTAGTGTTCCATCAGCGATAGTCTTGCCACATTACTGGTTCCAGTCAGCTCAGTATTAGTTACGTATGGGTTGATGTATTTTGTAATCTGAATGAATTCTTCCCAATCCAATGAACTTCACAAGATCGGCAGCTATCACATAAACGGGCAGAAGGTTGTTCGTAACTTGAAAAATAATATGTAGAAAATTCTAATGCTACGAGAAGACAGTCGCTTCAAGTAAATAGTAAATAAGTCAGTTGGTTGGAAGTAAATGCACGACTATAAGGAAGGCACAGATGTATAGAGATGGGCATGAGAAACTTATTTTGTAAGTAGTTTTTGATATCATTTGCATTTATTTCGTTAATTCTCACAGTTTATACGATTACCACAGATCGGACGTCATAAGAATAATGACATGTTATAATTTTAACAGTAGGTAGGTGTCATGACAACCATTAGATAGAACTAGTCCAAGTGAAAGACAGTAAGCTATGAGTGAGAACGTGTCTATCAAGTCTCCCCTTGAGATTTTTCACTGGATGACTATGATCACTTTGACTAGAAGAGCATTTCATATGCAGGGGCAACTCTTAGATAGAAAAAGTAAACGAAAAGCTGTTCTCGCGCTTTGAAGTACAATGTTTCTGGGGTTCTCTTAAACAGTGTGGTAGTGATTTATTTGTAAAATACCCGTTCTGAGGTATGTTGGAGTACTGAATATGTTGTACATCACAATTGGATCGCCTCTTGTTCTCTCATAGCTAAGTGAGATTAGTTCAAATTGATGGGAACAATATTCGTCAGATTAGTTCCTTAGCACAGTAGGTTACTTAGGTACTAGCCTCTGTACTGGGTTCAACAGATTTATTTATCTTTAGAAGAGAGAGCATGAGGGAACACTGTGAATATCAGGGTGTAGCCATCCACATATTTCAAAAGAAACTACGGATTAAATCTACAGTGAAAGCGCCAAATTGTCAGAGCATAAAGTGGTAGTTTGTGAAGATAACATACGTAATCAGTGTTTGACAACGTCTTTATCTGTAACGCTCTTATAATCAAGGTATTCTAACTCAGTTAAATCAGAAGTCAGAAATGACTGAGTTCGAAGATATATTTGAAAGGTCTTCGATGTGTTGAGAAGTGTCCGACCTATGCTAGCTAGTGTTTGCAAGAGATCAGTAGCATGGAGTACCCATTCGTGATCTGGCATAGATACATAACCTAGCGCTTTCATCCAGGATGTACTCAATAAAACCAATGAGGTCAGCATCAATGTTGAAGGCTTATGGAATTATTTATTTTAGGGATTTACTGACTGCTATAGTTGTCTGTCTTGTCTGCTGACCTTATGTAGTTTGTGCTGGTCTCCAAGCTTTCTGTCATTATGAATACAACACTGCTCTCTGAGGAGAGAACTGGGGGGGGGGGGTTTCCATGGAGGACGTAAGTCAAAAGGGATAGAAGGCCCATTATATGAAAATTCGACAGGATGAGTTTTAACCTCTTCTATTTAGTTCCCTTCGAGTCATTTCTAACACCCCCGCTCTGTAGATCGGAGAGCGAGTAGTCTATTCCAACTCTCACGAATGTTGATGTGTCTCCAGTGAGTGCCCGAACAAGTCATGTACCGGCGTACTGATAGCTTCCACTCATTGTTCCTGTAATCAACATGTTAAGACACTCCTGAACTCACAGAACTTGTGACAAGCCGCTTATGGAGGCATTATGTAAGAGTGGTTTTTCGCTTAATGTTACTTAGGGACGGAGTGTTTGAATCTTCAGCTAATAGTATTTGTTCAAAACGCCGTGGTGGCGATTTTAATATCCCTGGACTGCTCTATCTTTTTAGGTGTTAGAACCTGTGGGAGGCCGATTTATTCCTTTAGTCGAGCACTTTGCGCTGTCCGCATTGTAGCATCACCAGCATGATTCTGTCACTTCTGTAAGTTCTTTACTGTATGGGGTTACGTCCGTGCAATGGCTACTAGCGTACATCACTATTCCACCTGTTTTGTGCATCCTATGGCATCGTAGAAGTGGCCATCATCCTGGGTCATTTCATTTGGGATGTCGGGAAATTCCCGCGTTTTAGTCGGGACTACGATCTTCAGGTTTCAGTGAAGTTATGTTTCTGGTCTCAGATAATGTACTCTGAACCATCTGTCTTCGGGTTTGCGGAAAAATGGTTGTTCAAAGTCGGTTAACCAGTTATGTCGGAACTGGGGAGGTGCACGTTTTGTGCTTTTCTACAATATTCCATTGGCGGGATTGGGATCTCTGTGTCCTGTGCTATGGGTTGTTGATTAAGGTCAACGGACACCGAGGTGTCTCTTGTTTGGCTTTTTCACTGTTATTCTACCGGTCTTGATGGGTTCACTCAATACCTGACGTTAGTGAAGGGGAAAATCTTCGACAAGTACCATGGGTAAAGAGCCTCAGTTAGGTCAACTCCGTCTGATCAGACTCTGTGACCTATTGGTCGTGAGGTGTAACAGACGAAATGACGGTAAGCTCTGGTTTCCATAGTAATGTGGGGACCTATGCCGTGGTATGGCCAATGCCACTTTTAATCGTGTCCGTCCGACCATCACTGGACAAATCAGGCACTCCGCAGACTTCGACACTGCTTGGCTCCTGAGTATTCGGAGTTTCGTCCTTGACGGTATCTCAAGTGGCTCATGGTTGATCGTATCAAACTCGAATTTCACACAACCATCGAATCGATGGTCTAACAGACGTCCATAAGACTACTAGTGTAATGTATACTAAATTTAGCCCTACTCTAAAAAAGAGGGTCCATTTTCCGTACTATTCTGCCTCTCATACAAGTGCAACTGTCTTCCCAGTGGTACCCACTTCAAGCAGTGGACTGCATTTGTCCCACTGTTATCAATTACAGCTCCACTTTATATTAGGTTACCATTCAAAAATGAAATATTCAATAAAATCAGAGTTTCGTCAAACTTCCTTGGCGCCTGGTTTTAGTGTCTTGGGATACTGTAGTTAACATTTTCCTTCCTAACGTCCGCGGCCTGTTTTTTGCTGTTAAGAGTAGCTGGAGTACATGCAACAGATGTTAATTTAATCACTGTGTGAGCACTGGTCGTGGCTCCCATGGCTGCGTCCAAGTAGAATGGATTGTGCATTCTAGTGGAGACTGGTACGACTGTTCTCAAGAGGGTCCCATGTTTCCCATTTGCTAGTTCCTGTTTGTTCTACAATGTGGGCAAATATATCGGAACAACGGACGGCGGTGTCTGACTATGAATTCTATGTACTGTCTAACTATCACAGTGTCACAACAGATGTGTGGTCAATCACTAAATCAATTACATACAGATACCAAGTTGCCGGTTCGTTTAGCTAAGAGGATGAGATAGAATAACCGTTTTTAGTTCGTTTCTTACCAGTGAGCTCTGTTATGTGGAAGTTCTGACGCTCCTCACTCTTAATTCTCTTGGGCTGACTAGTCTTGCTAGGAGTATGTGTGATCCTGATGACTTAGTTGGAGACTTAGTTCTAATGTTTGGGTCAAAAGGTCCGTGTTGTACACACTACCTTAAGGTTTATTATCCGATGTTATCCTGCACTTTCATATAGGCCAATTGCTTAGAACTTAGACTTTCAATTTATTAACAACCTCTGGTATAGCACCTCTACTAGACGTCCTCGTTGTTGTGGTGTATGTGCCGGTGAAAACTCCATTGCCGTACATGCCAATTGGCAGATCAAAAAGTAGAATGTGAAAAAAACGTAAGAAGTACGCGAGATGCAAGTTTCGAAATATAAAAATGATTAGAAATAAGTAGATATAAGGTCCGCATGAGTAGAACCTGAAAGACACTCAAAATTCCTACCTTAACATTAATCATCTTGCCAAAACATTTCTACTTACTCTTCCACAAGATTTGTATTCACAAATAAATAAATGTGTATTTGTTTCTGTTGAAACAATTAGGAAGAGAGCAGTTGGTCGAGACAGCTAGAACTGCCGCACAATCGTTTAACCTTGGTTGATTAGGGCTATTAAATTTATTATTTCGTTTGTCTGCCAACAAGTTAAGAGGCAATATGTGTCTTTTGAAGTGGTTAAATATTCCAATCCGATAACAGAAACGGAATACTTTCAGTTATTGTTGAAAGATCACATTGGACTCGATAATCCCTCAATGATAACAACGAATATTGTTGTAAAATAGATGATTTTCATTTGAAATTGATGAAAGGACTTGCTGTAAACTCCTTGGTAATTCAATTAACCTAATGTAATTTGTGTTGAACCACTAACTGTGTTTATATGTATCAACGGCACAATTATCAATAGGTTATTTTTCGATTGATGTATGTGTTCACGTGAACGGACGATGAGTGGTATTTTGCTGACTTCCATTTTATTGTCATATGTTTTGACAACAAGTACTGTAATAGTATTAACCGAACACTTTTCTAGCTTCATATGAAATTGCGTTTTCGGAGGACTATTCTTGTGAAAATACTATATGTAATCCTCGAGCCGGTGACTTGTTGATTGGTCGTGAAAGTTCACTTATTGCATCTTCAACTTGTGGCTTGAACGAAGTCGAGGCCTACTGCGTTGTAACAACCAGTGGAAAAAGCTATTGCAAAGAATGTACCTCTAAACAACCGTACAACTCCATAACCAATCCTGAAAGTCATCGTGTAGAAAATGTTGTTTCACGAGTCCCGAGCAACCCTGGAAGATGGTATGTTTAATTTTATTTTCTGCTCTAATTTTCGTGTTAACTCTGTGCTGATTCAATATGATAGAACTATCTAGGACCTCACAATGTTCACAAAGAATTCTTTGTGACAGACTTAAATTTCCTTCTAAGATTAAATAATTTCTTTTATCATAGTTCGTTTATGATTATAAAACACAAATAATGTTGAAAGTGTTGAAAAATCTTGTTGCATGTGATACAAGTTATCGTAAATACATGTAGACACATTCAGTGTCGGGAGAACAAAAGTCTGAAAGTTCCGAGCTAATTCTAGTGGTAATAGTTTCAGTCTTCAGTAATAAGGATAGGAGGTCTATCGACCTATATTAATCCTAGCAGATTGTAATACTGTGGAGGTTCAATATCGTTTTGAATATATTAACAGACAGTACTGATATTACGTGTTCCGGTAGAGAATCCCAGTAATTCACTACTCAGTGCGAGAAACGAAACTCCAGATGTAAACGGTTTGATTTCGGTTTTTGAACTTTCTTCGAATATCCTCTCAAATGATCGGTTCTAGACGGAAGCAAAAGATAAGACATGTTAATACCAAGGTCATCGTTTAGTATACGATAAGCCAATATTAGATCACCCTGTATTCTACGGTAAAATAACGGAAATAAGTTAAGGTGTCTCAGTCGGTCTTCATAAGATAGGCCCGATAGACCTTGTACCATCTTAGTACCTCGTCGTTGGACTCTTTCCAGCATATCTGCTTCATATTTGAAACAAGGACACGTTGCTTGAATCCCGTATTCTAAATGTGGTCGCACATAAATCGGGTATGGTAATCTAAACATTTCATCGTCTTAATACTGGAAAGACCCACAAATTGACCATAATACCCTATAGCCTTTTGCAGCAGCAGCCTTACAGTGACTAGTGGTTTTGAGATCATTGCTTAATATGACTCCTAAATCTTTATAGTTTCTTGCTTTGGGTAGCACGAATCCATGTAGTGTATAGTGATACAATTCGTCAGAGTTATTTAACTGCATCACTACACTCTTATTAGGATTTACTTCTAGTGACCACCTGTCTAACCATGCCACCAATAGCTAAGATCATCTTGTAATACCATTCTATCCGACATACTATGTATGGGTCTTCAAATCTTTATGTCATCAGCGAAGAGTAGAACGGATGATTTTGCTACAGTTGGCAATTCATTTACATAAAGTAGAAAGAGAAGGGGACCTAGGATTGTACCTTGGGGAACCCCACTTTTTAAAGGTACCCAGGAGGAGAGAGCCTCATCAACCCTTACCCTTTGTCTCCTATCATGGAGAAAGTTACTTATCCAATCCACGACTGTATAATGGATTCCAAAAGGCTCTAGTTTGAATTTAGGACCAGAGTGGGAAACCTTATCGAAGGCCTTAATTAGATCTATGAAAATCACATCCACAGGAACATTTTGATCTTTTGCCGCAGCCCAATCTACTCTTGCAATGAGAAGATTTGTCAAGCAAGATAGGCCTTTCCGAAAACCATGTTGTGACCTGGAGAAAAGATTATGTACTTCAACATGATTTATAACAGATATCCGAATGATTTTCTCCATCAGTTTTACAACTGCACTAGTTAAGCTAACGAGTGTATAGTTAATAACTAAATCCCTACTCCCAGCCTTACACACCGCACCTTTTGTCGCGTATTTTCAGTCTCTCGACGGTTTGGGCTGCCTTAGGGACACGTCAAACAGTACCGCTAATGGTTCAGCAATTTCATCTGATAGGGCTTTCATAATCCTAGGATGAATATCATCAGGACCACTGGACTTATCAGGTTTGAGATGCTGAAGTAGCCTTAGAACGGTACCTTTCTCAATGACTACAGGGTCCATCAGCGGGCCGCCGTGACCACAGTGATTCGTTGGTCGTTCCTCATTACCGATGGAAAACATTTTACTGAAATATTCCGATAAAGCTTCAGCCTTTTCGGTATCATTTTCTGCCAAGATTAATGTATTTTCTTGTATTGAAAGTGATGGAATTCCACCGCTTCTCTGAGTTCGCCTTTTATATACAAGAATAACCGTTCCAGACTATATTTGGAATCCCTAACCAATTTTTTAATATGATCGTCTAGTCTTACTTATTAACGCTTTACAGGCATTCTTAATCTTACAATAACTGGATCTGTATTGTTCTAGGTCAGTAGAGATGTACATATTCTAGTGCTTCTTCCTTTTTCTAAGACGTTTTCTGACTGTTTTAGTTATCCATGGTGGACTGTTGTTCGGTCTTCGCAGTACCAGGTATGATATGAACGGGGACGTAACTAGTCTAAATTTACCTTTAAATACAGACCATGCTTCTTCAACTGATATGCTAGTATCTACTAACCAATCTGTCTTAGCAGCGCATTCCTGAATGGCTGATATGTTAGCCTTCCATACATTTGGGCGAGGTGTACCCTGATCGTATAACATTTTCCTAGTTCTAAACGCGGATGACAAAACAGCATAATCGCTGTTCACTAACGGTTGAAGAATATTTAAGTCGACAATATCCTCAGTCTCAGCAGAAAAGAGCCCTTGTTAACACAAAAACGTGTGGGTTTCTCAGCAAGTTTGAAATAAAATATCTGTACACATATGCTGCAACAAATGTTTTAGTCAGTTTGATGATTTAGCGAGAAATGTCTGAGTAGAGAAATCGTGTTTGAGGATATGAATGTTTTTTTCTATTTGTAAATCTGCTATTCTAAGTGAGGGCGTGTTACGTAAATTTTTATTGATACATTATTAAAAGAATGCCATTAAGCCAACCTGAGTCGTTCCAAATGATGAAGAAAGTGGGGTTGGTTTCAAAAATACATCGCGAAATAACAAGAAATATATGAAATAGCGAATTTGCAGTTTTTTGGACACTTCTGAAAACTCCGTCGTTTTATGGGGTTACCAGATGTTATTGTGCAACGCCTGATTTTCGGTAGAGTAAATTTTGTGTAAAATGCCCTGAAATATAGTTTTCTGGCTTTTAAAACATTTATCAGCAAATGGTTCATAGATCCTGTGGGTTTTCGAATGGTGTTGACTTATAAACCACTGTCTATAAAATTCATCCATTTATGTAATTTGGAGCCAGAGATAAATATATTGTTTCTGTTGATGGCTAATAGCCTACCATACAACGAACATAGGTTGAATTATGTGAACAAGTCTTTCAAGATAAGAGTCTCAAATCCGCTTATTGACTTAGAATGTATTTTGTCTGGTACCGCTGAATTTTCCACATCAAATTTATTTTGTAGTTTGAGGCCGCCTTGCTCCTTAACAAATTTTGTATTCGGATTGCAGCCAAAAGTGTATGAATTATTGTACGAGGCAGTTCACCCTATATTTTATATTCAGAAAATTCACTAGTTGTTGTTTATCAACAAAGGTATAGAACTGTCCCCTTTGAATCATGGGATAGCGCATTTATTTACGGGGCCCAATGTTCAGGACTTCATTATCTGTGACTTTTCTACCCAGCTTCTAAGAGTATTTTTAGCCTTTTTTTCCCTGGATATTTTTGTGTGGTAAGCAAGCTGCAGGCCTAAGGAAGTTGACCTACTTTTTTACAGTAATCAGAGTTGAGTCCTCAAGTGTATTTGAGGTGCCTTGGAATGGATTTTTGATGTCGAATCGTTACACCCCTTTGTTTTACTTCTTTCAATCCCTGTTTTTTCTAAATTGGGAATCAATACAGTGTCTCAGACAGAAATGTAACTAGACAATGATTTTGAGGCTTGATTGGCGGAATTTTGCTGATTTTAAGGTTTTCTGCCAGAAACTGAACTAGGTTTCTCATTAAGACTGTCATATATTTCTGAGTGCTTTTCAAGATATGAGACATTGACAGAACTCATTTGCAATTTTGCTTATTTTGATAGAACTCGTTTGTCGGAACTACCCTTTTAAATCCCTGTGTCGACTCATATATGCCGCATGACATTTTGCTTTAATGGGACAACTGTGTGTTAGTTTGTATGTTGACATGATAAGTGTTGTCTCTGTTTACTTGATTTGTTGTACATATATAACATTTTGTTCAGTAATGTTCATTTCGCTCACATTTTAAGTCGACTTTTGTTTGAAAAGCAGATCAGAATCAATGAGAAAAACACCGTTGGTAGATTCATTTACACTGTGACTTACTGAACTTTTTTCAGGGTACTAATATGAGATTTATGGAAACTCTTTGCTTTAAATCAGACTACAAGCTATTTGACATCAGATAACACCAGCTTATTTCTCGTGGCTACTTTTCACGAATTGTATTGTTATATTTTCTAATATTGCCAGGATATATCTTAAAAATAGGCAGAACGCTTTAATTTACTTAAAAAAGATTGATGAGTGGGGAAATAATGCACTGAATTACAGTTATCTATCGAGTCAAAAAGTATAAAAAATCAATCCACGAATAGTTGTTGCCTCTAAATAAAGAAATATAGGGTCTCTCAGAAAAACGTTTTATACATTTGCTCTGATAGCCCAGTGGATTTTAGTCCATTTAAATCGAACTGGTCAGCTCTTATGAGTTAACACTGCCAGCATTAAAAATGATTACTATGTAGAGAAAAGTAATTTTTCGCTTCAAGGGGAAAGTTATGCCATAGATTCAAACAGGTTTATTTGTTGTCTTAGTTTCCATAGTGAATTTTGAGCATTTCCAGCGTATTTATTATGTTTTCCATGTGAACAGAGACCTTATTCGTAAGACAAAGTATATCAATGGATTTTTGACAGGAATTTTAGCAATAAATGTCTAACAAGAAACTGTTAGCAGATAGTGGTTGTATTTAACTTTTGTAATAATCGCATATAGGGGTGAATAAGTGATTGGAAACTCGTCAAATAACCATTTTCAAGATTATAAGTGGTTCTATAATTCTGCTAGGTGAACTGAGATTAGTATAATATAACCCAAGTTTAGTTCCCTTCACACAAAACGAAATATGTCCAAACTTACTGAGTGAAATGTCGCTCAATGTTAGGTTTATCTGAATGTTTTTTTGTCACCCTCCTTTTACATTATTTTTATTTGTTACTTTCTTCTCAAGGTGAAAAGCAAAATTGTATGTGCTAAATGTTTTCCAGTCCGCTAGATAAACGCACAAGATGAACTTACACTTTATAAAAATGATATGGGTTAGGTGACAAAATGGTATTCTCCATCTATATTCAAACGATGAAGGGAACCTTTCGAAATAGTAGTGCAAATATTGAGACAGTCTGGCTAAAAAGGTTTCCTCTAAACTTATATCACTTACAAATTCTATACAATTGTATTTATAGTTATTTTACGCATATAAGTTTATAATAAACAAAATGAATATTGTATTATTTAAATGAAATGATTGCGGGCGTTTTCAAGTATCAAAATAAAATGATGTAATAATCGATGGATTATTGAGAAATAGAACAAGAAAGTGGACCATCGATGGAAGTTAATTATCCACTTATAAAAGGATAAAGGGGGGAAATAAGAGTTGATTACTTCTAAAGTGATGAAGGAATGACTTAAATAATAATAAATTCTTTCAAGTATCAGTTTATAAGACCATGGTAAGTGTTGGTTGTGAGCTCAGAAGGTTGAAATAATGAGCTGCCAACAATTCTACTGTGAACAGATTTTCAATGTTTTACGTCTTTAAGCTTCATCTTTTGGACTCAAGTAATTTTAGGGGCTACTCCTAAGGAGGAGACCACATGATCAAAGTCGATAAGATATTTGAGGATGGCACGACTTGTCACTTTGTATTTGCTTCTAGAAAAGCATAGAGAGTGATTCTTTGTCAATATAGCCCCTTCCTAAAAAAGAAGTGAACTGATAAATCCAAATTGATATGATGGAAAACAAAATCTTGGCTATAACTCATCCTTGAATCAGTCGTCTACTAGGAAGATGTTTTGAAATTTGAAATACGGGTCTTTATAAGTGATTATGACAGCTAATTTTTAAAAATCACCGATGCGATATTGCTTTTGAATTCAGTGCTCATAAACAAAACCTTATTGGATACTGTAGGCATTCTTTCACTTGTTATTTAACTTTCAAGTTCATTACAATGAACTTGTGAGTAAAGATATATTCGGTATGTTCATCGGATTTTATTATTATTGCCATATGTGCATCTTGTACGGACCGCCTCGATATTACCTTCGGTCACAAGCATTATAAATCGAGTCTCGGAGTGAAAATCAACTCTGGATGCAAGCATATCCAGCTGGCAAGTTCCAAATAGATCGAGACGTGCGTCCTGGATTCATCTACTAGCCACCATCCATCTTTGCTTATAATATTTGTGACTCAAGGTAACATCGAGGCAATCCGTACTGGATACACGTATGCCGATAGAAGACTGATCAATTGTAGTCCTAAGCATCAACGGGAAGACTCAAGTAACCAATACAAAAGTGAATCACTACTCTAAACTTCTTTAAATTTCCTGTTGAGCAATTGACCTGTAATTACAGTTGGTTGTACATTTAATCGATAATCTATAAGTTTGTTTTTATCAAACTAGGTTTTAGAATTTATTAGCATATAATAGCACATAGAAAAGTAAGATAACTGTTGCTCTTATTCATAAGTGAACTCCAAACCATATCTGAAATCTCTATACAAAGCGTTTGTATATTTTTTGAATAACTAGTAGACTAATTAGTCTCAATTTTCCGGCTCAGTAATTTAGCGGCTGAGTGCTCGATGCTTGACTGAAGGCCCTGAGTTCGACCACCTGTGGAACTATGGATATACGCTGCTGAGGAGCCCGGCACTAGGTCAAAAGAGCTGCGGTCCGTGCTTTCCGTTTTTCGTTAGTTGTGTAACTACGATCAGCTCTTGACGTAAACTATGAAAACCGGACAATCCACATTAACCTCTTATACAGGTTATGTGGATTGGTTTAGATTTGGAAATCAATTTTTTTAAATTTGAATTAGTTGCCTTTTTACGATCTGAATTCGTAATATGGACAATACATTTATTGATACTATGTAACTTCTTTCCATTACGATAGTAGTCGGTTGGATATATGTTGATCTTAAGATACGTTCCATGGTGATTTTTCGACAGTACTAAGTTCCTTGATATTTCTTTTTATTTCATTATCAAAACATTATATAATTTCTAAATTATCCTTCAGGTTTATGTATACTGTCAAATGAAAAAAATTTATACTTTAATTTCAGGTGGCAGTCACAGAATGCAGTACATAATGTGTCAATTGTACTGAATTTGGATACACAATTTCAATTTATTTCAACGATTCTACGTTTTAAAACTTATCGTCCAGCGGCTATGTACTTAGAACGATCTTATGATTTTGGACGTACATGGGCACGTTATGCTTATTTTTCAAATAACTGCAAACGAGATTTTCCCTCTGTACCTGAAGGTCCTCGTCGATCGTTGACTGATGTAACTTGTACTGGAGTTTATAGCCAACTTACACCTTCTGAAGGAGGTGTGGTATGTTTCTTAATTTATAACATATACATTATGATTTTTACATTTACTGTATTTTGTTTATAAGTATTTCATTAAAGAAAAAGATTAGTGGGGTAGTTTGGGCAAACTCAATTGAGAAATATCAGATCAAAAACCTTACTTAACTAGTTTTCATAAAAATGATGTAGGCACAATTAATCTTTCAGGCGAGACTATAGTTTATGGGCGAACCAATCACGTATAAAATAACAGATCTAGGATTTTGGCGCGAAATTCAGTCATCCATTTGGCTAAATAGAGTTTTGGCATTATAGTTGATGTCAGTTCGTGATGAAAACCCGAAACCTAATTCTTAACCTTAATTATAAACTGTAAATGATAATTCTAATTCATCATGCTGGTTTACAACCCTCATTTGCTCCTGGTTACTAGGTGGGCACTCTCAAAGTCAGTTTAGCGTCCATAAATTATAGTCACACCGTCTATCACAAAGAAATAGATTAACTTCTGTTGACACGTAACTTAAATAAAATGATAGAAGTAAATATTATAAAACCTATTCTACGTAAAAACAGAACATAGACTAAAGACTACAAGATTAGATTGAATAAAGTGAGAAGTTGCCAAATTTAAATATCAAACTGGTTTACAAAATTAATAAATATTAATCTAATCAGTATAAGGAAGTATTATCTATATAACTTAATTCCTTCAGATGTTTTAAATATAAAGAGCATTTGAATACCTTAGTTAGGATAAATGAAAGTAGAACAATAAAAATTTCACTGGTTGAAATCATGAGTCAATTGAAGCTAGTCCACCATGGAAAAACTGGAAGCACTGGACGGCCGTTTCGTCTCAGTATGGGACCCCTCAGCAATGCGCATCCATGATCCCGCCTCCCGCGATGTTCAAACCCAGGACCTGCCAGTCTCGCGCCAGGCGCTTAGCCAACTAGACCACTGAGCCGGCACCCAACGGTGCCTGGCGCGTCGTTTGTGTATTTCGAGACCATCGACTTAATAGCTCTGAGGCTAGTTGGAAAAACACTAGGTAAAAATGGTAAATCGACTGACGAGTTAGTGAGTCTTTATCGACCGATTTGATTAGGATATGTGTTACATATGCCGTTCCACGATAATGGCTGGTGCAGGAATAGGTTGGAAGAAAACTACAAGTAGCCAAACCAAGATTTTTTATCAGCCCATAAAGACGCTGTTTGTTGGACTAAGTCATGTAGGTAGTTAGGTAGGTACGAACTATCTGGGTCAGGGTGATTATCGTAACCAGTAGTTAGGGACTTCCGGTGATATGGCTCAGAATCGTTTGCAATGGACTAGGTGGATTTACTCTATCTTTTCTTTGATCCTAGGTTTATGAATTCCACATAAATTCTTTTATTTCATTATGTTTCCTTGAGTCACATCTTCGATGTCGAATCTCTTCTATTGCAATTTATACTGCCACTAATTCTACTACCCCAGGGTTTACTCTGATAATTTCATTTCACTGCCCTAATTGGATGTGACTCCCTTAACCGATATACAGATTTGACAAGTTCTACGTTGTATCTGACTGGTTGACTGATTGACTAAATTTTTAAGCGTAATTAGTTATTTCTTCATCATCATGTTGTCCTAAAAATGATTGCAATTTTGTACCGGTAAAAATCGATAAAACTGATCACTATTTACTAGCTGTATTAATACATATTTATACCCATGATGAAAAAAAATTAATTATGATAATGCAAATGAAATAAAATGACTTTTATTAAAATTAACCTGTCTTAACCTGAAAAAAATCATTTAATGTGATTGATAAATAATTACTTATGTGCACAAACAAGATATAGATCACAAAATCTTCGTATGTGTATACACAAATAAGTAATATCAGAAAGAACGGGGTTTGTGACGATTAAGGTAATTTTAATAGTTGAGTAGATATCAGTTAGTTAGCCAGTCAGCTACAACGTAGGACCAGGCACATATATGCATCGGTTCAAATTGCCATAACTCATTTGCACAACAAGATGAACACCAGATAAATAGAAGTGGTTTATTCAGTGGTGGTAATATATGAAATAAAGATTGCATATAACAACGTAGTACAAGAATAAAGAATTAGTTCGTAGAAAGAAAAAAATATGAAATAATTTTAATCTCATAGTTTAAAGGAAGACAGAGAGTGTATACACCTATGCCATTGTGATCAATTCTCAGCTATGTCACCCAGAGTCTCCAACCATTGGTCGCGATAGTCACGCAGATCCCAATCAAGTAGTCTGCATCTACCAACATGGCTCACATTAAAAATTAGTGACTTCAAACACTGATGCCACATTTTGGTTTGGTCACCCCTAACTTCCTTCCAACCATCCCTAACACCGGTTAGCATTGCACGTCGTGCTAATCGGTGTTCAGGCATATGCAATACGTGAGCCAACCATCTCATTCGATGGAGATTCACAACCTGATCAACTAATTTACCATCATTCCCTAATACATTGCATGTAATCTTACTATTACTTACCCGGTGATCCCAGCAGATTCGGGTAATATTTCAAAGGCATCTGTTGAGTAGATTAAAGCTAAATCGACTCATAAATTTAACCATTAAGTTGAATAATAGAATAAATACAAATTCTGGAGAAAATGCTAACAGAACACCATCAGAAATTAGATGTATAAGGAAAATATATGTTAAATAAACTCAGTGATAGATTTCAAATAATTTCAATGTTTTGCATAAGGACCCAGTCAGAGCTTCTTCAGAATGCTAATTCGTAATCAAAGTATTGATTTTCAAAAAACCAAACTGAATAGTAATGATAGATTTCACTTGTTATCACTAATAAACGTTTATTACACTGATATCTTGGAAATTAAAACTTAGAGTTTGGCAGGAATCTCAGAGATCCATAGGTTATTGTTTCTTAACTTTATAGCAAGATGTGTGCAGAATGAAAGCTTGGTTAGAAAAAAGACAGAAGTATTCAATAAGATGTTGCCTAATAAGTTGTTTTTCAAGGAGAGCTTTATTAGGATACAGTTTTCGTTAACAAAGTAGAATTCAATGCTAAAACAGAACTGAGATGAATAATATTTGCTGATTTTTTGGGGCATATATTTTTTATAAGTTGAGAATTAAATTAATGAACAGATTTTCCATCACTATTAGTGACCAAATGAAGTAATATCCAAGTAGTAAATGATGGCTAGTGTGTAACACATCACTGATCGATTCATGATTTCAATGAAACTCGACAATTTCTACAACCGTACACTTCTAATTATTATATGTTCGCCAGTGACTAGCTTTGAGAGAAAATTTACGGAGTTCTAGTCAGAAACTGTGACAAGTGGAGATCAGCTGTGTCAGATGTGAGGCAGTTATTCACCGAAGACAATGGAAGATGGTCACATAATATCTTAGATTGATTGGAGTTAGACATTAAAATTGTTGTGTTAGCTCAGTGGTCTAAAGGTTAAGCATCCACTCGGGACTGAAGGTCTTGGGTTCGACTAGCGCATCCAAGGTCATGGGTGTACACCCCTATTCTAGAATGAAACGCCCGTCCAGCGCTCTTAGGTTTTCAATGCTTATCTAACTTAGATCAGTTCGTGATTTCAATGAAATTTAACGATCTCCACAACACAATGTTTACATCATGCATAATTGTTTCTTTTTAGAAATCATTTTGAATGAATGTTGGTAAAAGTCTCACTTTAAAATGTATAACAGTTATAATCAAATTCTTTTAGTCATATTTGAAGTATACTACTATGTTGTTCATAACGCACTGGTAAGATTTTCTTGGATTTTTCAAAGATTTATTTGAAAATAGTTGAATAACTGGGTGAGTCTATTAATTGTTTCATTATGCTACTAGTTTTCAGAGTTAAATACTCTTTTATTATTGTTTTCATACTTATGTGTATATATACACAAATTAGGTTGCTTATATGGCTGCCCCAAGTGAAATGCATCAATCATGGCCTCAGTACAGTAAAGAACGTATGAATTTGACAGCGATCACTAATCTACGAGCTGTTTTTACCAGAATTAATACCTTAGGTAAGTAAAAGAGGATTTTTAAAAAATGAAATCTATCTATTCTTCTCCATAATCTAGTTAATTTTGGTTGCGTTGCAACCATTTATTTAAACTACACAAACTAAAATATGTTAATACCTTTGTTATAATTAATAGTTGTAATTTTAAGTTGTATGCAGCTGATGAGAAACGGTGAAACAGACTAATGAATTCGTTTAATTCTTCAAACCTTGTTGTTCTTTCTTGGTTTCAATTTCCCTTATGTTGAATTCGAATTTGTCTTCCCTAAAAACAGGATTTTATCTTGTCTGTTTTTTTCTGACATAACACATTTGTTCAAAATATGTTCAAAATAATAAATTAATAACCTCTGAATCCTAGGATAAATACCACTAAGCTAGCGTACATGCAGTACAGCACGAAGCTAGGTGCATGCTCTACTATATATTTTTGGGTCATGATAGTGATTCTCCTGCAGGTTCACGTACGGAAACCTTATTACGACTTTTACTTGAACGTAAAAGATTGGAACCGTTTCGAAAATCGTAATGTTCACAAAACGATGCCATTTGGAAATCAACATAAACTGAGGCAGAATTGAAGACATGACCATCAACTCTCTTGGGAACTACGATATGGTTATCATCGACGAATAAGTGGCTCACTATCGAATTAATTGACTTTTAAGGGTACCAAACCCTAATAAACCTTCAAAACGTTTGGATGGTATAGAGCTGCTGTGTGACCTGAAGGTCCTTGGTTCAACCCTATATAAGACAGTGGTTGCGTACTATTGAAGAGTTTTGAATGAAGCTCAAACGTCTGTAAAGTACATTTTGGCTTCCATGAATCGTCGTTTCATGACAAAAAGTGTTCATTTCAACACGAAATCAGAATGAAAGTGTTTTCTTTGAAACTGATCGAGCTTTTTATTTTTTAAGTTTCAGTTAGGTTATGAGTTCTTTAGTATTCCTCCAATGTTCTAGGTCTTATCTTTTACAGTGATAATTAAATTCTTAGGCCAATTAATAAGCTAATTTAAGTTTCACTGGGAATTACTCAAAGTGTACTGATCATATTTATAAAACCGAAACCAAAGAAACTTTCAAATTAGTAGTTGCGAAATTCATTAGTAACGTTTGATTAAATCCAGTCCAAATTTTATTCATCTTAATACCTAAGGTATGTAGTGAAATATTACACATATACTGTTTATATAAATATATATCAGCATAATTTAAGGTCATTCAGTTCAGCAGACTATATTCTTTATCTTGCGTTCGATGAAAACACGATAATGGAGTATAACAATATTAGTTTTCAATTAGTATTTCCGGTCTTATTCAAATAACATATAGTATTCTCATGTACTAATGTGTAATTATTTCATTATATGTACCGGTAATCTCGTATCATTCACTATATACATATAGATATAGATATATATAAACAACATTAAATTGTATAGTCATGTAATGAATGTTATTGCCAATGTTTTGTTTAGGCGAATTCAATTTTTGTTGTTGTTTGAATGTTATCATATTGAATGAAGTTATAAAAATAGACTTAACTTTTAGAATGATAAGTATATATATATATTCTCCTTACATCATAGTAAACCTCATTAATTACATAAAAGTCATTAATTTTTATTGATATAAACTAATTTATGTATTCGTTGAATGATTTTCACTATTAAACAAATTTTACTAATTATCTCATCTTAACTTTACAGTAGTACATGTTGTTGAAGTATTCGAACCTTTTCTTTTCAAATCAGTTCATTGATGTAATAACTAGTATATATATAGTAAGTGATGAAGTGTACTGGCTAGTCTATACTGAGATACAAACTTACTGTGATTGGATATCTTTAAAAGTAATACTTATAAGAAAACATAGAGAATTCCAAGCATTATTTTAGAGTTTCGAATTTTTGGGCATTGATCTCCTTCCAGGAGGCCCACTTATTGACTTAGAATATATAGATCACATAGTCCTGTTTGGTGAAGACGCTAATGAAATGCAGAGTCTTCGGGTAGCACTGAGCAACAATGCCAGAATGTTTGGAATGCGCTTCTCTCCCTCTAAATGCAAGTTGTTGCTCCACAACTGGTCTGCGTCAACAACAGAACTAACGATAAGGAGTGAGGTACTCGAACGCGTCCACAACTTTAATTATCTCGGAAGTCTGATCAGCCCTAATGGATTGGTGTCTAACGAAATCTCAGCACGGATTCGAAAAGCTCGTTTGGCTTTTGCCAACTTACGTCACCTGTGACGAAGGCGAGATATTCGTCTATCAATAAAAGGACGAGTATACTGAGCGGTAGTTCGCTTTGTTCTACTTCACGACTGCGAAACGTGGCCATTAACGAAGGGTAGAGGATACTCGTAAGCTACTAGTATTTGACAACAGATGCCTTAGAAATATTGCTGGCGTCTGCTGGCATCACCGGGTAAGTAATAATGAGGTTCGACGCATTGTATTAGGGAATGATGGTAAATCAGTTGATGAGGTTGTGAATCTTCATCAATCGAGATGAATGGGCCACATACTGCGTATGCTTGAACACTGATTACCACAACGTGCAATGCTGGTTGGAAGAAAGTTAGGGGTGACCAAACCAAAATGTGGCATCAGTGTTTGAAGTCACTAATTTTTAATGTGAGCCATGTTGGTAGATGCAGACTACTTGATTGGGATCTGCGTGACTATCGCTACCAATGGTTGGAGACTCTGGGTGACATAGCTGAGAATTGATCACAATGGCATAGGTGTATACACTCTCTGTCTTCCTTTAAACTATGAGATTAAAATTATTTCATATTTTTTCTTTCTACGAACTAATTCTTTATTCTTGTACTACGTTGTTATATGCAATCTTTATTTTATATATTACCACCACTGAATAAACCACTTCTATTTATCTGGTGTTCATCTTGTTGTGCAAATGAGTTATGGCAATTTGAACCGATGCATATATGTGCCTGGTCCTACGTTGAAGCTAACTGACTGACTTCTGTCTGTATAACTTATATATGCTTGATCTTTTCTATTCCCATTAATACTATTACTACTTATATTACACTAGGACTTATCTTGATGCTTTGATATCACTGTTCTAATATTGATCTGGGAGAATATATATGACAGGTTTTACGTTACTTAAAACTGATTAGATTATAAAAGATTTATACCACTAAAATGTTTCAATCATTGTTAAACTAAGTGACCATGAGAAATTCTGAATTTAATTGAACGTTTATTTGAATTTTCTGATCACATAGTCTGTATATACAAATTGTAAAGCTTAGTAATTTCATTGTACTTTATATGTTATAAACAATTCACATTGATAATACAAATTACTTAGAAACTTTTTTTGGCTCACTAACAATGAAAAATCATTTTGACAGGTTTATTATTATTATTCGAAAATGATTGTTAAATCTGTTCTCATACATAAATACTATGAATGAATAGTTCATACATGAAAAATGATAGGCATTTTATATGGTTTTTGTTACATTTAATGTTAAGATTTTTAGGTGGTTTCAAGTTGCCGACAGCTGAATTTCTTTATGGAATTTGAACCTATGCTATCCTTGCTTCACAATCTAAGACATTTTCATTGAATTATCTGAGTCTCTTCTAATATTCTGTGGGATTGAAATATTCAAAAGTGATTGATCACAGTATTCACCAATCTCATATTTGTCCTGTTTGTCAAACATAGCACGAAAACTTTGTTCAAGGTTTTCTCATGATTATCTCTAACCATCGAAACATAGTACACATGATGTCATTAATTGGGCTATTGGCTACTTTGCAACATGATCGATAAAATTCTATCACCACTAAGGGACTAGGTAAAAATGATATTAATCAATGATGAATTAGTTGTATCAAGCAAATAAGAATATATGAAAATTTGCAGCGTATAAATGGATTTAAGTTCATACTGACTCTGTTCCTCCCAACGTATATGAATCCTCTATAAAAGCACTTACATAAGTAATAATAACATGAAACAGTAAATACTTCTGAACTAGTTTATCGAAGGGGTTAACACAAAAAATACATTCTTTTAAACGTAATGTAGAAATATCATATTTTAGTTATAAGTACCTAAGTATATTTCACAGGTTCAAATCATGAGTCAATTGAAGCTAGACCACCATGGGAAACCTGGAAGCACTGGACGGCCGATTCGTCCTAGTATGGGACTCCTCAGCAGTGCGCATCCACCATCCCGCACCCAACGGGCTTTCAACATGTGAAGTTTCTAAAACTCTCCACAAAACCCATTCTGACCTAAGTATATCATTAAAATTCAATTTTTGGAATGAATTATATTTATTTATCTTTTGTTTCATAAATAGGTGATATGCGTGTTGATGATTCACCATTAACACGACGTAAATACTATTATGCACTTTATGAATGGAATGTATGGGGTAGATGTACATGTTTTGGTCATGCATTACGTTGTAAACCAAAATCATCTGCTGAAATTATTAAACCGGAAAAAGTAAGTAGATTCTCCCTAAATGTTTTTCACTGAATAATAATCATTATCATCCCAGTCATGATAAAATATTATTTTGGTTACATGTTATTTACTGAATAGGAGCAGAATGTAGAGTACACAGTAGAGTATAATTGATTAGTTAAAAGTGTTATTTATTATTTATTTGAACACATCGATATTGGTACAAGGGAGCACCAGATACATATGAGCCACACAAATCTCATTTTATTTTTACGAGGGCTGTGATATAGCCCGTGTAGTGAGTAGAACTTACCTGAAAGAGGCTATATAAGCGTGGTCATGTGAAAGCATTTCAAGAGGGAGAGCGAACTGTCCTCACTCTCAGCCGTACCAGGGCATTTGGGGGCAATATTTAAAAGTGACGGTTCACTTGCACAAAGAAAATAATTCATTGTTAACGTTGATTGGATGACCTATTCAGTATACAGTAAACAGGAGAACCATGTACCTATTTATATTCGATAATTTTGATGTTTGATTATATTTCCTAGAAAAAGCTTAAACCAGATTGCCAGATGAAACGTCGAATTTACTTCAAATTCATTCGCTGAGATTTTACAAATATACATTCTTCCTCTTTAATGGAAATAATGGAAATTTGACAGATTTTAACAGTACATGTCATTGAATATATATTAAATGAGAAGCGACACTTATCAGTTTTGAATACAAAAATGTTTGGAAACGTGTTTGATGTAATTTTAACTTATATTTAGCTAATACTTCGACTGAATTCACATATCTGTTTATTTCTTAAAAGTAAATATTTATGACCATATGAAATAACCAGTAATTATTCTACGATCTTAACATGATCATATATCTTTCTTTTAAGTCATCTTGATTCGATTAGTCCATAAAGGCTTATTACTCATTCTTAGTTTTCTTACCCAATTAGATGATTTAGGTACGTATATTAGAAGTGTATATTATCAGTAGTAGATTAGGCTAACTGAACAACATAACAATAACATTGTTATAGTGTTTTGAAGTGAACAAAATATTAAATTCAAAAAATACACTTACTTTCTATTTGTTTTCTTTTCTATCTCACGAATAAAGGTATATGGTGTATGCGAATGTACACATAATACCGCTGGTGAAAATTGTGAAACCTGTGCTGATTTTCATTGGAATAAACCATGGATGCCAGCAACAAGAGACGCTGCTAATGCATGTGAAAGTAAGTTTAGGTTGTTCTTTTTTCAATTGAAAATATTTACGGTAGACTGTTGAACAATTAAGAAACACATTTGAAAAATATCATACTCATCAGTAAATAAGTAATTCGATTACCTTTAATGGATGATATATGAAACTTAACGATTAAGAATACGAAAGTCAATTGACCAAAAAATTAAGACATTCTAGTTGTTTATATAACAGGAGAATAAAAATATTTTCTTATTTCCACGGTATGATATTATGATATGATAATTTCAGCGGCGACCGAGATTATATTACCAGACTGAAAACTTGATTGATACGCCGTACATAGACCAGATCATGTTATATAGATACACTATTCACAAACAATAGTGAGAAATCAGATTGGACACCAGACAATCTTTTATTCAACCCATTTAAAAGCAGTTTACACTCTAAGAGCACAGAGTAAAAATTAGCAACAGGAAAGGAAACTACGTATTTAATAGTTAATGTCTGTCAGTGCATCCTCAATGGCCAATCCCATATTGCTGTCATGATGATAAATGAGTGACAATAATTTATAGTTTACATTACGGATTAAACTCAGCTAGGCAATTACTGAAAACTGGTAGACTCTAAACAACTATTTACTCATAGTACGGAACTTTTCAGTAATGAACGTACATGACCCTACTGAGAATCGAACCCAAAACTCCCACGTCTCCTGGCGAGCTCTTAACCCTCAAATCACTGATTCGGTATCTAATAGTTTACATTTTTAACTTCAAAGACTTTGTTATATTGAACAACTATCTTTCAGTATCATTGTCTAGTAAGTTCATCACTTCCGCTGAGTCCAATTAGTCACTGCTTCTTACAAGAAATCCAGGATTTACATCTCGAAACTAGTTACTAGCGAGCATAGTATTATTATTATTAATATAAGTAAACCAAAAATTTTGACAGTCTCTATAGTTCTCTCATCTTCATATTGTAATTTGAGACTTCAACAATTATTACACCCTTTATGGATTCAAACTTTCATGAAACAATGTTTATTTTTCATTCTCTCTGAAAGTGGTTAACATAATTTGTTCGTCGGTTAGAACTTTTAGAAAAAATGTATCTTCCATAAATGTCACACTTATCTTTCCTATATGTAATCAATAGGATACAATTAAAACTCACATTTACGTTCTTAATATGAATTAGAATCTTATTCTTTTTTTAACTATCAATCTACCATTTTCACATAAAATATTTATTTGTATATTCGGTTCCTTTTTTCAGAATGTAATTGTAACAACCATGCAACGGCATGTTTCTTTAATCCTGTATTATTTAGTAAATCTGGTAATGTATCTGGTGGCAACTGTCATGGGTGTATGCATAATACAGAAGGTGTAAATTGTGAATTTTGTCAACCAAATTTCTATCGTCATCCAAGTTATCCAATAGATCATCCTTTGACATGCCAACGTAAGTTACTGTTATTCATAATGTTGCTTGTTTCTAGTAATTTTTAGTTACTTTGAAAATATATCATTTATTCTTGGTTAGTGTTATAACTTACTGAATAGTACCATATCTGATTATTTGTTCCTGACATTTTCCCAAAAATGAGGCTACAGTTTTACTTATTCCTAAGTAGATAACTTTGAGTTACTGATTAAAAAGTAAACAATTAGATGTGTTAAACTGTTTGTTAATTTTGGAAAATTGATCCATAGAATTTGATCACTTCAAAGGGTTGGAAAAATATGTTATTTGGCTATGATTCAATAATCAGTCATTGTAAATATATTAGTCATACAGGAGGTCTGTTTTAACGAGAATGACTCAATGATAACTTTCCAGACTGTAAAGTTGGGTGAGTTGGTTTCAATCTAACAAAATGAATCAAATACCTTAACATTGCAGGTACACATTATTGACGAATGATACTTAGTATGAAAACTCATCAGAGCTGAGTTTTCTACTGACTGCCTCCAGTTTATTCATTAGACAATCAAATAATGATATATTTGTAATGTCTCGCTGAATGAAAGTGACTTACACTAAGTCTACTCATTGAAATATTACAACTATATCATTATTTCTATGATTAATTTTCTACTCAATGCTGAATTTATTTGAAATTATCAACTCAAACCTTGGTATTAATACCGACTATTTCTTCAAGGGTTTTTTGTCAATTAATTATCCAGATTTTATTCATTTTATTAAAATAGTACGATTTCTATCATTTTTTACAATAAGAAGAAACAATAATAGTAATTATATTCAAATGAAAACTATATCGAATGGAATCAGTATGGTGGTGTGTGCTACTGATATCGACAGATATAAGTAATATGTATCATCAGTCGAAAGTAAAATGCCTGGCTGCAGAACGTTATGAAGATCGAATAAAGGAGAATGAGAACAGAGAATGATTGGTATGGAAACAAAAGGACAATCAAGTCTGAGACGATTGATTGACATTTTGCAAATGAATTATTTATTATCTAGTTCTTAGATTTTTCTAAGACGTATTCAACTACATTTGGTTGTATCTCACTTATTAGTTCTCGTTCACTACAGTATAACATTCAAATTCGAATTTCTACATTTTAAAAACTAACTATTTATTTAAACAATGACTAATAACCAAGAATTTAATTCATTTTAGATTCATGTGAATGATGAATTTTTTATTGTGAAATCAATCATTACATAATAGTTTACAAAACACAATGTAATAGAATTCACATTTTATACTAATGTTCTCTAATCAATGTATTTTATTGTTGATGTTGGTTTTCACGAATTAAATTCACATTAAGTAGAAAAAATAAAATCTGGATTACATAACAATGATATAAAAAGACATAATGATTACACTCTATTAATCAAATTGCTTACTTACTTACTTACTTACGCCTGTTACTCCCAATGTAACATAGGTCGCCGACCACCATTCTTTAACCCACTCTGTCCTGGGCCTTCTTTTATAGTTCCATCCTATTCTTGTTTATTTTTCTCATGTCCATCTCCATTTCCCGGCGTAATGTGTTCTTTGGTCTTCCTCTTCTCTTTTGAACTTGAGGATTCCACGTGAGGGTTTGTCTTGTGACGCAGTTGGGTGCTTTCCTCAATGTGTATCCTATCCACTTCCAGCGCTTCTTCCTGATTTCTTCCTCCGCCGGGATCTGGTTTGTTCTCTCTAACAGTAGGTTGTTGCTAATAGTGTCGGGCCAACGGATCTGAAGTATTTTGCGTAGACAACTGTTAATAAACACCTGTATCTTCTGGATGGTGGCTTTCGTAGTTCTCCAGGTTTCCGCCCCATACAGTAGAACTGTCGTGACATTTGGATTGAAAATCCTGACCTTGGTGTTGGTTGACAGTTGCTTTGAGTTCCAGATGTTCCTCAGTTGTAAATATGCTGCTCTTGCTTTGCCGATCCGCGCCTTCACATCTGCATCAGATCCACCATATTCATCAATGATGCTGCCCAAATACGTAAAGGTTTTTACATCTTCCAAATCTTCTCCGTCATTTGTGATTGGATTGATGCATGCTGTGTTGCATCGGAGAATCTTGCTTTTCCCTTTGTGTATATTCAGACCTACTGCTGCTGAGGCTGCTGCTACACTGGTCGTCTTCTCCCTCATTCGTTGCTGCGCTTGTGATAGTAGGGTAAGATCATCTTCGAAGTCTAGATCTTCCAGCTGCATCCTAGATGTCCGCTGTATCCCGTGCCTCCCTTCAGATGTTAACGTCTTCATTATCCAGTCGATCACCAGGAGAAAGAGAAAGGGTGAGAGTAAGCAACCTTGCCTGACACCGGTCTTTACTTCGAACGAGTTTGTCAACTGTCCTCCATGTACGATTTTGCAGTTTAATCCATCATAGGAATTCATCATATTGTGGTATGAACAACTTGTATTCACATAAGTAGTATATAATGATAGTCAGGAATAAAATGTATTTCAGTAGAAGATCGAAAAGGAAAAAACGGGAACGGAAAGCAATTGATATGAAAATGCAGGAACAATAAAATCTCAGACGATGAACTGATATTTCCAAAAGAAACAGTCAAGTTTGAGACAGTTGATTGAAATTTTTTCAAATTAAGTATTTACTGTATGATTCTCAGAGTGTAGTGAGATGTTTTGTAATTTCGTCTTCAACAATATTTGATTGTCTCCATTCGTGTTCTTATTCACTACAATGTAGTGTTAGAAAACGTGGGTTTGTTGGGCTTCAACTCAACAATTGAATAGAAGGAAATTAATAGTCAGACTAAACATCTCATAAGTTACATTTCATATATTGATATATTAATGCATTGTATAAAATTTCAATGCTAAAAGAATACACCTATTCAATAATACCTAGTTTACAATGATTTTCCTTCTAATGTCAGATAATAGTCAAAACTTTGTTTCAATTTACATAATTGATCATTATAAATAATCTTATTGAATAGATCATAAGTTGTGATACATTTCAATTAGTTTTAATTGAATCATTTTGCTTTGTATTTTTTTGAATATTTTTCATCAGTGTTTGGTATCAGTTGAAGAACTTTTAAAAGTCTTCAGTAGATTTTAGTGGTTAAGTGGGTTCATTTACGTAATCAAATCAGAAGTTCCTGGATTCTTTACCAATATAAGATCGTAAGAACAGAATATTCAAAAGATTCAGAATAGGATACACTCTGATTTTTAATGGTTCCATTACCAATATCATTTTGTAGATGAAAACTGCCTTATATGGAGTATCGAAAAATCATTCATGGTGATGAGTAAAAAAATTCACTATCTCAAACTCATTAACAAATATCACTCCAAATATTTATAGTACCACTTATGATAAAATTACATTCATCAGTCATTTACTTACTCTCCTTATTTAATTATATGCTTATTTTAGCGTGTAATTGTCATCTGGATGGTACATTATATGATAATTTCTGTCAGCAATATACTATACCAGAGCAGAATACAATCGCTGGTCGCTGTATATGTAAGAAAAATGTTGGTGGTGAAAAATGTGACCGGTGCAAAGTTGGATTTGGAATTTCCAAGCTGAAAATCCTGATGGTTGTGAAGGTAAGTAAAATTACTGTAAGATAATATGAACTTGGCAGGTTTAATACTTGTAATGAACTCAGCTGATCTCAATATCATAGGTTCAATATTATGTTGTTCGTAGATACCAAATAAGTTGCATTATATATAATTTGTATACTCTGAACTATTCATGTTGATTTAAGCCTCAATGTTTTGCTGTATGTAATGGGAAGAGAAAAAAAACAGAGGTTTGAGCAGAATAACATGAAGTTATTTTATTTCGTTTGGTCAGCTGATTATAATCTGTAATATTTAAAAATCTTCATCTGAAAACGGGTTTAAATTACTTAGATGAAGGAGCTTGTTGGAGACTGTTATGATTACACACAAGTATAGTGTATCAAGAATGTAAACAAATTTAATAGACTAAATAAAACACTGCAAACGTACATTTTATATGAAAGAGCGTTTCAAAATAATGATGGTAAGACTAACAAGCTAGAAACAAGCGTTATGTAGTGAACAAACTCGGATAATAAGTAAGAATGAATTAAGTGAAGGTCAGTTAAAATAAGGTTACTAATCTAGGAGACATCCAAAATAAAAAGACGTAATGATGTAATTGATTAAAAGAAAGAGTTGGACAAAATTTTATGATATAATGTAAAACTGTTTGTGTCGTTGAGGCATAGAAAGTTTAACAACCATTACTTTTTGAACAAATAAATTGTTTTTGGACGCCTGATAGCAGTGTCTTTAACAAATTTCATAAGATTGGGGCTTATCTGCTTATACTCTTACTACCTCTGCCACTACGGGATTTGAATCGACAACTGCATCTCTGTGCTAATGTGGTATGGCAACTCGAACTGATGTATGTACGTACGAAGTTCTACGTTGTTACTGACTGACTGACTGACCGACCAACTATCTGTTTATTATATATGTTATGTGATTAGTTTTCTATTGAACAAGTAATACATAGATCGTGTGAATAAGTTTAAACACTCTTTTTATAGTAAAAATAAAAAAAGACATGAATATATCAAATTTATACTTTAGTAAGCAAGAAATAAACAGAAAATACAATAAAGCCAATTAACTAAGTTCATGTCACATAAAAATATACTGTAATACAGCGATTATACAGGGAATTGATTGTTTATTATACAAAAAAATTAAACAAGCGTAATGTTCCGGTTTAAGTTTTCCAGTGCTTAGCGTGGTAGTTAGATGTATTCATCTTATATTACAAAGTGGATGCATTCAGTTGACATTCCAAGTCACTCAGTTCAAAAAAATCTAACACACGAAGGTTTGCCGTAATATTTACAAAGCTGGAAAATAAACAGCTCAAACTTTTGTGTAGACCCTTCTAATTAGAGTTTACATTTTTAATGTACTTACCTAAAGCAACACAATAAATAGAAGCATTCTAGGGAATTATATATCCTTTCTTTCTACTCAACTTTCATTTTATCAAAACTGTGTACTTATTGGTACGTATATATATGTATTAATGCAGCTTGTTCATGCAATATGATTGGTACAATCGACAATGGTGGTTGTGATCCATTTACTGGACTTTGTACTTGTAAACGATTTGTTGGTGGTCCAAATTGTGATCGATGTTTGGTGAGTGATTAGAATCTCATTATAATATTCATTATTTCATGAATCAAGTTCCTTATAGATTTTGTGATGATAGAATTGTTTGAGTTAAGATAATTTGAGGTTAATAAATATCATTACCCACCTAAAAATAGTTTATAAACAATTTGTCTCCCTTTAAATGCTTACATTGTCCAACTCAGAGAACATCACACTACAGAGATCATTATTTGAGTTACATATCATCTTCATCGTCCAAACAAATTTGCATTATAGTAAATGGAAAGAAATGAAAAACTCTCAGTAAAGTTTATAATTTCTCGTGGTCGGTTTCGAGGAGTGAGTTGAATGACCAATCCTGGTATACAAACTTCCATCAATATCTCCAATGGTCAGAGCTTGATTACGTTTGACATTGAATAGCAATGAAATCCAGTTCATGTTTCATTTTATATGGCACTTGTATATTACACAAACCTGTTGTTTGAAATGTTCTCATTAGGACTCATTTTAAACACCTGAGGGTTAACCTAGGGTTTAACGAAGTATGATGGCATATCACTGTTCAAAGGGCTTAATATCTATAACTTTTCAAGTAATGGAGCTTTTATTGAACTAAACAAGAATTTAGAAATTTGAAATAACTCAACTATATTTATTCGAATACCTAAAGCACAAATTATTAATTTACAGTGAAAAATCATAAACAGTTTCAATCTACGCAATTATTAACCATATTATGAATTCATTTATGTTGAATTGTCGCAATAGTTGATGCATTGTACACTGATAATTTGTTAGATTTTTATTGGAAAAATGGCATTATATTTTATAAGTGTTTAAGAAAATGATCAGTGGAATAAAATAATACTAGTAATATGATAATAAATATTATTTATTTTACAGGAAGGTTATTTTAACCTGTCCACAACACCATTAGGTTGTCAAGAATGTGCCTGCAGTCAAATAGGATCATTGAATCCAAATTGTGAACGTGTTAGTGGACAGTGTGCTTGTAAAGTTGGCTTTACTGGACGTGATTGCAGTGAAGTTGAAAATGGCTATTATATTGTTCCACCACATGAAGTAATTGATAAACCTGACGAAAAAGAGATTACACTGGTTGGACCTAAAGGTGAAGGGAAGTATGTAATTGTTCTTGATGTGGATCCTAAACAGGTGATTTAAAAATTATTACTGATGTAACTAGTTTCGTTAGGATTTTGTGTAGTTTGTAGCTTCTATCTGACATCTTGGAGTGTTACTGAGGAAATGCAAAACTAAAAGGAAGTGCCGCCTAGTGCCCTTCTTCAATTTGGTGAGTAGATCTAACGCAAATCGATAGATTTCTGACTAATAAATAACAATATCAGCTACATTCCAATTAGGAAGGAACAGATAATTCGAAATAATCTATATAATTGTTATACTTCACTTTATAAGCGTGTAGTAGCTAACATGGTGTATCCAAACGATTATTATTGTCATTCAGTTTGAAATGTCTTAGATTATCACGTTGTTAATAGTTCGACTAAAATTTGATCAGGGTTAGTTGGCGCATGGACATTCTTTGCGGATTGTTTCGAAATAGCAATTATGACAAAAGTTAATATATAGTAGCTGATGAGTTCTAATTAAGACAGAATACGCGTCCTCGATTCCACTTCTCACAATATTCCATCTATTCTAAACAACTATTCTTATTACCACTGAATATTTGGAGTCACAAACTGACGATTCTAGTGAAAGCGAAGCATAATATCCAAGAATCGCTACCAACCACCTTCGAAAATCTAGTCAACAAAATAAGTAGACCATGATATTAAGCCACCTAGGTTTATTGTAAACTTGGTCGATAAGCTTTGATCAGTCTATATAACTGGACGATACTACATTCGTTACTAACTAGTGACTGATAAAAATAGTTAAAGATTTATAACGAAAGTTTGTTCAAAGTTATAAATGAATTTTATCAGCTATATTATCATTAAGATCAAATTAGATAAACAATTTATTATTCCAAAATATAATGTGATGATTGTCAGATTAAATACGTAATTCATAGTGATTCAATGAATCCAACCAGATGTTTTGAAGTACAGAAACTTGAGTAGAATTTAGAATTTCACTATCATGAATATTTATTATTATTATTATTATTATTATCAGCTTTATTCAATATTATATTTTTGGTACAATATATAATTCTCAGCGTAAAGTATTTCAACAAGTTTCCGTTTCTTTCTTCTTGGTCGGTCTGGCGATATATATTGAGTGATCGCCGGTTAGATGTTAGCAGTTCAGTAAATGAACATCTGAATAACGTGCATTGTTTTCGATGTATATTGCCAGGAACCACATTGTCTGTTATTGAGTTTTTTGTAACTTTGACAACGAAAGGTTGTATACTTTCCAGAAACGCAGCAGAATAGGTTATGCGATGAATAAACATAATGATATATTAAAACAAACAAAAATAGATAACTTGTTGAAATATCTAGATGGCAGGAACAGGTAGCCCAGATGCTCAATCAGGCCGCCCTTTTTGGAGTAGATTGTTTCTTAGTCATAAAAGCTATGCTTTTAAAAAAATACGATAATTATATTCGACAACTTAAAGTCACCAAAACAATGTTCATAACTTCTTGTATGGAAGACATATAGTTTATTTGAAAGATTTAATATTATAATACAATTGCTAATAAACAATTATCTTATTTAATTAGATTAAGGACGAACCTGTCTATTATATATGACAGATAATTCCCATTTAAACATTAAAGATTGAAAACACAAAGTTCAGCGAAGGGATCTCTTTTCAACGAATTTATTATCAAGCTGTGCAATCCTATATATATATAATACGAATAATAATAGTAGATTTAGTGAATATAATAAGATGAACTAATCGAATCAGTACTTATTATATCATATTTCAATGGTTGAAATCATGAGTCAATTGAAGCTTAACCACCATGAAAAACCTGGAAGCACTGGACGGCCGTTTCGTCGTAGTATGGGACACCTCAGCAGTGCGCATCCACGATCCTGCCCCCCCACAAGGTTTCCCATGGTCGTCTAGCTTCACTTGACTCATGATTTCAACCAGTGAAACTTCTAAAAATCTCCACAAAACCCATTCTGATAGTATATCATATTTGTTTCAATTACGCGAAAATTTTTGTTAACATATAAATTGAAGAATGAGTATTATAAATAAAAGCAATAACTTTTTTCTTCAAAGAATCGTTCAACTAAAATTAGATCTTTGATAAAAAATGTCATTCATCTGATTAAATTTCTTTTTTTAAATTTTGTACTGTTTTTTTTTCAATTTCTAGTTTGGTTCCGGTGATAGATGGTCAATCATTGTAACACCTTTTCAGTATGGGGCAACAAAATGTCAGAATCCACCTCAAAGTGTTAATATTTATCAAGGTATGGTCAACATGAATATAACATATATATGATATTTATAATTTAAGTTGCAAACATTAGGATAACTCAATGAAACTTGCCGATGATTAATTGTTGAATTGATCAAAAAATGATCTTGAATAAATAACTATTTTTTTTTAAATATTATGTATATTTGGTATGTGGCTAGGAGGGGTATTCAGCGATCATATTTTCTCCTGCTTGGGACTTACCAACTGGATGTATCTACATTTCATTGTTGATGTTTGCACTGAGACACGAACATCTACACTAAAATATATGTAGATCTAGCTGACAAATCGCATATAATATGAAACACATCCTGGATTTCACTACTTGTTATATACTATGTATGCTAAAACCTGTGACAACCATATATCGAGGCAATTAACTCGGGATGTATATATATGGCGACATAGACTGATCAACTGAAGTTTTGTATATCAACAGTAGAAAATTACGAAGTGTCAGTAAGAACGGCATGTTGTTGAAATGTGATGTGAAAAAGAAAATATGATACTTAACAAGGTAGTCTCTGATGAATTAGTTTGCATAAGTTTATGATGAGTATTTCTAAACGTTTGTTCTATAGTATTTTTATTTAGTACTTATTATTATTCAGTTTATTAATAACTATTCCTAATTTGTTTTCTATCTGTAAAGTAAATTTGGTAAACTATTAGTGTGTCATTCAGCATTTTTGTCAAGAAATGACCCAGTTATTTATCATGCAAAATGTATTTTTTGTGATCCATTGTGATCCTGTTTTTTGTCTCATATATTTATATAATTTATAAGTTTAAATACAGAAAGGTACTTGTGACCATTCATCTGGTCATCATAGTGTTCCGACAGGAGTTTTGTGGATGTAGAATTTATGTGGCTCATCGAACGTTGCGAATAAAGTCATGGAGATAGTATGTTTTTCATATTTGATTTTAGTTTTGTTGTGGACTCGATGACTGGTACACTCCTTTAAGCAATATTCAATTTATTTAGTTAGATAATAATTTGAGGGCAAAAACGTAGTCATTGATACAAGTTTTCTCAGCTTTATAAATCCTATCAATTGGTTGCTTGGATCCTCCCTTTTACATTTAGGACTGCTACTGATCAGTTTCTAATATGCATCCTGTCCGGATTGCCTCGATATTGATATTAAGTCATTATCATTTTTAAGCAGAGGTGAATGGTGGCTATCAGTATAATATAGACGGGTGTCTCATTCCATTTGGGACACGTCGGCCGGATGTACCTCCACCTAGTCCTGATATTCAGTCTAACTAAGCTAAGTGGATGGCGCTATGTCGTTTAAAGCGAATGGTATTAGGTTCAAATCTCGAAGTGCACTTCAACTATGAGATGTTAATACGTCTAGAATACATCCTAAACGAGAAGAAACGTGCGTACTTGATTCAATTGCTAATCACTATCCACGTCTGCTTCATTGACTATTTAAAGCCCAATAAATTTGTGTTAAATTCTGAAATAAGTCAACAGTCTGAAATAAAGTTTTCACAATGAAAACGAACCAAAGTACTATACCTTTTGGTTATTGGTTCCGCTCTCCACAATTTGTTATCAGTTAATTAAAACAACTCTACTTTGACTACATAACAAAATGTAAACTGATAGAGTGAACTTTATTTATGCATTTGTTCTGTAACAAATTCCTTATTTAAATAATTGGTAATTATTGATGTGCAACCAATAAATTCTAATATTGTATCGCCTTTCATCTACTTCGTTTAAGGATACTATACGAACAGCCATAACTTTTGAAAACGATGTGTTACTTATAGCTAAATGCATTCAGTTGAATTTTATTAGTGAATCCTACTAATATCACCTTCTAAAAATTATGTAATGCTAAATATTCACTATTTTGTTGACGGAGTAAAATATAAACGATACAAATGACCTTTACCATTTCACTCCATCAATCTATAAACGGTGTGAATTGAAAAATGATTAAACTGAAAACTATCATTAGGGGGTTCATACACTTTTATTGAATATATATATCGTTTATTCGAACACCACTTGAGAGTAATTTAACAGGAGTTTTAACTACTTGTAAGTAGTATAAATCTACTTTCGACACTTTCATTGATACGGAGATGGTGAACAGTGAAGTATGGAAGAACGAACGAAACCAACTTCTGTTTAGATTTTTTAATGTTGCTCTTACCTCAATATTTAGATTATTATTGACGAAATCAGCATTTTATTATAATGTACTGAGTTCGGTACAGAACAATCCTTATGTATGTTTGTCTGGAACAAAGATTTTACTGTTTATTCAGGTAGTTCTGTGATGACTTTACATACTTTTAGTAATTATTTCCGCACCTAAAAACATATCATCCAGAGATTTACTGAAACTTAGGGAGTATTATATAAGTGAAATATGTACCCACTTCTTGTCATTGTGTCTAACCCAAGATCCCTTTGGTCTAGGTGATATCACGAAACTACCAAGTCGAAATGTTGGGATCCAATTGTGCACAACGCAAACTTCAGTTATTCTCTCCCATAAATTGTGATTCTAACCCTTTTGTCATTAGTTCGTTTCTACCTCATTATTATATTTATCTTTGCATGTAATGAATATATTCCTACGAGAATAATAGCCAAGTGCTCTACAGTTTTCAACAACTTTTTATCTAAAAATAATTGAAAATTACTTTTAAATTTTTTGCACCTATGTTTTATGACATTTTTGTATTATTACTCTTTTAGACACTCACAAAGTTATTATATCAGATGTCTGTTTGGAACCTGGATTACCAATTGTTTTACGTGTTGTTCCTGAATCGTATCCAGAAGGAGCCTTTACCGAAATCCTAATTACTGATGTAAGCATATCTTTTATTATGGTAACTTCAGCCTTATGTATGCTGATTTGTTGTCTCCTGTCAAATATACACTTCGTGGTTAGTCCGTAATGTATTGGGTCAAGAAAATACTAGATGAGTTAACACTAACAAACACGTCATACTGAATGGCGGCACTATATTCCCCCACAAACACATAAAAAAGCTACATAGGCTTCATCAAATCACATTACACAGAACCAAATCGATTATGTTTGCATCACTAAAAAATTTTGAAGGTCAACGGAAGACGTGAGAACCAAGAGACGAACTGATACAGCTTCAGATCACCACCTAGTGGTTGTCAAGATGAAGCCAAAAAAAGGACTAGACAACCGGAAAACAGAACTATAGAGGTTTAGTACAGCCTACCTTTGACATACTGACGAATTCAACCAATTCAAGATAGCCCTCAACAAAAGTTTTCAAGCCTTACAAGATCTACTCAAAGAGGAGGAAACTGGAAAAGGATAAAAAGAACACTAACTTCAAAGTGCCAAGAGGTTCTGAGCCACAAGATGCATCATCATAAGGAATGGATCTCTTTCGAAATCCTGGACAAGATTTAATAAAGCAAGAATAAGAAGACAGCAATTAATAACAGTCGAACAAGGGCAGAGAAAGTCAAGGCACAAATTGAATACACAGAATCAAACAAGCAAGTGAAGAAGAGCATCAGAGTCGACAAGCAGAAATACATGTGAAACCTAGCAACGACAGAAGGAAAAGTTTCAAGAAAAGGAAATATGAAACAACAACGAAGGGACTTGCAGGGAAATATAGTAAACCAGAGAGACCGGTCAAGGATAAAGAAGACAAGCCAATCACTGAGATTCAGTGACAAAAGAACATATGCGTACAATACATTGTTGACTAGTCCCACTGAGTCCGCCGTACATAGAAGCCGCACCTACAGACATTCCTATAGCGTTCACTCCACCAACGATCGAAGAAATCAGGATGGCCATTAGACAAATCAGGAGTGGGAAATCAGCAGAACCTGACAATATACCAGCTGAAGTGGTATAACTTGTCGTTTGAATGCTACTTGTTATATCTGGTCGTCGCTGATTGTTATGTCGGAAATGCTTATCACTTATACTCAGAACGTGGGACCTCGGCAATTCTCACGACGCGAAAGTAAGAACACAAAGACTGGTATAAGTGAATATTTAATAAACCCATAACACAACGACGACGACCTAGCTGAAAGCACACTCATTTATATATTGATTGTATACACACTTTGATTATTAGTTAGGATGAAATCACATATATAAAATACTCAGTTATCACAAATCACATACCGAGCATAGTTCATGTCAGTCGAATACACGAACATCGCATATTATACAGAATAAAATGTCATACTGGGAAAACAAAACAAATACTACATTGATTAATCAATACATTGAATCAAACGGAAGTAATGTTGAACAAAAACTCATAATGAGTAAATCAATCGGATTTCGACTTTTCTTCCCGTCATATCATGAAACATAGAAGTTAGACACAGAAGTAACTGCAAATATACTCCACGTCCTATTCAAGAAGATTTAGGAGGAAGAATAAGTGTCGAAAAACTGGAAAGAAAGATATCTCATCAAGATACAAAAGTAAGGGGATCTGAGCAAACGTGAGAACCATAGAGGTATCACACTACCATCGCTATCAGTAAAAGTCTTCAACCAAGTGTTGCTGAACCGGATGAAAGATTCAAAGCAAGGCTCAACTACGAATTCAGCAAGACGGATTCCGTTAGGACTGGCCGTTTACACACCAAATAACGATCAACGTTGAGCAATGAACTGAATGGATCTCATCACTATATATCAACTTCCTTGACTATGAAAAAGCATTTCACAGTGTGGATAAGAGGACCTTATGGAACCTTCTTCGATACTATGGTGTACCTGAGAAAATCATCAACATCATCGAAATTCATACAACGGATTACACTGCAAAGCCGTACATGGTGGACAGCTGACAGATGAATTCCAAGTAAGGACCGGAGTCAGATAATGCTGCTTACTCTTCCCATTCCTCTTTCTTCTGTTAGTCTACTGAATTATGAGGACCTCGACATCTGATAGAAAGCACGGAATGCAGTGGAAAGCTCGAAATCAATTAGAAGATCTGAACTTCGCAGGTGACTTACATCTATCCCATACACATGAACATATACAGATGAAGACAATTAGTGTAGCACTAGCCTCTGCATCGGTAAGCCTTAACATACACAAAGGAAAAAGCAAGATGTTCAAATACAACACGAAGAACACGAGCCTAACCATATTCTATAGAGAAGCTCTGGAGAAGATCAAAACTTTCACATATCTGGAGAGCATCAACGATAAACAGGGAGGATTTGATGCAGATATGAACCACGGATTGGCTTAGCAAGGGCAAGGTTCCTACAATTGAAGAACATAAGGGACACAAAACAGCTGTTAACCAACATGAAATCGGGATTTTCAATACAAACGTCAAGACAGTGAGTTCTGCTATACAGAACTGAAACTTGGATAACTACCACAACCATCAAAAAGGTACAAGTATTTATAAACAATTGTCTAAGCAAGATACTTAATGCCCATTGACCGGATACCATCAGCGACAGCCTACTGTAGAAAAGAACAAACCAGCTTATGACCGAATCGGAAATTAGGAAAAGACGATGGAAGTGGATAGGACATACATTGCGCAAATCACAAAACTGCATCACAGGTCAAGCGTAACTTAGAATCCTGAAGAGAAAAGGAAAGGAGGAAAACCAAGTAACACATTGCACCGGGAGTCGAAAGCAGACATCAGAATGATAAATAACAACTGAAAAAAACTGGAAAGGATTGTCCAAGACAGATTTCGATGAAGAATCCTGGTGGGCGGAGTTTGCTTTTTTACGAGAGGTAACAGGCGTAAGTAAGTAATACTGAATGATGATTGTAGTATATCTCAAGCTGAATAAACCTTGGCAAAGATTAATAAGATCATTGAGGTTACTAGTATGAAACGGAAGTTAGGTTTAGCTGTCCCCATTTCGTATAAGCTAGTTAAATGTTAGTGGATGAAGTATTTGTATCCATGGTTATAATAGTGAGATAAAATTCCCGTTTCCAAAGTTCCTATTTTGCGTCCATTACCACAAAGAATTATCTGTATTTTATTTGACTTAATTGGATCGATTTTCATGTTAGTATTCATAGGACAAGCATTGGAATGTAGTTGCTTCTGATAGGTCTTCATTCTGAAGTTTTATGGTGAATGCTCACCGCCGAATGAATCACATACTTGGACGAAACGCTCATCCAGTGCTTCCAAGTTTGCGATGGCGGTCTGACATCGATCAGTTCATGACAACAATAAATTATTATTTCTGTTAGCAGTGTAAAGACACTGGAGATTATCTGGACTTCTGAAACGACTGAAATAATCCGACTTGAGATTCTGTCTCCGAAATGATATCCAAACACTAACCAAATGCGTTTTAGAAAGCGGAGCTGTCAGTCGTTTGACCGGATTTGAATACATACATTGTACACTATTATTTATATGTTATTTATTCGACTATGCGGTTTGACAATAAATCACTTGTCAGTTAACAAATGTAGCAAAACACTCGTTGATCATTCATTTCTGCCATTCACAACAGTTAATTTATCGAATTCGCTGATGTGCCGAATGGATTGTAGATTTTTGAATGGTTCGTTGGATTTCAATGTAACTCATTTTTTATCATCTTAAAATGATGTTAAACAGAGAGTAGTTATAACTCATTAATTAGTGCATGGGCAGTTGTAATAGTAATGCATGCCACAGACCCCATGGAATGAAAAAATACCGAAATTTTCAGATCTAGCTAAGATCACAATACTTGTCGATCACAGAATCGGAATACATTAGTCAAAATGTTTAATTTCAAATAATCTGTGGCATAATGGTTTTATTATTCAATCTGCGAGTCATTACTTCAATCTCTAAGTGACGGTCTTTATAGATAATAACTTTTTTTACATAGTTATGTGTGCAACTATCTGTAAGAATTATCTGCGCGTATTTTACTGACTATTAGGTAGTCATCTTAACAAGAAGGAACTTAATCAGAAGTAATAATTTTCTTTCTTGAAATTAATTCACCTTATGGAATTCATTTTAAAGAGTCATAAAAGACATCATCGTCACGAGATTTGATTAATAAAATAATGAAAATTTTCATGCGTCAAAGAATATTCCAGGTTTCGCAATTGAAGAATAACTTTTTTTCAAAACTAACTGAACGTACGTATGTAAAGAAAGATCAAATGAACTCAAGTAAACCGTCACTTCTGAAGACAGCTCTAACAACCTTTTCAAATCTATAAATTTATCCCCGTTATTATTTACTGATTGTATTCTTCGCATGTTAATCTCAGTTCAGGTACAACTAAAGACCAGGTGACATTAAACAATTGTTTCGTCTTGATACGGGACTCCTTAGTAGTGTGTAGTCGTGGCCTCAACAGAAGATAAACCCAGGACTTTGAGGTCTAGCAGCAACCACTTAATCACTGGCATCACTGATTCCTCTCTCAGTGATACAATTTTAATTTCAACCAATTTGTAAATAAATTTAAAATTTTGAGTGAAAAGAGCAATACTGTTAACTGTTCATTTACTCTATTTTCAAACTAAAGATTATACTGATACCTACTGATGACAGTGACTTGGCACGTCGTTGTGAAGTCTATCGTGAAATTGCTATGGAGATACTAGCTGGTCGCCGTGAAGATCGAACGGGATTGCCACCAGAATGTGAGGTCTATTTCCGTTTACCACGTTTAAGTTGGAAAGAGAGCAGTTCTGTGGCACAAAGTTAGTTTAATAATTTATTTCCTTTGTTTAATGTTTCACTTGAGTTCTAATATATTAGAAGTTCGACATCAATAGGTACAAAATCGTGCTTGATCTAGGTTCGCTGCTTGTTAATACTTGTTATTAAGTTTTATTCGTAGCACTGATTTCATCTACATTTATTACTAGAACAACAAAACCATCCAGTATCAGTTAATTAGAAAATGTGCAAACATTAATAACCTACAAAAAATATATGCAACTCAATATGAATTAGAGTGTAACGAGATAAACGAAGATCAATACAATAAGAAAAGAACAAAGATGAATAGAAATCAGTGTGTGAGAGCGGAATACTACTAAGAGAAGCAGTTCATTTACGAAAAATACAACCAGAAGGTATTCCTCCAGTTGAAGAAGTTCCTCTCATTTGTATGGAGAGATTAAAAGAAAGTTAAATCAGAACTACCATTGTTCTACATTATCTATAGTACTCCAACCAACCAAAAGATGCTAGTCTTACTAAGTGATGCAGCATAAAATCATGAAAATTATGAACACATAATCTGTTCAGTGAGATGAAATGCTACTAGAAAAAAAGATATAAGTAGGAAAGTCAACTGAGACTAAGTCTTTAATAGAGTAGAAGAGAGGGGAAAAGATTGTTTTCGAAAACTAGTGGTTAAAATAATTTTAAGAGAAAACCATGAATCAGTTTCACTTAAACACAATGTTATATCTCCTTTATATAAGTGGAAAATAATAAATTTCACTATTTTCACTAATTCTTAGAGTTTAATTTTTTTATCATCTACCAGGATGTTTATGTAATTCAACTGGTTCACGTTCTGAGATATGTGATAAACTAACAGGACAATGTCCATGTAAAGATGGGGTTGTTGGTAGACAATGTGATCGATGTGCATCATATCATTATGGTTTCAGTGCAAGAGGATGTACCGGTGCGTTATTTCTCATTATGATTGTTATTAATTATTCTTGTGTACATTGAAGTAATGTCTTTAAATATAGTGCATGGTATCAATTTATCAGATGAACACATAGATGTTCCAAATCCTCAATTAGTAGGGAAACCCAGAAAATCCCTTGAAAATAGCCCAACAAGGGCCCTAAAACGCTGGGAAACATTTTATCCCATCAGCATTGAATAGAAGTTCTTCATAAACATCCGGAAAGTGAAGAGTCACATGTTACATTTTTGACTGGATAATTACCTATCCTACTAGTAAGGTTCTAGAGTCTTCCAGAAGCCCAAGACCATCTTAAATGGCACAAATAGCCTCAATTTACTGCACATAAACTAACTTTAGAGTAAAGCGTTCTTTCCATATTTCACTCCTTTTCTCTCGTGTTCACGATATCGTGTAGAATCAACCTGGGAGTTATTAGAAGAGCTTAGGAAACTGATTCAAGCATTCAGTCAGAAGATTTATCACTTACATATGTTGACGAGAAAACTTTAACGGGATTATTGATATAACATCTTATCAAATCTGTCTCTTTTTGGTTATAAGTTTAATTTAGACGTAAACTTTGAAATTATACACAAATTAGTCGTTATCAACAAATTAGAATTTCAAAGACAGTGATTTAACTAGTAAGAGCCATCATTGTAGTACATACAACTAAGAGGTAAAATGTAAATAAATTTTAGTGAAACAAATATATACTCAGTGAATGAATGATTAATAATGGAAATTGAGCGTTACAATACCTCCATTTGAAAGATACTAAATCAAAACAAATTTTCTATTAGGTAAAAGTTCTAGTAATAAATTCCAATAAAATGTTTTACTCTGGACAAAATGGCCGTTCAGTACTTTCAGGTTATCAATGATGATCTAGCTTAGATCGACTCATGAATTCCATTTTCAAAATCAATTGTCTAATACTAAATGACACAATTAATATTTACAGATACGTTTATATAAATATTTATTTTTATTCCTTAATATTTCTATTATTTTGTAGATTGTGCATGTGATCCTCAAGGATCTGTCAGTTTACAATGTCATGAAGATACTAGTCTTTGTGAATGTCGACCAGGAATTGTTGGTAAACATTGTAATATGTGTAATCCTGGGTTTTGGGATTTTCCAAATTGTCGTCCATGTATATGCAATGAATTTAGTGATTTTTGTAATCAGGTAATAGAAATGAATGAATAAAAATTAATTTCTAGTTTTATTTGTATAACTATGGTTCACAGTTAAGTTTCATTTAATTTTCACAGTGAGTATTCATGTCAATTGATGTATGGATTTTAGATTTATTTCGGAATAACACTAGCTTAAACACTACTGTAAGTCATCAGAATTGGGTTTTGTGAAGATTTTTAGAAATTTCACTGTTTGAAATCATCAGTCAATTGAAGCTAGTCCACCATGGAAAACCTGGATGCACTGGACGGCCGTTTCGTCCAAGTATGGGACTCCTCAGCAGTGCGCATCCACGATCCCGCCCCCCGCGAGATTCTTACCCAGGACCTATCAGTCTTGCGCCAGGCGCTTAACTAACTAGACCACTGAGCCGGCATCCAACGGTGTTAATGTCTAACTTCAACTAATCCACGAAGTTGCGCCACCGTACACCATTGTCTTCAGTGAGTTCCTATATCTCACAACAGACCTGGTTGAACTCCACTGGTAACGACTTCTCACTAGAACTCCAGGAGTATCTCCTGTAAATCACTAAAAATGTCTCTCATTTTAGACTAAAAATCCTTGGTAGAAAATATCCATGGCGTGAAAGTATATTTAATTCCGAATCGAAAAAATGAATTTTGAGAAGCTGAACTAGGAAATAATAAACTATCGAGTTACTCAAGTAATACGTCAGACACTTACATCTTAATGAATCATAGACTAGCATTTTAAAACTCTACTGATTTTATTATTATTCTCAAAGATCACTGACCCAGTATCTAGAAAGGTTGATGGTACTCCGTTTAACAACAATGCAAAACTAATATAAGAATGTTACATGTTAATCCCTTATTCTTGATAATCAACCTGCTATTAACAGCAATATAAAAACCATTATTTACTTCACTTTAAATCATTTATTATATGGTTTCTCGATAACTAGTCAGCGTAAAAGGGCCAGTTAGATTTTGACGTGATGACTCTATAAAAGAACCTTTTCACAATACCTATTGAATATGAACAAGCTAAATCCATGTGGTTGTATAAATTTTTATTGAAGTCTATATAAAATGGTATAAAATGTACCGTTAGCAATGTCCAAACTGACATCGGATGGAAGAATGTTTAAGACAAGTAAAGGATGTGAAGATGTCTGTTTATAGCTTCAGATATATCAGAAACGTATACATTCAACTGCACACGATATAAAACATAAGAATTTCACGTTTCATGATCAGTGTTTTGCAAATTAAATTCTGAATTAAACTATAAACATTCATACTGATGAAAATTAATTAATCCATAAAACACTACGACATGAGTACAACTACATTGCTGAAAATTTGTCTTCGCTTTCTGCTTATTTGATCCTGGTATCTGCAAACTATTCTCAGAATGTTTTAACGTTTAACCCATAAATAAATGATCTTTACTCAATTCAGTAATTTGTGTGCAAAAAATACGTACATATACCTGTAAAATCTATTGGTTTTGACTAAACTATATTCAACTACTGTAGACCCTGACTATAAAATGTAATTTAAGAGAACGTTGTTCAGAACTTTCTAGATTTTTAAGATTTTAATAGTACCACATATGTAACATTACAATTATCCTCAAAAATAGTCTTCTTTATTCGAGTATAAGAATTTTAAAGTCAAACATTTGAATTTTAAGTATTTTTCAATATTTACATTGTATAGACAACTGGAATATGTGAAAACTGTAGAGATAATACTGGCGGTGATCATTGTGAAACATGTCGTGAAGGATTTTATGGTGATCCTTTGAGAAAAACTCCTTGTAAACCATGTTCATGTCCAGGCGGTGGATTAAATCATGCTAAAGAATGTCATATGGGACCATTGGAGGAACAAATTTGTATTTGTAAGGTTGGATACACAGGTGAGTGAATTTTTCGTTGTAATCTTATTATTCTGTATATTTTTAACAAAATTACTTACTTACTTACGTCTGCTACTCCTCGTGAAGGAGCATAGGCCGCTCACCAGCATTCTCCATCCAACCCTGTCCTGGGCAATCCTTTCCAGCTCTTTCCAGTTGTTATTCATTCCTTTCATATCTGATTCCATTCCCCGACGTTTAACAAAATATTCGGTCAATTTTGTTTTTGTGGAACTAAGTTACTTTTTTGATTACTGTATTAAATAATTGGTTCTGTAATCTACCTTTGTATTCATCAATTTCTTGACATTACGTAGCACTAAGATTCTACGCTTTCTGTCATAAATACATGTCAAATTCTGTTCAAAATTACGCTAAATATTGCATGCTATCTCAAAACAGTAGTTCAATGAATTTGCATCTGTGAAGATACTTTACAATTATAACTCATTTTTGTTAGTATAGAGGATTTTGAAGATAATGGTTTCGCATAACAGGCTGATTATAGTTATGAGATCATTTAAAATCAGAAAGCCCCAGACAGATGCTTCACTTTGGCATGAGGCTTCAGCAGTACGCATTCATGAACTTATGAAGGACTAAATCATGGACACCAAGGGATCGTAGTGGGCAATTAATTTTCAGATATCTAAACTGGTATTCAATGGTTTACATTTCTAACCTTTATCTATTCACGATACTATGCTACCATCATCACTTGTGACTAATGGTATTTGATTCATCTTCTACATATGTGAACTTCACAAGTCCATCGACTGATTCTAGCAAAGAGAAGAGAAAACCGATTTTCATAAATGATGGGGATTTAAAAATTGAGGTTAATTTAAGGAAAATAAAATCCACTGTTAACTGGTACATGTGGTTCATATATATCTTTTTTCCAGGTCCGAGATGTAGTCAATGTGCTACGAACTATTTTGGGAATCCAACTGAACCTGGTGGCTCTTGTCGACCATGTGAATGTTCTGGAAATATTGCAGTTAATGTACCTGGCAGTTGTGATCCAATCACTGGACAATGCTTGAAGTGTTTACATAATACAGAAGGTTATTACTGTGATGTAGTAAGTTTGAAATTAATTCAGTGAATTATTACATAAAATGATTACTGCAATGATGTTTATCTCTTTCACTTTACATTTTAATGTTATTATTAACATGGGTTTGAACTATCATGTGGTTAATATGGAAGACTGAATTTCGGTTAATCATTGTTTAATGTATATTTATCTTATCTTGATACAACCGTTTTATCACAATCTTTCTGGAATAGTTAGACTATGGCTAAGAGTGGAATTCAGGACGTCCATTAGGTTATTTTTAAGAAGCATTACTTAAGTGTATCTATATTCCACTATTATTATCAAAACGTTAGTGGCTACCTGGACTCAGTAGATAACTCGTTGACTTTCAAAGTGGAGGGTATCGCGTTCGAGTTGTGATGTAAACATTAACACTGGTAAAGGGATATTCAGCCGATATATTTATATGATTGGTTCATTCTGTATCCATGTTCTTGTGAATGGGGTCACATTAATTAGAGATAGCATTTTAATGTAAACATTTCATACAAGAGAAAAATATTTCAAAACTTTCCCTCTTATTTATCGTATTTGCCTAATTTTTTATAGTGTAAAGATGGCTTTTGGGGTGATGCAACACGTCAAATGTGTCAGCCATGCAATTGTTACCCATTAGGTAGCATTGATGAAGGTGCTGGAGGTTGTAATCGTGAAAATGGACAATGTTCATGTCTACCAAATGTAATTGGTCCAAGATGTTATGAATGTGCACCATATTTTTTCAATTTAACTTCTGGTAAAGGATGTGAACCATGTTTATGTGATCCAACTGGTTCAATCGATGATTTATGTGATCCGGTAAGTTTCACTTCATTTGAAAGTTATATTTTTAAAAGAGAATATACAGTGATGAAACTACAATTTGTACTAATTCATAGTCGATGTATCGTTAACATCTAATTTAATGAATTTCAATCACGACATTTTGTCATAATTAGTTATACTAACAAAAAATCTTTACAATATATCCATCAATTATTTTTCTTTATTCATCATTATCTGTAGATCACTAAAAAATAAAGGGTACCAATTAAAAGTGATCTGAAGTTGATAATTGAATTTGACAATTTACTATTCAGTTTCATAATCTAATCGTATTTTAAAATTTGTGAACTTCATAAAATGGTATAGAATTTCGGAAGATTAAATATACACTTCACAACAAATTAACAACACTAGGTTGATAGTCCATATTAAGTGGGATTTTCCTTTATTTCTTTTGTATCTTTGAAAATAAAATATCAGTTAATATAATCATTACCTTATAAAAGTATTTTCAATAGTTGATATCATGAGTCAATTGAAACTAAACCACCATGGAAAATCTGGAATCACTGGACGGCCGTTTCATCCTAATATGGGACCCCTCAGCAATGCGCATCCAAGATCCCGCCTCGTGAAATTCGAACCCCTTCTGAAACTAAACAACACATGCTCACTAGGGAATGACTTCAAGAAGTATTTCCTGGAGTTCTAGTGAGGATCAGTGACCGGTGGAGTTCAACCGGGTTTGTTCTGAGATAGTAACTTACTGAAGACAATGGCAAATGTGTAGTCCAGTGCTTCCAGGTTTACAATGGTGGTCTAGTTTCAACTGACTGATGATCTCAACTATTCTTTTAATGCTGACGAAATTCCATCGATCATGTGGTAATGTAGCCTTAAGGTTGGGTACGCGAGTTCAAATTACTCAGACTCAGTTCCTTCAGGGTTTTATTTACGCCTTGGTAATGAGTGCCATCTAGAATAAAACCTAGATTAAGCAGGTTTGCTTGCTGACTATATTCAACCACTTAATACTAGTTAGTATGAATGACTTTTAAGTAATTACATTTTCCAGTGCTATGTTTCATTAATTTACCTTGATAAATTGTTGCTAGATAGATAATACTCATTGAGTTTCAACTCTGTATTTACTGTTCATAATTTAATCCCAACAATATTACTAATATATTCCAGGTTATGGGCCAGTGTCGTTGTAAACCAGACCGAAGTGGGCGTAGATGTGATCAGTGTAGAAGACTATTTTATAGCGATCCAACTACTCCAGACGGGTGTCAACGTGAGTTCATTAATACTCTCATTTGTTGAAAAAAATTTTTTTTAACACTAGGCGTTTCTGTTAGGTAATGGTATTTCCCTTTATGTTGATTGTATATCACTTTTTTAACAAATAGAATTCCTTTTTTCCCCATAGCTTGTAATTGTGATCGAATTGGTTCAACAAGTGATTTATGTGATCCATTAACTGGTCAATGTCCATGTAGAACGGGTATAACTGGCCAACGATGCGACAGATGTGACCGAGGTACTGAAGGTATTCTACCTGATTGTGTACCATGTGGTGAATGTTGGAATAACTGGGATAAAGCAATCGACAAAGTTATTAGTAAGTTAATTACTACTACACTATTCTTTATTTCAGTTAATCTATTTTAGTTTTATATTTCTCGAAATATATATGAATAAACAAATTAATTAAGTTATATTGTGGTGTGTAGATTTTCATATGATTTGTATAAGAGCTGAATCTTCAACTGACTCACATAATTAACTGAAACCGGGTAAGAGTGTGACATTTTCGAGGTTAGCTACAACAACTATTATAATGATTCAGGTGTGATAGCATATTTAGTTGAAGTATTTAAATATCTCCAGCAATAAAGCAGAACGATCGTAAAGCATATTTAAGGAATAGTCTTTTACAGCGATCCAACAATTTTCTTATAAACAGCTCTTTCTTAGTTGGTAATTTCTATGACTGTGGATAAGAAACAAGACTTTTGAGTCCCGTTAGGGTCAGCTGGAACAAATCAAGATCGAATCTATCAGTGTCTACTGTTTCTTATCGATTAATCTTCGCAGTTAGTTTGACACAGTCTACCAAGCGATTCCCCCTTCTACCTCTCATTCTATATACTCTCCTACCTAAAGATTCATCCTCCTGGAGAATTGCATGATTTGTTATTCGTAATTTCCTTCTTACTAATACGTTTACTACTGACTAGTGTTTGCAGACGCTCTCATCGAATGTCGTCCATTTGGAGAGTCTCCACTGAACATTCTTTTCATCGTGAGCATTACCTATTTTTACTATTCGAATCAAAACTCGAATTGGAAATAAAATTCCACAAGATTAGAATGCTTAAAATAGATTCCGCTATTCAGGATGATAAAATGACCATTCGGAATTAGAGTCTGTGTTGTTTCTACAACATGACCTGCTGAATGTCTTTTCATCAGAGGGAATAAAGCATTGTGATCTCCTTAAAATACTAAAGTACACTCTATACCCATTTACTACAATTTGAATCGTTTTACTTGTGTTGGTTACGCTGAGTTATCTATAACTTTCTTTTGACAGTACTTTGATTTCAAAGCTTCTCGAATTGTAACCGGCTAACCATTAATATTTGTTAAGAGGAATTCACGTTGCACTGCGGAGGTATTCTAGAGAGCTGCTGGCAAACAATGTGGTTTGTTTATAGATTTGTTCCCTGGTTGTTTCCATCTTCTGAACTTAGTGAAGCATACGTTTCTCTGGTAGAATCCATCTTTATCCCCTATCATCATTAAATGCACAACCTGAAGAAATATCAAGAACCACAATACTATTACTATTCCAGTCTTTTTTTGCTAATTTATGGTATTACAGTAATAATGTATATGTAAGAGTTTCAGTAACAGGACAGGATTTACAATAGATACCATAATTTTTGAGATTACCCCCACCCCCTACTTGGATTAAAGCGGTGTCCTAAGTGTAGTTTATTACTCGTTGATGTCCCACAACAAACATTTTAAAGGCTAAATAAAAGCCTTAATTGAGGCAGTGCATTAATCGTGTACTGACATTAACAAACAGTTAAGACTGAAGAAAACTAGTAAAAACTCGAACTGATATTCAGTGAGCCTTGAAGTTAAAGCGTTCCAATTTCCGACTTTTGACATAAACACGTATCAAAAAATCGTCTTCACTCGTCTGTAGCTCTATAGATCGATATAGACCGGTAAAAATTGAAGGATGATAGACTAGAAGCTATCTGATTATGTATATACCTTCCACAAATACTCTATCGACTAGGATCTGTGTTGATATGAGATTGAATATTTATCCAACTTTACTAGATCAAGTTTTCATGAGAAAATAATACTTACCAATTCAAACAGATTGTCAATGATATGACTGGATGAAAAGTCAAAATTAGATTGATTTACTTATTATGGTTTTTATTCAACATTATTTCCGTCTTCTTTAATTCAATGTATGAATGAGTGTATTTTCGACTAGGGTCGTCGTTGTGTTTTGGGGTTATTAAATCTTCACTCATATCAATCTTGTGTTCTTACTTTCGCATCGTTGTAATTGCAGAGTTTCCCCACTTTACAAGTATATTTGATAAGCAACTCCGACATAAGAATCAGCGACGATCAGTCATAACAAGTAGCGTTCAGTCAGAAGACTTATCATTCAAGATTAACATTGAACAGGTCTTGACAGAGAAACCAAGAACTAGATAACATATTGACTAATTTGAACTTCTTTCCTTGTCACAATTCAAGTTAATCTGTTTTTTTCACACACATCATAGTTTTTGTAATGTCGCTTATTTGAAGGTAGAAACGATCATCAGAACTTATTAATACGAAGCTCAGTCTATGCAAACTGGATAAATCGGACAACTAACTCACAACAACACTTCTATGTTAATAAATTACGTGCAATTCAAAAAAGAATATGAGACTTTAATAAAGCTTTCATGTATAAATAGCAATACTAAAAGCATGAGTTCCTTTCCTCTTATTTTCTTTCTTCTGTATTACTATTACTACAATGAGAATCAAAACAACAAACACAACTGTTACTATTATTGTATAGTGAACGAACACTAAGGTGGGGACAACCAATGTATTTTAATACAAAATTACAGACTATAAGAATCATGCACTAAATACATCATAACCATCATGTGTCCTTCATAATCTGCATGATTCTTGAAGTTCACAATTTATTTCTATTTTCCCTTCTGTTCTCTTCAATTCGATCTTCTTAGCCCTCTACTGCCAGGTTTTTCATTTCCAACTAGTATTACATAATACTTACGTCTATCAACATAAGTAGCATACACTACAATTACATCAAAATCATAAATTATCTTTTTTTAAATTATATTTTCTAGGTGAATTAGATCGTTTACAGAATCAAACGGGTCAACAATTACCTAAAGAATTAAAAATCATGTTTGACAGTTTAGTCAGCTTATTAGATCAAATTGAACATTTACCATGGATGACAACAGATGATACAAGATTGAATGAATTCCGTGATGTATTAAAACGAAGCGAGTAAGCGATTATTATCAATAAACAAAATACACACAAACACGTTTGTCATAAATGTTTGAGCACAATAATAATAATAATAAAATGATGGTTCGATTAATATCCCTGTCCAACGGAAATGACCTTCATAGTGTGAAGGAAACACCTAAAACTTTGACACAATAATTGTTATATGACATCCTGGAGTTTTTCCATTAAACTAATTTCAGATAAATCAACTGCTAGCTAGATCAACCATCATCAAAACTGTGTGAACTATTTAACAGGTCAAATTCATGTAAATCCAGCTAGATATTGAAATAATAATACATTAGTTAAATTATTATTATTTTATCCATAGATGAATGTGTAACTTTTACCATAAATTATCGTCAATCAAGGAACCAGAGAGCTATAGACACTTGTGTTGTTATAATGAAGCAAATAGTGAAGAAGCGGTAAATATCGAAACTATGATATGGATTCCACTGCTAGTCACTATCCATCTTTGCTTATGATATGTATTATTATTTACATATTCTTATTTCACAATTACTATGCAATCAGACTACTATGTTAGTATATTCAATTCAATTCAACAACTAGTATTGTTCGTTTCATTATTCCTAATTTATTGTTAAATCAATCATCTACAACTTGATCGATTTAACTACCATTTTAGGTTTGTTTATGCGTAAGTATAATCTACATATATCTACATATAAACCCATGAGTACTTGGAATAAAAGATAATGAAAACTTAGCTGTTGTCTTCACCTTTCGGGATTAGAGGTGGAAATATAATGCTTGTGTATGATCAGATCAATAGGATCTGAGCTTACGTTAGCTCGAGATTATTCGTTTCCATTGGATCATTCGATTGGTCAAGGCTATGGACGTTAGGCTGAAGACGAAATAGCATATGAAGAGTAGCAAAGATTATAATCAGATTTCGGATTTGCGAATAATGCGAGTGATTTCGACTAACGTCTTAGTCATAACAGGTTGCTCGTCAAATTTTTGGACATTGGAGTAGTGTATAAAGACGTGAACAAACATGTCTGGTTTTTACAAATGATATATGGACAATAAAGTGACCACAAAATCTCATTCAGCGATTGTCTATCATTAATCTAGTATTTCTCATGATTACTTTTTATATTTATTTGCAAAATAATAATGGATGTTCGTGGGTTGTAGGCAGATTTTTTGAGGAATTTTGGTTTATCAGGGCTTCGTGCTAGCTGGCACGGGTCAGTAAGGCATACCTTCAGTTTTGAGGGGATTGATACTCAATGTAAAATTCTAACTTGATTCATTCTGATTCTCAGTGCAAAACGCCACCAGCGAGCTATTCTGGTCATGACCAACTTCCAGAAGAACTGAGATGCTTGGATTGACTAAACACGAAGTATCAACCAAAACCATGTTTGTCTAGGCCTTGGTGCTGACTGAATTATACTAAACAAGTTATAATATGGCCATTAATTTAGTTGCCTACACTATGTCAGTCGGGATCTGAATAACTTAGTGGTAATGTTTCAGATTGTGAAGCCGGGTAACAAGTGCTTGAACTTAACAGAGATTCTCAGTTCCCTTAAGACTGTAATCAAACCTTGTTGTTGAGTGGCAACTAGCACGAAGCTCAAGTCAAGCATGGTTTCTTAACAACTGCCTACCTGGTTCCAGACACTAACTTTATTAACCCTGAATTACCACGATTTTTTACTCAAGTAAATGTACCGAATTGTTGTTTGTCGACCAAACTATTTTTCTTCAAAATGTTTTCATCAACATAACGTTATTCATATTCTTTCGATTACATTTTTTGACTTCCATCACACTTTTACACAAGTATAGAAAAGAAATATGAATTAATTTTTATTCACCCTAATCTTATTTGTTTACTACGCTTTATTTAGAGAAATTGTTATGCGTCTAAGTTCACTTGATCAATTCGCTGATAGCTTAGTAAAATGGGATGATTTAATAACAGAGAGATTCGCTCAACAGTTAGAGCGTAAAGCTGTAGTGAATGAAGCAAAAGCACGTCTTGAAACACTAAAAGCACAAATGCAAAATATAATGGATGAATCAATAAAATTGGAACATCTTGATCAAAAAGGTAAGTAAAAAACTACTTTTATTTATGTAAGATGTTTGTGGACATTGTTTAGTTTGATAGTTTACATCATGAACTAACCTCAGTTAAACAGTCGTTGAAAACCAAGAAACACCATTGGACGGCTGTTTAATTCTAGAATGGGATTTCTTATCAGTGCACATCCATAGCTTGACCGAGGACTGAACTTAGGACTTTCAGGTCTCATGGAGAGAGTCGAGCACTAGATTACTGAGTGAGGATCCAATGGTTTAAATTTCTAATTTCAATCAATTTGTAATATCGCTCAATCATCTTCAATTATCATTGGTTGAAAAACATCTCACAGCTAATATGGTTTGTTTCATAAATTAGACTTCCTCGTTTGATTTCTCTAATCGTTACTTGTTCTTTTACTTTTAACATTGTAACTGATTTCAATGCTGAATTTGTTCTAAAGATGACGCCAAATATGTAGGCTTTTAATCTTTTACACTAGTCTGCTCTTTTACAGCAACACTTATTCGCTTAGCTGGAAACATAGGTTCAACAATTCTGAATCCTCTTATTAATTGGAGCTATCTAAATGTGTTCACTAGTGACGAATCTCCAGTTTCCCAACCTACATGGTTTCAAAACAAATGTTGAAATGTAACAACTCTTCTTATAACATGGTCCTGTCATTTACGCTATTTACCTAATTGTCACAGGGTTTGCTTCATATCCATAACACTACTGAAGTAATTGTAATGTTTTAAGTTAGTAGTCGTTCTTTATACTGTCATAACGGGATGAGTATTGAAAAATTTGAACTTTTGAAACTGTCCTACCAAAAGCTATTGCTTATATTTCTGTTGTATAATTATTACGTGCTTAAATTATTGTATTTTTGGTATTATCCTACTTGTAAGCTTTTCTGTGATGAATAAACTATTGTTGTGTATTGTACCTTTCATAAAATGCTGTTCATTTACTACAGACCTGCTACACAGTTCTCATCTATTTATGATGTGGTTATGCCGTTAAAGTATTTTCTTGATTATTTTGATGTGTGGACAATATTTTATTTTATTATGTGGGTAATGAGCCATGATTGATATGAGTTTAGTAGAAGCTGGTTGCTGACTTCTCTTTGGACAAAGAATAGAAAAAGACTTGATTGTAGCGGACCAATAGGAGCTAATGTCTCATCGGTTCAAGATTAACGATGAAGGTTCAAACCTATGGTTGGTCAAGTCTATGAAACAGAAGAAATAATAGACACAGAGTAGAAAAATTAATAATTAGAATTCGTTTTAACGGCTTTAACACGTGATTTAGATCATTATATTGAAGTCAAAACACATACAACTTGTTATTAACTATCAGAATAAATGTTTTACAAATGAACTACATCAATGATTTACTTAGTAAAATAAAATGAAGCGGTGAACACTATAGTTCCATTGCTTGTTGTAGAACTGTTGTTTGTGCAAATGGACTAAAAACTCTCAGCATGAATACAAATGACCAATTTATTTTGTTTTACAAAATGATACAACACATGATGTAAGCAAGATATCTAAACGTGTATAGTTGACATAGTATTTTGTACAATGGTACTTCGTTATATTTCACAACACCAAACCAAGAGTCACTGAAAGTGAAGGATCGGAATATTCAGTCAATGCTGTTAAACGGTGAAACTATTAAGGAAGATAATTGGAAGTGATGGCAAAAGAGTTGAAATGATAAAATCGTTTGTAGTAAAGCGAATGTCGATACCTTTGATTTTTTTTCGCAGTTTTTAAGTGGCTCATTTATATATGCATTTAATTGTTTCTCTTCTGATTTTCTGTTCTTGTTCAACAAGATTATGTTCACTTTCTGAGATTTATCATTATCTCCAGATTTATTCCCCGTTGTAAAGGTCATATTCATCACACACTGATCTAAGTTAACATTGAAAACCAGGCAGCACCAAACAGCTGTTTCGTCCTAGTGTGGGTCTACTCAGAAGTTTCCGCTCACACTAGGGTTCAAGCTCAGAACCTTCAGATCATTTAGCAAACCCAAAAAACGATTAGATCCACTTTTTTCATATCCAGAGGTAAAATCTAAACTTCAATCAATTCGGAATATAGCGTAATGATCATCCAGTGCTGTTGTTGGCAATTACATCACTCTCGACATGTTTCAACCCTACCAGCTACAACTCGGTAAAACTTCACAAAAATCTTGAAGTAGCTAGTAAGCTGACGATTATACTTCTTCTCAGTTTCCAACGGCACCCAAACTAAGATCAATTTGTGATAAATATGACCTAAAAACCAAACCAGTCTCTTCAGTACTCCTTGATATGTCGATCTAAAATCTGTAACGACACACAAATCTGTAACGAGACGTGTAATGTTTCAATCTCTCTTTTTGTCTAAACTAACTAATTTTTTTGCCTTTATAATAAAGAATTTCCTAAATTTTATTTCTAGTCTACTTAAAAAGGTAGACCATACTACTAATAATATTCATTATTATCATTATTAAAATCCATAAGAAAAAAAGCTTCAATGTAGAGTATGTATATAGTCATGTATATTGGAAAGAATTTAAATAAACTTTATATTTTATAGGAGCATATTTATCAGTTCTACGTTCAAAAGATATTGTCGATAGAGCCATGAATACACAAATTAGTATAGAACATCAACGTGGTGGACTAGAAGGTGACTTATCAAACTCTAAACGTGAATTAGAAGCAGTACAAACACGTGCAGATCAGTTAAATTCTGATTGGGCACAATTAGATAGGCGAATTGAAGAATTTCGTGAAAAAATTCGACAAACTAATAGACTGGTATGTGTATTTTTCTCAAATGGTTTATAAAATTTACTATTTATACAGCTATATTTATACACTTAATTAATTTCATTCGATACTTTTGATTTAATGACGAAGTTACTCGTAGAAATCCCAAAATCAAAAAACATGAGCTTCGTTTCAAACACAGTATTCTTATGAAGTAGAACAAAAGTAATTAATTTACAAGAGTCAAATGTGTTTAGCAGGTCAATGTACAATCAAAGAGAAAACTCTTTCTAGGATCGTTATATAGAAATTAATAATTAAAATAAATATGTAATAATCAGTAACGGTGTCATTACCGCAACGACTGTCAACAATCGAAACATGAAATCAGGACAAAAAATATGTATATTATTACAGATAAACAAATTTATATGAGTATACATGAGATGAAATTAATTATTAAGCATGCTAAGGATATACAATAAACATAATAGATGAATGAACAGCCACACGTTCATGAAGATAATTCGAAATACAATTGAATGAAATGTCATAAAAATTATTGTCGATTATATGAATTACTAAATATTAACAAGTAGTATAATTTATTATGCAAAAAGTTGGCCGAATAAAAATGTAATGAGAATAGAAAGCGCAAATCGATTTAGTTTATTTATTTACAGAAACTTATTGGGGTGAAATATGCTTATTAAAATAGTGAGTTCTATCATGTTTTAAAAAAAATAAACTCCACTAACAATTATTGCATTATCAGAGTGATTGTATTCACAATGGTTGGTGAACCATGACAAGTTACACATCAACAAACTCTCAAACAGAAAATTAAAAGGTTCAAATAAATTGTTATCAGTATCTGTCTTTATATGAACTCGTAATTTGTATGAATAATTAACTAAAAAAATACTATAATTCATCGTAAATAGTAGATCTTGATGAGTACATTACTGATAGAATATCGACTAGTACATTTATCGTTATTTTATAGTATGCACTATTAATTGACCTTAGTTAATCATCCATTGAAGAATGGACACGTGTTTAGTTATAAAATGTAACTCCTAAGCACTTCACAATCAAAACCCCATCATGCCCTTCAAACTTCGTGGTGAGAACTTAATCTTTAGACTACTGAGTCTGATATTCAATGTTTTACATTACTAACATTTTTCATTAATTTAATTTGTGGGCAACTGAAAAAAAGACAGTTAATGAATGAATGAAAAGAGAATGTATGATAAATATTAAATACAAAACCATAAAACAAACGTTTACTAAACACTTATTAAACATATATATACATAAACTCCACTGGTTGAAGTCATGAGTCGATTGAAGCCAGACCACCATGGAAAACCTAGAAGCACTGGACGGCCGATTTGTCCTAATATGGGACTCCACAGCAGTGCGCACCCACAACCCCACTCCCAGCAAGATCCGAACCTAGGACCTACTAGTCTCACGCCATGCACTTAACCAACTAGACCACTGAGCCGGCCGGCATCCCATGACGTTAATGTCTAACTTTAACCAATCCACGAAGTTGCGCTACCGTACACCATTATCTTCAGTGAGTTAAGATCTCATAACCGACCTTGTTGAACTCCACTAATCACGGCTTCTCACTAGAACTCCAGAAGTATCTCTTGAAGTCAGTCACTAGTGAGCAGATGACTATTATCAGAAGGGGTTTTGTGGAGATTTAGAAATTTCACTGGTTGAAGTCATGAGTCAATTGAAGCTAGACTACCATGAACGAAACGGCCGTCCAGTGCTTCCAGGTTTTCCATGGTGGTCTGACTTCAATTGACTCACGACTTCAACCAGTGAAAATTCTAAAATCTCCACAAAACCCCTTCTGATAAATATATAACCTGACTTACTATAAACAACTTAGCACATTTCATGTTTTCAATATCTCTCCCCTATTCTAACAAATTACTTGTTTTCCTTCATGTTTTTTTCCAAATTTGGAATTATTCTAGATTTGTGGAGATAATAGTTTACCACCAACTGAAGATACAGATCAAAAAGTATGTCCATCCACATGTGGTGGTGCTGGATGTGATTATTTTTTTCAAAATCATCAAATCTCAATACAATATCAACAACTAAAAATATATTAATGAATCATTTAAACACTGGTCTAATTAGTACATGTGGTGTAAATATTGGATGTAATGCAAGTAATGCTGGAAGATTAAGATCACGTATGGAAGATTATTTAAATCTTCAAATTCGTTTAACTAATGCATTATATAATGTTTATAGAGCTGAAAATGCGATATCGAAGGTAAATGAAAACTATTCATATTTGTTCGGTTCGCTTTGTTTCTTTTTCTTTTTTTCTGATTCCATTCATTACTTGATTATAATTGAACATTTACATCAAAACTATTATACACATTAGAAGTTTCTATTTATTATTGTTTTATTCCGATTGATAGATTCAACCGGCAAATCTAGGTTTCTTTTTGTATACATCACTAAGTACATTAAAAATATGATATACAAAGTATGCCCTATCCATATCAATGGTTTGTGTTTCACTAAAGAGGTTCCAATCAAATTTTTCCAATGTTTTAACATTTGACGAGAAGTAATTAATAACTGTTTATACATATATTCTATACAAAACTCTATATCAACTTATGACTAATGGTTACATCGGTTGAATATAATCTGTTTAACAAATTATTAGATCATTCAATAAATTCATTTTATCAGAAGGGTTTGTGGAGATTTTTAGAAATTTCACTGGTTGAAATCATCAGTCAATTGAAGCTAGACCACCATGGGAAACCTGGATGCACTGGACGGCCGTATCGTCCTAGTATGGGACTACTCAGCAGTGCGCATCCACGATCTCGCCCCCGCGAGATTCGAATCCAGGACCTATCAGTCCCGCGCCAGGTACTTAACCAACTAGACCACTGAGCCGGCATCCAACGGTGTTAATGTCTAACTTCAATCAATCCACAAAGTTGCGCCAACGTATGCTGAGGAGTCCCATACTAGGACGAAACGGCCGTCCAGTGCTTTCAGGTTTTCGATGGTGGTCTAGCTTCAATTGACTCATGATTTCAGTCTGTGAAATCATTTTAATCACTTAGTAGAAACGTATGAAGAATTCTCCTAGACGAAATTTTGATTTGTTTAAAAGATTTTTTTAAAAATCATTTTCAGTATGAATTATTCAATAAACTACCTAAGTTTATCGATTTCATTAAAACTCAGGAATTGAACTAGAGAAATGATGCGGTAACCAATTGTATGTCAGATTTTAACAAGTATGTATTGATCAACGTAAAATCAAAGTGGATGCGCACTGCTGTGGAGTCCCACAACTGAACGAAACGGCTGTTCAGTACTTCCAGGTTTTCACTAGTGGTCTAACATCAATCGGTTCATGATCTCAACTATTGAAATTATTACAATCTCCACAAAACCCCTTCTGATAGCGTTAGTTTACTATTAGACAAATGACTTGGTACTAAATAATTGAGAGATAGTTGAGAGGACATTACACTCGATTTGGTTTAACTGTTGGTAGAACGTCATCAGGTGGATAATTTGGATGGAGTTTCGTTCTCTGAGCTGGATGGTTTGGTCGTGGAGCTTCTATTTTTCGTCTGAATAACATCATCATCATCATAAACTTCAGGTAGGAATGAAGTGTTCGACGTTCTCCACATATGACTCACAGTCTATCCTGTTGGCCTTTAACTTGTCATTGTCTACTTCTTCATTTTGATTATATCTCCCATTGATTAAAAGTCAACAATAACCAATCAAGATCGAGGTCTAAACGATAGTTTCTTTAAGTCATATGTGGAGAACTTCGAACACTTCACTTCTACCTGACGTTATTCAGACGAGCAATGATAAATACGTAACCTCATTTGATTCAATTTATGATGCAATTTTTTCTATCCTACTGTAGACATATATTTTCCATATAACTATATATATACGAATGTACAGCTTTAGTAAATGATTTCATTGAATTCTTTTTTTCTTATTCAATAAAACTTTGAATGGCTTAAAAATAAACAATTTCATTTTCTTATTTCAAAAGTCAAATATTTACATGTTATGTAATCCATCTTATCATAATAAAATAAACAAAATAAAAATATCAGAATGAGTTTTGTGGAGATTTTTAGAAATTTCACTGGTTGAAATCATGAGTCAATTGAAGCTAGACCACAATGGAAAACCTGGAAGCATCCACAATCCAGCCCCCCCCCGCGAGATTCGAATCCAGGACCAGTCAGTCTCGCGCCAGGCGCACTGCTGGGCAGTCCCATACTAGGACGAAACGGCCGTCCAGTGCTTCCAGGTTTTCCATGGTGGTCTAGCTTCAACTGACTCATGATTTCAACCGATGAAAAATAATAATAATAATTTCATTTATTATTGTTATAATAGGTAAATTCAAGTCGTAGAATTGCTGAACAAACAGTAACAAATTTAACTATACAAGCAACAACTATAAAAGAACGTATAGCTGATATGTATAATCTTACAAAAAATTTAATAAATGAAGCTGAAAAATATGTCAATCTATACAGTAGTATGAGTCAAGAGAAATTCGATGAAGTAAGTCAAAGATATTGAATTCATTATTTTCATTAATGTAGACTATTATTGATAATAATAATAATAATAATATATTCAAAGATAGATAGCGGCCAGCAGTGAAACCTATGACGCATGTTTCGTCCTGTCAGCTGGATGTACCCTCGTTGCAAAAGCAAGTGGCTATCAGGACTCAGTAGTTAAGTGGATAAAGTGAAGGCGTTTGAAGCGAACGGCACTAGATTCGAGTCCCAAAGCGAACATCAACTCTGAGATACAGGTACATCCAGCTGACGAGTCACAAATAGGACTAAACGCGTGTCCTGGATTCCACTGCTAGCCACTATCATTCTTTGAATATAATGCTTGTGAATTAAGGCTATATCGAGGCAATACGCATACTATGCACATATGCCAATAAGAGACTGATCAATTGCAGTCCTAAATAACGATGGGAAGATACAAATAAGTGATACCAAGTGAATAATAATAATGATAGTAATAACAAGGCAGTGGAGCAACATCAGGAGATGCAGTCACATAGTAGCCAGTGACCAACAATTGGTCCGTACACCATTTGCTCCCTTAGGACTCTAGAGTTCATGTGCACCGTTGGTCTGGAATCAGGGTTTTCTTATTCCCCTAGGTGGACCCTCCATGTCAAACGACCCGGTTAAAGAGTCAAATATTCGCTTTCCATCCTCTCAATTTTGTAAACAACAGTAATGCCGCGAAAAGACAATGAGTAGGACTTCCCTGGTACTGGCTGTATACGCGTGGTCATGTGAGAGCATTTTGAGAGGGAGAGCTGACTCTCCCCACTTTCGGCCGTACCAGGGCATTTGAGAGTGCTCAATAAAGTAGGTGTAGATAAATTGGAAAGACTAAGAATAAGACAAAGAAAGTATCAACTGCCTTTTTCTAACTCTTAGAAAAGTTATTTAGTTGATATAAAATTGTAAGATATACAAAACATACATGAGATATGCTCCAACTGCTTCTATCGATGAAGGGTCAATAACTCAGCAACTAAATTTATCATCTCTATCTTATTTCATAAGTTAAATTTCTTTATCATGCAATTGATAGTTCTATTATACGCGAATAGCGGTTCGAAAATATTTGTGATCAATCTGCAAGTAACCTATATGTCCTTAAATTTGAGAGGTTATTTTACGGTCATAATGTCATCATGATATTGGATAGTTGAATAAATGATGTTTTTATCCCTCTAAAACATTTCTTTTTATATTTTGTTAGATTTTAAGAACCCTTCAAAATGCAAAATTGAATGTTAGTCTATATGAAGCAGAACAGATAATTCAACAATTAGAAAAATATGCTATAGACTTGGAGGATAAAGTTAAACGTATTTTAGCCGAAACTGAATTGGATCGTCAACGTACTGGGAATTTATTAAGACGTGCTGAAACTATTAGGTAAATACATTGAGAGAAAATATTATGTATAATTGATTATTTGTATTGGCGTTCCCATTTGCTCAACAATTTCATGAACTGTTCTGAATATCTTTCAAGGTTTTCACTTAGAAACTAAGTTGAAATTTTGATTTTTCGACTTCTGTGAATTGTTAATGGTTTATCATATGAAATGGACTGGGGCATAATATAAATAGTCGAGCAATACTGATACTTATAAGCAGATTTTATCAGATTAATCCAGTAATCTTAAATTAAATTTCTCTGTTGACCTTTTTGCAAGACATATAGATATCATGATTATATATGAATCAATAAACTGATCAACATCTTACTCTATGGTACATTAAGTTCTCACATGTTTATTTTTTGCCAGAGCAACAGGAATCATGTTATTATAACATCACGTTTATTAAATCAGCCTATTAGGATCCTAGATATTTAAAAAATCCATAGGTTTTAGGTGTAGACATTGTTTATAAAACGAAACATTCCTGATTGGTTAGCTAATGTTACATTCCATTCTACGAAAGATTATTCCCACTGCAGTTGACCGTTGATATTTCCGTTGGATAAAATTTTAATCTAACGTTCACGAATAATTGTTTAACGTTCGGATGAATACGGCCGAAAAAGGAACCCTTACTGTTAAAGCTATTGTCATTTTCTTGCTTTAGAAAATTTATTGGACAGATCAATGATAATTTAAGACCTTCAGCTTACTCACTAACCGGTGTAGATATTGATTCTTGTAGCGAATTTTCATAATATATCTATATTAATGACTATATACGAACTTTAAATAGAACTCTACAGCATACACATAAAATATAACTAGTTACATAATATATACTGTACTGACTGTAGTAACAATCTAGGTGGTTGTTAAGTTGTGTTTAATCCAGTTATATAACCTGCTTTATCGTTACATTTATCAATTTTATTGCAGTTTTTGATCAGTTATCGGATGAATAATAATATCATAAAACATCCTCAGAGGTCAATATAGTAATGACGTATTCACTGGAACTTTCAAGTTTGACATTAGCTAATCTCTTGGTAAAAATTTTGATGAGACTTGTGTCATTTGTCTCTACGTGTTACATATTTAATTCACCTTTGAAGTGAATATTGGGTTATAAATAAATGATTGTAACCTGAACATATAAAAAGTTATGTCGTACTGATGTTTCACATATACCTTGAATCATTTTAATTTATCAAAGGTAAATTTGTTTACAATTAGATTGGTCATTGAATAGTGATCAATGTCAGGTTCATCTGGTCCTTTAGTATTGATTAAATTCGATCCGTAAAATTATGTGGCCACTAGTGTAAATGAAGTGACACTGCGTGTATTATGTTGAGATGTTAGATGGTTGAAAGTCACCAGTAAAAAACTCTGCTTGATTCAGATTTTGTGCTAGATGACACTCGTCAGCAAGGTATACCCACAATCGTGAAGGGATTGATGGTGCCTTTGCGATTCAAATTCGCGTTACCCAACCTCACAGCTTGAAATATTGCCAGTGACGAGTGCCTAGAAATCTAAGGCCAGAGCTTCCTATCGACTATCTCTAACAAACAATACTATACATTTACGAAATGAAAATACTGATAGAGATTAATACACAATTCAAAAGCTTTATTATTTTATATTAGAAATGATGTGTTAGCATAAATTTTTTATCTCATGGCATTTTTTTCTATGTATAGAGATAAAGCAAAAGATTTTATGGAACAAATTAATCAGTTGAAAGAGGCCGATAAGATCTACCAAGGAATAGAAGAGAAACCAATTATTCAAAAAGTTGATGACGTTGAATTATTCGATCAAATTACACAAGTTAGTAAACATTATATTTATGATTTGACGAATTAATTAGCTAATATTGAGTGAGTAGTCTCCTACTATCAGGATTGAAATATTTAAGGGGAAATATCTTCCCCCTAGTATCTTACGTAATAAATACTAATGAGTACATAATTGATATTAAACAATATTGCAATAATTTACGAAAGTAAATTAGCAATCTGTTTTACTGATAATAAGCTTATTAATCTAACTATTTATACATTTATTCGACTCCTTCTCCCTTAATCTCCCCTAGTTAACTGAACAAATAGATGGATTCAAAAACCAAGTTATTATGTTCTCACGTGATTCAAGTTTTCAATCGGATAAAGCGAAAGAGGCTTCTGAAGTAGCAGATGACCTACTGTCAAGTACTAATGTTGCTAGACGTGAAACTTTAGATACATTACAACAAATTGAACTTGTTGAAGTAAGTTATATTATTCATTTTATGACGAAAAAAACGATCCATTTTCTTTGCTTATAATTAATAGTAAATTTTAGGTCTTTATTTAAAAGAATAAACCATTGAAAAAAATGTTCCAATCAGATCGTATTACCAAAGGCCTTTTATCAAACACTGAAATCTTATTGTGATTAGACTCAGAATTTTACCAATAGATTTTTAATGAATAAACATGAATGCGATGAAAACAGGAAGCTCTTGTTGTCTTGGGAGCTTTTCGGGGCATTACAACTAAACCTAGAGAGAGGACATATATCTTTCATATTGTAGGTACATATTACAAATGATTTCTAGCATATTTATTTTTCCAATTGTGAAAATATTGTAACACTTTTATTTCTGTATCATTCTCATCAACTGATACTGTCTACCAACGGCATTACATTACTTACGAGCTTTTGTATAAAGGATATTGACAATAGTCATACAAATCTGAAAAAAACACAATAATAAGGAAATCACAGTACTTACTTACGCCTGTTACTACTCGTGAAGGAGCATATGCCGCCCACCAGCATTCTCCATCCAACCCTGTCCTGGACAATCCTTTCCAGCTCCTTCCAGTTGTTATTCATCCTTTTCATATCTGCTTCTATTTCCCGACGTAATGTGTTCTTTGGCCTCCCTCTTTTCCACTTCCCTTCAGGATTCCAAGTTAGGGCTTGCCTCGTGATGCAGTTTGATGATTTGCGTAATGTATGTCCTATCTATTTCCATCGTCTTTTCCTAATTTCTTCTTCAGCTGGAAGCTGGTTTGTTCTCTCCCACAAAAGGCTGTTGCTGATGGTATCCGGCCAAAGAAATCACAGTGGCTAATAAATTATTCATATTATATTATGACTAAATAAAACGCAAGTACATCAGAATTCATGATTCTTGAGTAATTTCGGAGCGAAAGATTATTGTACGGGTTAGAGATTTGTTTGTGACTCTTGAAGGTTGAATGCAAATGCCAGCTGAGTATAGTCGTATAGAAAATCTCAACATAAGAGGTCAATTGAAATTTAAAACATTACACCTAATTCCATCCTCCCTTATTCAATGACCTCATTGAGTCCGAACAATTTGCTTTGTATGTCGTTCATCATCAATGATTTGATTTCAAAGGATATTTGTACTATCTACTCGTCTTTCAGTAGGCAAACAGTTATCAAAATGAATCGTGTTGAATGATGAGGTCTGCTATGTTTTTCGGTCGAATGCTTGACATGGTTACTTGCAGTACATTTAATTTTGGAAACATCTGATATAATTTCTTGTTTCTCTAGATAATCTGAAATCGATTTATACTTTCGTAAATCGCTCTAATCAGTAACTGTTAGGAAAGTCTCATATGATCTTATTTTTCATGATTACTGCCAATAAACTTTAGTTCTGACAAATTACAATGACCTTTATTATTATTTGATTGGTTAACTTTGCGCTTAGTTTGCGGCTTTTGTTATGTCGCAAGATCATAATTACTACTACATACCGAGTTGTTGTATCACAATTCCGACTCCTAAAAACAGGGGGCTCCGTTATTAATGACTTCCTTCTGTTCCCTTTTTGTGACATTACTGTTGAAGAGCTGTCAGATGCAACTAATAGGCAAGAACTGAGAATGCGTAAACTTTATTCCAGGTCTCATCATTTAACAGAAGTATACTACAATACCTAATAGTAATGTATGCTTTGTATTTTTAGGGATGCTTAAAACGACTTTGAGATGTTGTTTGTTTTAATTAACTTCTAAATTCATTTTCTAAGTAAATATGATAGGTGAACATTTGCGAAAATTTCAAAATTCAGCTAAAGGAAATAAACAAGAAATAATGAAAGAGAAATTTCCACAAACGACATGGTAAGATGAACTATAAAGGGATATTTATTAAAGAATATATAAGTATCAATTTACCGAAAAGACTTCTATCAGTGATGCCCATTAATAGCCTAAACAAAAGCACAAAGAACCAGTAATAGATTACAGTGTAACAAAATATTTCATTATGTAAACTGAATACTTTAAAACACAAACTTATTTCTACATCTTAAATATAAAGCAATTCCTTTTTGAGAATATACACAAATTTTAATAATTTACAGCTTTTCTTCCTATTCATTCTAATTATAGATCACATTCAAGCAATTAGACGAGAAAATGTTAGAACTTGACAAATTGATGCGTGCATTAGATACAGGTGGTCGTGATACTGAAGATGAACGTTTACCAGATACTACATTAACTGATCCAGCTAAACTAATGGAAGAAATTCAAAATTATACCAGTACTTTAGAACTAAATACAGATGAAGTTAAAAGTAAGTTAGAGAATGATTTGGTTTAAAAATAATTCAAAGTTATTTGATTCTTTTACGTTTACTTTATTGAATGTAAATATCAATTTCTTTTATGTCTTAAATTGGCAAAATTGTAGACGTCTAAAACAATTACTTAATGTTTGACGTTGTGCTTTGTCTATACTGAAGTGGTTGAATTCATGAGTTGACCACTATTGAAAACTTGGAATAATGAATCCAACTATTAAAATTTCTAGTCTCTAAAAACCGTATTCTGATAATAAGCATCATTTCCTCACTAGTGACCGGCTTCAAAGTGGTTTCCTGGAGTTCTAATGAGAAGCAGTGACCAGCAGAGTCCAATGGTGTCGAGAACAGACAGATATCTACCTCAGACAATGGATGAATGGTCGCGCAGCCATTCATAGAGGATGGAAGTCAGACACTAACACCATTAAGCGTTCGCGTGCGAGACCGGAAGTCTTGAGTCAGAATTCCCCATGCGCGATCGTGGATGCGCATTGATGAAGAGTCGCACACTAGGACGAAACAACTGTCCAGTGCTTCCATGTTTTTCCATGGTGGTTTAGCTTACATTGACTCATGAATTCAACTATTAAAATTACTAGTCTCCACAAACCTTATTCTGATCACAAAGTATAATAGACAAACAGTACATCATGTGTATGAAATTGCTTAAGTGCTTAATATTAAAATACATCATTATAAAATGCATGTACAAAAAGGACGGCACGCTGCGGAATGTGAAAACTATTAACAGTATTCAAGCTCAAAATAATCTGTAAAATGATTCATTATTCACCGGTTATGAAGTATAATCTCCCTTTAATTTTATTATTTCATTATGCCAAAAAATAAAGCATTGTGGATTGATCATTCGAATAATTGAGTTTTAATTATATAGACCTAACAGTGAGAGATTTCTGAGAGTTGTTCATGGAAGTCTTGAAAGCATGATGAGAAAACAAACCCAACTGTCATCGATGAATACTGCATTGTCTAATAGTGATTTGCGTAAAGTAAAGAAGTTCCCGTGTTTAATATAGTTTACATAACAAGTTGTTTGAAGTAAAGGACATAAAAACCTTGAGAATAACCGTTTCAACATGTCAATTCCTAACAGTTCAGACTGACACTAAAACCAGTGTCTGTCATTGAAAGGCGTACCTCAGAAGTACATAAACCTTGTCAAGGCTCTTTATTAGAACACTGTCAGTCTAGTCAGAGCTTATGGCGAACTGTCATCCGATTTCGCAACCTTAAGTAGTGTACGTCAAGGCTGCCCACTTTCTCCATTTTTGTTTAACTTCATCATAAACACACTGATGGAAATAACCTTCTCCTCAACTAAATTCTCGGGTATTCATCTCCTTCCAGAAGGTCCGCTTATCGACTTACAATACCCAGATCACATAGTCCTGTTTGGTGAAGACGTTGATAAAATGCAGTCATCTGGTAGCATTGAGCAACAATGCCAGAATGTTTGGAATGCGCTTCTCTCCCTCTAAATGCAAGTTGTTGCTCCACAACTGGTCTGTGTCAACAATAGAACTAACGATAAGGAGTGAAGTAGTCGAACGCGTTCACAACTTCACCTATCTTCGAAGTCTCATCAGCCCTAATCGGTCGCTGTCTCACGAAATCTCAGCACGCAATCAGAAAGCTCGTTTGGCCTTTACCAACTTACGTCACCTATGACGAAGGAGAGATATCCGTCTATCAATTAAAGGACAAGTATACTGAGCGGTAGTTCGTTCTACTCCACTTTACGACTGCGAAACGTGGCCATTAAGAGTCGAATATACTAATAAGCTACTAGTATTTGACCACAGATGCCTCACAAATATTGCTCGCATCTGCTGGCATCAACAGGTAAGTAATAGTAAGGTTAGACGCAGAGTATTAGGGAATGATGGTAAATCAGTTGATGAAGTTGTGAATCTTCATCGACTGAGATGGTTGGGTCACGTGTTACGTATACCTGAACACGGATTACCACGACGTTCAATGCTAACCGGTGTTAGGGATGGTTGGAAGAAAGTTGTGGGCGACCAAACCAAAACGTGGTATCAGGGCTTCAAGTCACAAACTTCAAGTCTGACCTATGTTGGTAGATGCAGACTACTTGATTGGGGTGCACGTGATTATTGTAACCAATGGTTGGAGACTGTTGGTGACATGACTCAGAATCCATCACAATGGCGTCGGTGTATACACTCTCTGTCTTCCTTTAAACTATGAGATTAAAATCACTTCATATCTTTCTGTCTACCAACTCATTCTTTCTTCCTGTACTCAATCCATATACGCAATCTTTCTTTTATATATTACCACCATTAAATTAACCACTTCTATGAATTTCGTGTTCATTTTGTTGTGTTAATGTGGTATGTCGACTTTGATCGATGCATTTATATGTGCCTGTTCGTACGTTGTAAATAACTGATTGACTGATGTTAAAATCAATTTTTTACATAATTAACTTAATCTATCATTCATTTGCTAATGTAATTCTAATTTAATTACCAAATTTAACTTTTAACTATTATAACGATAATAACAATCAATTTAATACTACTACTACTACTTATTATTTTTGAAATATCTTGATATCATTAAACATGGATAACTGAATTTCTTTTTTCTCTTCTTCATTTTTAGGTATATTAACAAATTTAAAAAGATTAGAAATAGAAAGTGAATATTTAACTGATGAATTAAAAGGTTATATGGATAAAATGCATAAATTAAATATACATTTATCACGTACTACAAAACATCATCAATTATGCACTTAATTTATATTTATTAATAAACTATTAAAAATGAACAAAAACAAAACAAAACAATCCACTTGTTATTATAAATGATAGTTTGGTTCTTTTTTTTTTTAATCATTCACTCTTTCTTTTTTCTTTATTATTATTATTCAATCTTAAATTGTATTATATTAATTTCTACCGGTTATTATTTATCATTGGAAAATAATGATTTACCATTTATCAATCTAATATTATTATTATATCATCTTTATTATGATTAATAATTATTCCCTTAGAATCTAATGTGATCAAATACATTTTCCTTATCTGGTTGTTTAGTTTATTTAGTTCAGTATTTATACATCACAACTTATATATATATATATATATATCTAATATGAAAATTATTCATTCTCTTTTATTGTATGAATCCTCTTTTTGTTTAAAAACAAAAGTCTTTGATAAATAGTTCAATCTTTATGAATGAATAAGTAAAGAAAGAATATATATATATATATATACGTGGTTGATTAGACTATTTTAATAATGAATATGAAATTTTTAATGTATTTTAATAAATGATTTCTCTTGTTATTATTATTATTCTTATGGAGTACTTTGTTTTTTCTTTCTTAGAATAATTACTGTATTATTCACAGTTGATATTGTTTTACTTACATCTTCTCATTGATATTTAAGAATACAATGGATCAGTATGTTATTGGCAATATATGCATACTATTTGTATTGTTTTAATTCACAAATAGATTGATCAATTGAAGTTTTAAATAACAATCAGTCGAAAATATCGCATCACTATATTGTAATTTGGTTGATAGTATTTGATCTGCACTAAAAACGACCCTGATATATATGACATTGATCACCACCCAGTGATCAATCAATTGTGAGGGTTACCCAATCTCACCATTCCTCTTCAACTTTGCCATTGATGACATTCTGGAAACAGCTCTGATGGATGTAAGTAATGGTGGTGTAGATCTGTTACCTGGAGAAAGACTTCTCGACCTTGAGTATGCGGACGATATTGTCTTACTGTGCGATAATGCCCAAGCCATGCAATCCGCACTCAATCAGTTGGCAATCAGTGTCCGTAGGTATGGTATGTGCTTTGCACCGTCGAAGTGCAAAGTACTTCTACAAGACTGGCAGGATTCTAATCCTGTACTCACCCTGGGTAGTGAGGAGATATAAGTAGTCGAGAAGTTCGTGTATCTGGGTAGCTGCATAAGTGCTGGTGGGGGTGTGAGTGATGAGATCAATGCACGTATAGTGAAAGTCAGAGCGGCTTATGCCAATCTCGACCATCATTGGAGCCTTCGTGATTTCAGTCTGGCTGTAAAAGATCGGTGAGAGCAGTTCTGTTCTATGTTTGTGAAACCTGGTCTCTCCGAGTTGAGGGTGTTAGACGACTCTCTGTGTTTGATCATCGTCGTCTCCGAAGGATTGCTGACATCCAGTGGCAACACCGTGTTAGTAATGCAGAGGTTCGACATCGTGTGTTCAAGCACAGCAACGATAATTCAGTTGGTGTCACCATCTTCAAACACCGACTTCGGTGACTTGGACATGTTCTACGACTGTCGTCCCAAAGAATTCCACGTCGTCTATTATTTGTCGACGCTGGGACTGGTTGGAAACAGCGCAGAGTTGGTCAGTGTATGACATGGTATGAAAGAAAACTGCAAACGACTGACTTCTGTTGGTCCTTCTCGACTCCCTGGCTGGGGTCTGAGAGATGTTGCAACACAGTGGCTAGAGACGCTATCAGATATGGCTTAGAATAGAAGTTAGTGGCGATCCTGCTGTAACCTTCTTTTACTTTCTTCATAAAAAGTGGTTGTAACTTCCTTAATTGAAAGAATTCCTTCTGGTTGTACATTTCTGTTTCCCCAATCATTATTATTACACTACCATACACTAATCTGTGGTCGTTATTGTTCTCTTTTTTCTACTTTCTTCTCTCTTATACGCACCTTACATTCTTTTTTTCTTGCTATTCTCATTATTATTGTGTGGCGCATATATATTTGGTACCCCCTTGTACCAATATTTATGTGTTCAAATAAATAAATAAATAAAATAAACAAGCAACCGGCTATCACGACTCAGTAGTTAAGTAGATAACACAATGGTGTTTGAAGCGAACGGTACTGGGGTTCGAGCCCCAGAGTGAACATCAACTCTGAGATGCAGGTACTTCCAGCTGACGAGTGCTAAATAGGATGAAACGCGAGTGCTGCTAGCCACTATCCATCTTTGCTTAAAAGTTATTGTGTCAGTTGAGCCTATGGATAATCAAGATGTTTGGAAAATCAATGGGAATTACTGGAAACTGGATAATACGGTATCTGAGACATAAACAATCATTCCTAAATAATGGGACATAAGAAGAATGTAAAAGTGTAAAATAAAATTTATAATTGAGACCAAAATTGAAATAGAACAACTCTATACATCTAATAGTAAAATATGTTCTTGGGTATATAGAAAAATTAACTAACTAAAAGTTATGTGAAAATAGGAATTGAAAAGTGTTATTACGATTATCGTTACAATAAAAGAAAATACAATTATCAAAACGAACTCGATGATTTGCGGTCATTCTAGTAATAATACTAGGTGATGATAGTCTTTCAGCACTAATATAATTTTGACTGTGCTCAGTTGTTCACAAACAAAATTGTTTCTAAATCAGTCCAGACATCACTATCAATATAGCTACGATCCAACTTCAAATAATCATATAAATTTATGCTAAACACCAGATAGCGTAATAACCGAGTTTTCTAAAAACGTATGCTGAAAACGTCATTTCTCTCAGGACTTAAAGGCAATATATTTCTACAACTAGGTTGCTGAATTTACTTACTTACGCCTGTTACTCCTAATGGAGCATAGGCTGCCAACCAGCATTCTCCAACCCACTCTGTCCTGGGCCTTCTTTTCTAGTTCTATCCAATTTTGTTCATTTTTCTCATGTGTCTCCATTTCTTGACGTAATGTGTTCTTTGATCTTCCTCTTTTCCTTCGGCCTTGAGGATTCCATGTGAGGGCTTGCCTCGCGACGCAGTTGGCTGCTTCCCTCAATGTGTATCCTATCCACTTCCAGCGCTTCTTAGGTTGCTGAAACAAATCACTTTTTAAGCATGTAACTTTCAGGCTAACTTTATGGTATACAGTTCGTTCAAACGAAAATAAAATATTTGCCCGTCTCATATAAAAATGAATCGAAAACACTTAATCGAGGGATGGTACTCCAAGTTAAATATTGTATGACATCAAAAATTGAAATATCAAATATCCTGGTGAGTCTTTCTGTTAATTTTTGCATAGAGACGGATAAGGAAAGTTGCTATTCTAATCAGCAAACACTTAGTTAAAGAAAGAAATCTGTATATAACAACCATATCACTAGATGAAGTCACTGATATTTCATCATTCAAATCACACCAGACGCGATCTGACATACCGAGGAGCCATAAGTTAATTAAAATTATTAGCGCTTTTGAACAGATATGAAATAAACTTCAAAAGAAATAATACAGGCTGTGAATGTAAATTATTCGACATTTCTAAACACAGTGACTGTTTCAACAGTATCTTATAGGACAATACATGACTGACTGAGAAGAGCTGTTTATCTAAAACTCAGGTTTTTAAAGTATTGGTTATTCCACCCAGTAACTTCTACTATCTAGTATTCTCCAGAAATTACTTCACTCGACCGGTCTTTAAATTAGGATACAGCTTGGAAAGGACTGTATTTATAGTCCAAAACAAAACAGCAAGTTAAGCAAGTTGATATCAAAATAAGAAAAGTGGTAGTGTATTTACACTTTCTACACAAGAAGTTTTCACCATTTACCCACGAATGCTGACTGGTTAAAAATGGAGTAATCAATGTGCCTTAACCTCATTCTGTGTGGAACGTCCTATAACTCAATCCATGTCCTGCTAACAAGGGTAATGCATAAATTATTTGACTGCAGGATAGAATCCTAATGACTGTAAGCAAAACTTTGAATACGATTATTAGTTCACTTTCAAACCAACCGGAGTTAATGGATCAATAAATCATGAGAACATGAGAAGTTCTTTAAATAAATTTTACATTAACCCTTGTTTTTGTTATTATGGATCCTATTTTCCGATTCCTTGAAAAATATCATATTACAAAATCACTCTTGTATTGATTGATTGCAAGTCAAGCGAAGCGCGGTGGTCAAAGGTTATTAAATATGAGAGAAAATAACAACCATCAATCCATAAAACCTTAACGGAAAACTGGTAGAACTATAAAACAGACAAATTGCCTACTGAATAGTAGGCTGTTGTTATGCTGGAGAAATGTTTTTCAGCAGACTGATGGTATAGAACATATGGAAAGTTAAGTCTCCTACTAAGCACTGTTAGAAATAAAATAACTAGTAAATTTGTCAATTTCAGTTATTAAATGTACTCAATACTGACGTAAAACTAATTATATTAAGGGTGTATATACTAAGCGAGATTCACATAAGTAGCCTAATGGTATCATAGAGTATTAAGATATGTCTACTTAATTAACTCAACATCGACCCAAAATAAAATCTGATAATCCATTAAACGAACCTCCAAAACTTAAAAATCAGTATAATTTACTTAAAACTATACCACTTCATTCATAAATCGTTCAATGTTATACCACCAATGAAAACCTGGATAGCTGTTTCGTTTTAGGGTGGGACTCCACGAACCCACACTCAGCACCTCTAGTCTCACGTGCGAAGGCTCAACCTCTCGACCACTGAGTCGGCGTCTAACAGTGTTAACCTTAATCAATTAATGATCTTGCAAGACCCTTCATACATTCCCTGAGGCGGATAACTGTCTCACATTCGACATGGTATGGACTCTACTGATCACGGCTCCTTTCTAGAACTATTTCGGACCCTAACCATAAAAACTAGCTTTCCAACGACCTTCAAACCGACAATCGGGAGTTTCGTTGCATGAATTACAAGGACGATAAC